GGGACACTCAGATGATAAAATCCTTACTCTGCAAGTTTGACTATTCTTGTACTGAAACAAAGCTACCCCATTACATTGACTGGGTAATGCAATGATGCAGGACAAATTGTAGTGAAAAAACTTGCTCATTCTATAGCATTTCTTAATGAATTTGATATTTTGAATACCCTTGAAGCCACAATGCAGGACAAGTCTATTTTACAAATTTAGGTTGGTGAGAGTTAAAATTACTTAATCTACTTGACATGATAATCCTGAGATAGCCCTAGTCAAACTGACCTATCAATGACCTTGTAAAAGTACTTAAATACCAATCTTTTTGTTATTCCTTTTGCATGATATTATATAATTAATTTTGACCTTTTATTACAATTTTATTCATAAAAAGGTTTGTATTTATATTAATTCTTAACCTGTGTTGATAGTAAACTACAAATAATTTAACAATTTGACCATATAAAAGTTTAAAGCGTTGTATTTGAATCACTTTGCTGAGGCCCACATGGAAGATCGGGAAACCAAATGTGTTAGCCTCATTAAATAAAGGCATTATATACTTACTTTAAAACCTTGAATGATTAGATTCTTCCATTTTGTACAAATTAGGAATTTAACTATTGAAAATGAGTGCCAACACAACAGATACTATGTAAGTAATTTTAATAGTAAAGAGGTTTAAAGTGTACAAAGCTGTAATAATATCTGATAAAATATTTTTTAAAAAAGATTAAAAACATTAAAATTGTGTTGTTACCAAAACCTTGTGGTTGTTTCTTGTAACATAGTATGTCTCTGTTATTTAACACACATGAATACTGTATATAAAACAAATGAAATATTCTGGGCTGCTATGTTCAATAGGTTTAGGAATAATTTGAGCCGCATCACAACAAAACCAACATAATGGGTTTGCGACCAGCATGGATCCAGACCAGCCTGCCCATCCGCGCAGTCTGATCAGGATCCATGCTGTTCGCTATTAGTTCTCTACTTGTAATAGAATTGGTAAGCAAACAGCATGGATCCTGAGCAGACTGCGCAGATGCGCAGGTTGGTCTGGATCCATGCTGGTCACAAACCAATTATGTTGGTTTTGACGTGACGTGGCTCATTTCAAGCACACCCCATTTGCCTGACAAATTGCTTTCATCCTAGGTTATTCTTTAAGCATTATTTAATCATTATATAAACAATAATTTTAGTTATTTTACAGTCCACAGGCAGCAAATATATACTAACTTTATACACTTTAATAATATCAAATCATTTCTAGAATTGAAAACCGAGCTTTTATTGTATAAGTATAAATTTACAATTATTGAAAATCATTCAAGTAATATCACCGGTAGGATTCACTAAACTGTTGTTCATTGGATGAACATATGCTATAATGTTGTATTGTATTTCTTTAAGTGGTGTTTTCCTGTGGTCGTGCGATTTAGTGGAAATATTTTAAATTCCACTTAGAAGACGTTTTGTTGGAAATTTAAAGCTGAATTAAAGGAAAGACACTGAAGGAGTTTTACTGATTAATATTTTTCATTTTTATTGAAGCTTATTCTAGAGCAGTAAAGACATACGTTATTTCATCTGTTATGTAGATTTTTGAAATTTGTGACTGTCAATTGATAAATGTTTTAAAAGGATTTAACTTTTATTTAAAGATTTTCTGTAATAATATTTAATATATTGTATAACAATGTTGGAAGTAAGAGCATACAGGGATCAAATAAAGTGTCAGTGTGAGACAGGATTTTACCAGCGAAACAAAAAAAGGTTGGTTTGAAATTTGTATTGAATAATTTGAGTTTTACTAAATAGACAACTGATGCCATACCTTCCCTTGTAGGCTGATGCCATACCTTCTCCTGTAGGCAGATATCATATCTACTCTTATAGGCAGATATCATATCTACTCTTATAGCCAGATATCATATCTACTCTTGTAGGCAGATATCATATCTACTCTTGTAGGCAGATATCATATCTACTCTTGTAGGCAGATATCATATCTACTCTTGTAGGCAGATATCATATCTACTCTTATAGGCAGATATCATATATTCTCTTGTAGGAAGATATCATATCTACTCTTGTATAGGAAGATATCATATCAACTCTTATAGGCAAATATCATATCTACTCTTGTAGGCAGATATCATATCTACTCTTATAGGCTGATATCATATCTACTCTTGTAGGCAGATATCATATCTACTCTTATAGGCAGATATCATATCTACTCTTGTAGGCTGATATCATATCTACTCTTATAGGCAGATATCATATCTACTCTTATAGGCTGATATCATATCTACTCTTATAGGCAGATATCATATCTACTCTTATAGGCTGATATCATATCTACTCTTGTAGGCAGATATCATATCTACTCTTGTAGGCAGATATCATATCTACTCTTGTAGGCAGATATCATATCTACTCTTATAGGCAGATATCATATCTACTCTTATAGGCAGATATCATATCTTCTCTTGTAGGCAGATATCATATCTACTCTTGTAGGCAGATATCATATATTCTCTTGTAGGCTGATGTTATGTCTACTTTTTTGTAGGCTGATTTCATACCTACTCCTGTTCAGTTATGTTTTAATTAAAAGGTTGCTTAGAAAATATGTCCAATTGAGCTATAGTTAACAGTTACTTGTTGAATTGAACTTTACAGAACTGAACAATCTGTTCTGTTATGTTTAATTGAACTTCAGTTAATGGTTGTTTGTTCAATTGAGCTTTAGTTTAATGTTGTTTGTTCAGTTGAGCTTGAGTTGAAGGTTGTGTCCTAAATTATGTTTTAGGTTAAGGATGATTTCTCAGTAATGCTGTAGTTTAAAGTTGTTGCTCAGATGTGCTATAGTTAAAGGTTGTTTGCTCGGCTATGATTAAATTTAAGGTTTATATTTGTTTCTTTGAGCTTGAGGTTGTTTGCTCAATTGAGCTTTTAAACAAGTTTGAAGTTGTTTGTTCAGTTGAGCTTAATAGTTTAAGGTTGCTTGCTCAGTTAAGTTTTATTTTACAATTGTTTGCTCAGTTGAATTTCAGTTTAAATGTTTTTTAATTTCTATTAATAGAGCTTTTGATTCTTTGAGAAATAGGACAATATTCACTTTTGTGAAATAGAAATGGATCTTTATTATTTTATGGTAATTGATATCATAACTTAATATGAATTGCTTTCTTATTGTTTGTAGCTACAAACCTGCTCAATGTACAATTTGTCTATCAGCTTCCTAAATGTTATATCATTCTGTAATTTGGCTGTAAATGTGATAATATCAAGTATGAAACATTTGAGCCGCGTCACGACAAAACCAACATAATGCGTTTGTGACCAGCATGGATCCAGACCAGCCTGCGCATCTGCACAGTCTGATCAGGATTCATGCTGTTCGCTTACAGACCCTATAACAAGTAAAGAAAGTGATAGCGAACGGCATGGATCCTAATCAGACTGTGTGGATGCGCAGGCTGGTCTGGATCCATGCTGGTCGCAAACCCATTATGTTGGTTTTGTCATGACACGGCTCAATTTTAAAACTAGTTTTATTGATTGTGTAAATGATACATTAGTGTCATATTTTAGAGATGCTTTTTATTTATACAAAAAAAGTCATGGAAAGTCACTGACAGCAATGTTAAGGTCCATATGACAAATTTTCCTGCTGAATGGCCAGGCTACCACTTCCCTTCAGACTTAATTAACAGTCTGAAATGAGGCAAATTTGAAGTGACTTAAAGACATGGAAAGGACTTCTGTAACAATTTTATGGTAGTAAAAGTAGTGAATTTTGTTTTGTTTTTGGTTTGTGTTTTTTCTTTACAGTGATGTATTTCATGTATGTTATTTTTCATGTAAGTCATCGATAATCTAGTGAAAACCCAGCTTTGTTTGAATTAGGCTACCGTACTGTGAGATATTTACATCATCAGTAAATGTTTAATTTTTAGTTAAATATTTCAATATTCATTTTCAATATTCACGCTTAATAAAAAAAATAATTAATTATGAGGACTAAAAATATGAGCTGCAGTCACATGTTAATGTTAACACATATCCTGTTGGAGTTATTAGCCTTTGCCACCTGAGTATCATTAGGCCAGGACAGGCGAGCATATACATTCGGTCCTGTCTTTATTGTTGATAGCTCTATTTTTTTATTTTAACATTGTAATCCCTTGAGCTTAAAATGAACTATTCCAAATTCAAATTGGGCCAAATACATAATGAGGACATAAAAAAAATTCTATGTCGGGCCAGCCTTCAATAATGAGTACTGATAGTCTAAAACAAACTCTTTATAATAACTGAGTTGGCTACATAGTTTTTAATACCTTATTTTTTGATACTTTATGAAAACCCTTTAACTTAGAAATAGAGTGTTCCAAATTAAAAGCAGGGCAAGTCCATTATATTTTTACAGGAGGGTCAGGGTAAAAACTTAACAAATATATATTAACAACTTTGGTCTCAGTAGTTTAATTTTACAAAAATCTATACCAATTTACAGTTAAGATTTATTTAGACCAACAAAACCCAAATATTTGTTTTTAGATCTGGCCAATGTCTATTAAACCTTCACAATCTTAATGACTGTAAAGATACAGTTTATCTTATTATTTTCTTATCATTATTTCTATAATAATAAAAAAAACAACCTTTAAAGATATTTTAACATTCCAGAGCCATTATAATTTTGTATTGGATATCATAAGATTAGGAAGAAAAAAGCTTTTTTTCCTGATCTATCGGCACTTTAATTTAAACTGTTAAACCCACTGACTTATAATCGAGGTCAAAACTATTTCTATAAAGTTTATAACTTTCAATCTAGCTACCACAGTACATTGATTATTATATACCAAATATGTTTATATTTACTTTAACAGCCTCGATTGATATTTTCTTATGCCAATAAATGACTGATTTTAAAGATATCGTTTTCAAAAGTCAAGGATTTTTACTGCCTACAAGATTATTTGTATATAATTTAAACAAGGAAATTAATAAACATGAGCGTGAAACTAATTTATTAACGTGATATCTTGTGCTGTGATATACATGTGGATTATAATGTGTACTACCGCTATAATGTTAATAGATATAAATAAGATATATAAATATCAAAATATTAAAGGATGATTTATTTGCACTTAAGACGGATGTGCAGTAAGGTTTATTTTTTGAGGGGTTACTTTTGAGTCATATAATGGTGAACAGTAAAAAAAATGATGAACTACCGTAATGAGAAACGGTGAAGAAAATCATTGAACCTTTAAGAGATGTTTTACAATATCCTCATTTAAGCCTAGAGTGAAGATGTTAAATTTTACAAGTTCTAAAATTTTGTATGATTAGTTTGCAAATTAAGTTTTTGCTGTTTCTTTGTTTGTTGCTTTTTTTAGTTAAGGGAAAAAATTGGATTTTTTGAGTGTGGAAAAAGTGGGTGGAGAGCAGGGAATTATATACTCACCTAAATATTTGGATTTTTAGATTTACAACATTCACGCAAAAAAATGTTAAGGTATATTTGTCTTGTCATTTGTTGATAACAGATAATTATACCCCCTTTATATATGTGTAGATTTTATAAAGTATTTTAGTTTTGTCCTTATACAAAAGAACGGTTCGGTTAAACACTGGGAGCTATTATACACACATGTAGTTGAATAGTAACAGTAAATATTTTGATTGAAATTTTCGGTTGATATATTATTGACTTAAAATTTAAATAACACCTTTCACCTTTAATGCTCTGAATTGAACTTTTTTTATTGAAGTATCTGATAATTGCTGAGACCATTATGAAGTGGTTTGCAATCTGTCCTTTTGATCATTTAACAAAAGCGTAAAACTTGTTCTATTTAATAACCTTAGTGTACAGTAAATAATAAAACCCATTGGATTATGATATAGGTTACAGATCATTATGTTGTACAATTTTTCTATCATTTTTGGTATGGCCTGAATAGTCAATTTAAATATTATCAATATATGACCTAAATCTAAAGTATTGTGACCTTTATTGTAGTATTTAGTGGAGTTGTTTAAATGGAGGAAAGAAATACACTATATAACAACTTGCTGGAGTAATCTGATATATGTACAAGTTATGGAAATTGTGTAAATGTAACGTTAGTGAATTAAATAATGGATTTAAATTCTTACGATGGATATTTAGTTCCGGTTTATCAGGAAAAAAACAAACAGTTAATGGTTTAAAAATATTTTACTGCTGCATTTGATTAAAATCAAAGGGAAAATAATTATGTAATTCAGTTACTGGTATTTTATTCAGTTATTTTGAGTTGATGTGCCCACAAGCTAAAAAGTGGGTCATTTAAATAATCATCTCGCTGAAATTGGATAACAAACAGATTATTGTTAAAACATTAAATGTTACAATTGATAAAGATCAAAGAAAATGTAATAATAAAATTCAATTATTGGTATTTATTCAATTAAAAAATGGAACTGAAGTGCTCAAAGCACGCAATTGTCATAGAAATATTGATGTATTACTTATCATTATTATATAGTCAACCAGGTCAGAATATCTTTTACACGTGCATTGAAAACTTTCTAACTGAATTGATAATTTTATCATATAGTACATGCAATAACAAGGGCAATGGTGGCATCATGGTTAAGGTGTCTGCCTCGTAGGCCAGGGACTAATTAATGGGGTCACGACCATGTTTCTTCATATGACACCAGTACTGGTTGGCTCCAGGAAGTGGACTTGAAAGTGATTTATATAAGTTTCAAGAGCTTGTTTTGCAGTCAAGTTTCAATAAATATGTTTAAACCATGCAATAATCAATAATTGATCTTTTTAATCAGGGTAACCTTATAACCGGTGTTCAGCAAAACTACAGTAATGATAAGATTAACCTTATACATAAAGGTTCCACTGAGGGTTTTTTTAGAAAGTTTTTTTTTAACTTTATTCGCTTATCTAGAAAATAATCTTACAATGGAAATTTTTTTAAACTAATTCCTGTAACCAATTAAGGGAAGTTAATAGGTGGATAATGTACAATCCAGTAAAATGCAGTTATTCAATATTTTGTACATGACATAATTGCGTAACATGTGTCCAACATATGTTTTACGCGTTTATACAGGATAATAATGCCTCAAAGTCAATGAGATCATACAATTATGATTAATATTTCAACGCTTACAAATTTTAGACTCGCCTTTGAGGAAAGAGACAAATTAGTATGTAATGGAATTAATTTCTTTGATGAAAATGAAGTGTGGTAAATTATAGAGAAAAAGAACGCAATGACATAGCATATTTCCATGTGAACACCAGTATATATACTGATTCTGAGGAAAAATAAGGAAACTATTTCAATATAAATTGTTTTGTCTGTGAAGTCGTATTGATTGAGGAACATTTTTCAAATGCATCATGTCTGCTTTTAAAACATTATACAATATGGGACAAGTTAGGATTTTGACAGAGTGAACTGTTCTCGATGTACGCGAGGTATAAAGAGAGGTTGTCAGCTCGTGGAAGGGGCAGGTAACTGTTACAATGATTTTAGACGTATTACTTTTTGTTCTCTGTACAGTATAAAATTATGTTGTTGCTACATACTCAAAACATTCATAGACTAAGTTGTTTCATGTGGCCAGCAGTCATGGTCAGGCCTTTACTTTGAATTTGGGACTATGTTACACATTGCCTTTAATCAGTCTTAATATCACCAATAGATGTCAATTTTTTCATTAATGACAAAAACATTCATCATTTTTTAAGTAATGACTGAATAGCAAACAGTTCAGTCACCATGTGTCATCTGATTATAGTCTGCAACGGGTAGAATCTGTTCCTAGTACATACTAAGATTAAAAGGTAGCCAAGTTTGGATTTCATCGTAACTGGAATTGTGACAAAAAAGTAATATTAAAATCAATGTTGTTTTGGAAATGAAAAAAATAGACGAAGCCTATATTTATAACCCAGCCCTAACATTTTAAAAGGGCGTTTAGTGCCATTGAATAACTATAACTGCAAGTCAGCATTAAATATTTAAAACTGACATTTTAAAACATCAGCGATGTAGATAATGACTGAGATATTAAAATGTGTGTCTGGATCCGATATGAGAAAAATATAATTTTCAAATACGATTGAAAGGGCTTTATACCGCTTCAGTTATTAATTTTAATGTATATGGGGGACATGATGTGATTCCTGATCAGGGAATTTATTTATTTATGATATGTACCGGTTTACCAGGTACATGTGATATGTTATGTAAGCCTACATAAACAAGTGCTTTAAAGGGACTGCACTGAGGTTTTTTTTACATGACGGGACTGGAAATAATTTTTCAAGATTAATGTTCCATCTGATATAGGTCTGGACCAAAAACTTGTGTACAAAAATTACAGATCATTTGCTGACTATTTTTCCAGAATAATAAATATTCTTAGTATGAAAAATGACCCAAAATTGATAAGTGTTGCAATACTTTTCACTCAAATTGGGCGAGGAATAGGACAAACATATAATTTTCAATTTATTTTTAAGTATATTACTTTACTATCTTTTGCATATCAATTCTTTCTTTCTGTTTTAAGTGCCCCAGCTGAGCTATATAGGAAATTCAAATTATATATTTTTAGGGTTTTAGTCCTAAGTGGAGTTCCTTTAATTTACATGCACTTGGATTTTGAGCCAAATAATTTATTTCCATCGCACTAGCATTGTGGACCAACCAATTACTTAAAGTCACTCTTTTATTGTAGACTGTTTTCTTTCCCTGGCAAAAATAAGAATTGTGGCTGAAAATATTTTTGCATATAAGTATACGATCTAGCCTCATAAACAAAATTTTACACAATTTTGTTGTGTTTAATGCAGTTTTTTTTTTACCAATGCTTTTATTTCCCATGATGATTTAGGAGGTTTTTTTTAAAAATGATATAAAACTGCTGAAGTTTTTATATATGAATCATGTGACTTAATGGCCTAAAAGATATGTCTGATTTGATCCTCACTTCTCGCATGGGTGGAAAATCAGTGGCTAAGCTAGCAAGTTAAGGGTTAAAGGGGATATTTAGACTTGCTGTATTGCTATTTCATTTATTTGAAGTTCATATGAAGTTGCTAATTACTCTTTTCTCTGCAAGAATCGCTTGTATTGTAGATAAATTTTAACCTTTTATCATCAGTTTTTACTGGTATATATAGTTAAATTGGTTTATATAATGTATTTTACAATTTTCACTTCTATAATTTTGATGCTTTCACCCTAATAGTATATACCTTTTCAGGTGTCAAATTAGTTTACATCGTGTTTGCTACCGTATATGAAAGGACCTTGATACAGACACCATAATTCTGCAGCATTTAGCAACTATATTTAGTAACGAAAGTATCTCTGATCTTACGGAAAACGTTTTTTTATATTTTCAGAAATAGCCATTTCCATCAGAGTCAAGATTCCGACGACATGAGAACCAAAAAACAAACTTTATCTGTTGGCGATTCACATGATAATGATAACTATATAAGTGATAACAAGCTCACTTTACACGATAATAAAATTACTGCACATGACAAATCATCCCTCGACAGGCAGCATGAACGTAACAAAGAAAACGCATTCGAGAAGAAGTTGTTAAATCGAGACAGTGGTAACGTTATTTGTATAGAAGAAGAACAAAACGTAAAATCTGAAAACGATAATCATAAATCATCGCAAGGAAAACAGGTTAAACATCCGTTACACAGGAAAAGTTCAAATATCACAGATGATTCAGGACGGAGCACGGTTAGTGATATAGGAGAAAATGTGCATGACCTTCAGTGTGACCTTAACGAGAGTCAAGGTTACCAGAGCTCCCATATCAACCATATAAATGACCCAAATAGACGAGAAAGTTTAACAGTTATTGATGCAACAGGTCATTTAACATTGCCTTCTACTCTTGAATGTGTTAAACCATTTTCGGATGAAAGTGGAATTAGTGACCTTGACCCTACAGTTCGCCCTCACTCTGCTCATATCTCAAGCGAAAGTCAATCATCACATGTTTTAAATCGACCAGGTAGCGGTCATTTAATTAACAAACGTTATGGTCCTAAAATACTCTACAGTAACTCAGAGGATAGTTCATTAACTCAAAGACGTCTTTCATATCCAAAATCACCTTATTCCTCACCTACAGCATCTCCACGGTTACGACGTCAGCCGACCATGGAAACACGTAGAATTTCAGTCTCCGATGGTGGAGACGGGTATATTCAGCTCAACCAATATAAGCTCAAAGATGAAATAGGAAAGGTAAAGCACATGTTATTTGTAATTCAGTCATACTTTGTTTGCTTATAGTGATTTTGACAGGACCAGACAGTGAGTCAGTACCATAGGCAAGCTCATTATGATTTTAAGGTCAAAGGTCAATGTCAGTGTTACAAGTTAACCATAAATATGTTTGTCCTATCAATAACTTAAGATCATTAGGTTACCCTTACTGATTTTATGATCATGTTGACCTTGACCTTTGATCATCAAAGGTCAAGGTTAGCATGACCTTGATCATCGTTAACAGCTTTTTAACCAAAGTAACCAAAGAACACATTGGCTTACGGTTGTCATATAAGATGAGGAGGATGGGCATGACTCTAAATGTCCCATAAGGTCATAAGATTTTGAGATCAGTAGATCAAAGCTGATTTACAGTATTTTATTTTGGGGTGGGGGTCAGAACTTGAGTTCATGTATTTGTTTCCTACAAATAGGACCTTTTCAAAACCTAACATTTTAAAGTAATTACTCAAACCCAAAGATGAAAATGCTATTTAATGTTATTTCCTAAAGTCTCAGGTCAAAGCCTTCTATCTTTATGTTGAAACATCATTGCCTCTATTAGATTTCAAAATTGACTTAATTGACATAATTTGCTTGCACTTTACAATTTTAATCAGAATGTCAGCAAAGAAGAACATTTTATTGAAAAGAAAATAAAACAACACCACATAGAAACACATGATTGTGTTGTTCTGTAATTGACACGAATTTCAAAATTTTAAATGTCAAGAGATGTTATACAGTAAAATTAATATTTTATTTCTTTAAATGTATCAGGTTTTTCTTTTAGCTTTCTAGCTTCTGCAAATTATCATTAGGAATCACTCTATCAATTTTAGAGGTGTGGGGGGAGGATGGTAATTGAATTGTCTTTGAACAATTATTAATGTCATTGAACTAACAAATATACTGATATTTTGTCAACATGCTAAATAGTTTTTTCATTAAAAAAACTGTTAAGTGTTTAGGATTAGCTGTTGACTTTTATGTAACAACCATTGTTAGCTATGTTGCTTTGCACTTGAAAATGGCTTGACCTCCATTGCTTTCGGTAGATAGATAGATTTATTTACATATTATATACATCAATAAAAATTACAAATACATATAATTCAACAAATTAATTTTTACTCATTCAATACATCTCATACAAGACTTCATACAAACAAAAATATACAAGAAATTTATTATATATCACTTTGCACTTTAAACTGGCTTAACCTCCATTGCTTTGGGTACAAGTTGGCAGGTTGTTTATTTTTATTGCATGCCATATTTAAAAGATCCTAATTGTATCTTAACTTATACTGAGAAGTATGTCACAAACTCTCTTCTGAATCCCTGGAAGTGTTGAACCATTTTATCAAGCACAACAGCACCTTTTGCTCATGGTCTGAAATTTTTTCCTGAAATTGTTAAATGGTTTTGTCTTGATTAAAAAAAGACCAAAAAAAAGACAAGTCTATTTAAGATATTAAGGAATTCAATTTTCAATTCAATATCTTTATTGTACAAAAGGCCTCTGGCCCATACACAGTGAATACAATATACAATACAAATTAGCATTGCTGGAGATATAGTAATGGTCGAATTTCTAATACAATTATAAAGTACAAGGTTAAGGAAGGTAAGGTTAGGTCTTATTTGCCTATAATGTCACACAGCTCTGTTTTTGGCTAGACGGGAGAAAATTTATACTTTTCTAGTCAAATTGCCAAAATCAATACATTTCATATATCATTAGATTGACACGAGGTAGTTAAAGCTTGAAATTTATAAGCTAATGATCTGGTAAAATTTTCCTTTTGCAAAAGCTTACTAAAATGTGGTATAACCTGGTATGTAATGTTTTTGCTTAATGTAACTGTCCATAAGATAAGATAAGATTTATTATAAATGTACAAACATGGTAATATAACACAAACATGAGCACAAAAACCATGACACTAGGGATAACACAAAATAGGGTAAACCTTATTTCCATTGTGGTCCCTAAGTGTAGGTGGTATGGCATAGAGAGGCAATGATAATACTTGATGGGAAATATCACAGATAATATCACAAAGAGTAGTTTCACACACAACTTATCATACTGACCAATTGAAATTTTGTAAAACTTTCAACAGTTCAAGAATTATTCTTGGACAAGTCAGGAACTAAGCTTACAGTACTTAAATGTTTCTTTAAGGCTGAACAAAAACAATTTAGGAAATGTTAAATGAGACAGATTTTAAGAACAGTGCATTTGTTCAGAGAAATATTTTTGAAAAATATCCCTGAACAGTTCAAGAACACATGTAGAACATTTGTGTAAAAACAGTTCAGGAGCAGTTCAAGAACACATGTAAAAAATTTATGTTAGAACAGTTGAGGGACAGTTCAAGAACACATGTGGAACAGTTCAAGAACACATGTTAAACATTTGTGTAAGAACAGTTCAGGGACCATTCAAGAACACATGCAGAACATTTGTGTAAGAACAGTTTAGGAACCGTTTAAGCACATGCAGAACATATTTGTAAGAGCAGTTCAGGAACAGTACAAGAACACATGTAGTACATTTGTGTAAGAATAGTTCAGGAGCAGTTCATTGTGATGAAAGGTACAATGTTGCATCAGTATTAAGTCCTCAAAATGTTTACATACAGCATCATTTAAAGCCTTTTAGAATGACTGTTAGAACAGAACATAACATAAAGGTATAATAAAATACACCAATAAACAAACTGTGATAATGTCGGGAGGAAGTAAACTTTTTGCATGGCATTTGGGAAATCCTTGAACTATTCTTATTGTTTGAATGTTTATTCATTTCAAGCAGAACATGTGAAGAACATTTAAAAATGACACCAAGAACTTGACACTTACTTTGATAAGCAACATATAAAAGCTATCCTATGTGGTCCCAGTAGTACCAAATACTTATTTTTAACAAAAATGATAATAATTATTTTGTAATAATAATAAAATGAATAAATAAGTAAACAGACAAAAATAAATTCTTGTTTTTGTGACCTGATTTTAGATAACATTGTAACTTATGATGAGTTACCAAGAACTTTATTCTTCCAACACTTTTATTTTGAAGAACAAATAAATAAAACATTGACAACATGTATAAAACTTTTGTGTTTTTCAGGGATCCTATGGTATTGTAAAACTGGCCTACAATGAAGCTGATGAAGCACATTATGTAAGTAAACAATAACATGTACCATCCTATTAAAAGTGTATTCATTATTACACTACAGACACTGTTAGGCAAGGATTTAATCTCAAAGAAATCAAGGTAATGCAAGGATTAGAGCAGGTGAGATCAAGAACATAATTAAAATGGTGTCTTATATCTCAATATTGAGAAAGTTTGATTTGACTTTCAAGGAATTTGAAAAAAAATTGATATACTTCAATTAATATAATTTTTATTCTACAAATGGAGGGAAAAACAAAAAAGGGAAGCAACTCTCAAAGACTGTCTTAAGTATAAATTCTATGAAATATCACTTGAGATAAGACTTTAGAAATACTGACCTTGTATTACTTACAGTAATGGATTCAGGCTTTCTAGACAGGCTAGCAATGAGTGATTAAGACACAGGTTATTCTTGAAGCCAACTATTATGTTACATAAGTTGACCATTACAGGATATTAATGATGGTCCATGGAGACTAAGAATTGATGTCTATTACATATGAACCACAGATTAACATTGTCTTAGAGGGTGAATAAATCACATGATACAGGAGAGCTTTACCATCTTACAGCTGCTCTGAAGTGTCATTAATTGAAGAATTTCATGGGAAGCTGAAAATCTTTGGGTGTCAGAGATGATGTTTGCTGAGATATTTATTAATCCCTCTTGAACAATTTAATATGACACAGAACATGTGTTGTGTCGAATGTTATATCTTGGTGGGCGATCAATACACAATACACGTTCTTATTTTATTCATCATTTCTTAAAGATAATGATTTAGCGCTGTAATATTCATTAAAATACATTTGTTGAAGTTCATTTGGCAGAATAGAAAGTCTTTATCAAAGGTAATTCAGAAAGCCTGGAATCCAAAGTCAATTACCGGTGCAATGTCAATAAATAGCCTCCGATCCATATAGACAATTATTATAGCCTCTAAGGCAAAGTTTATTTGATTTAGATAGCCTTGAATCCAAAATCAGTTGAACAGTTATGAGTGAAATGAAATAAGTCCCTAACAAGATCTTTACAACTCAAATAGGAACTTTATAATTTATACTTCTATTTTTCAGGCAATGAAAATCTTGTCAAAAATGAGACTGAGAAAAAAGGCGGGATTCTTCCGTAAGTATTTTTAAAAAATGTTTGATTGAGTTTGTTGTTAAATTGCTGCCTTTAAAAAGCATATGTTATACTAGAAGCTGCTTAGACTCCCTTGACACTTTGAGATAATTGGCTTTTGGTTGTTGTTGTTCAGTTAGAAAAAAACACAACAAAACTCATTTAATTTAGTAATATAATCTCACAAAGTGATCACAAGATCCTGTTTTACAAACAAGTAAACAAGTGATGACATCTTGCCTATAAACACTTCATGTCATGCACCAGTATTTATGGCAAAACAGTTGCGTATTATGTTATCCGAGTTTACTATTCCCCAAACAACTTCCAGTAATTAATTTTATAAAAGGTTATATAATACTCCTGAGACTAGTATGGCGGGTGTTTTGAGGACAACAACCTAACAAAGTGTCAACAAAGTTTCAGATGCTAAATTAAACCTTGTCTTATACGCATGATGTAAAAACAATACATGTACTAAATGGTAAACAAAAAAATGTGGAAAAACAAGATGCTGCATGAAATACAGCAAAACCTTTGTGTAAGACCACCTTTCAAGGCAGACCATGCATAATCATTTTGAAAACATGTTAATTGAGTCCTCTGTTTTAACTTTTGTCATTTTAACTGTTTGAACTATTAATCTGCTGAATTCGTACACGACTTCTCCTGCTTCCATATCATCAATTATGCGTGTATTTCCATGAAAATTTGAAGTTGGTCTGGCAACAGTATAATGCCTGATCAGACTGTTGGCATGGCTCTATACTTGTGGTAAAGACTAATCAATTTCAGTGCCCATGAAACAGCTAGTATATTAAATGTTGTTTCTCTCTCCTTTTGTTGGCAAGACCAAGAGTACATGTATTAAAGGTTAACATAGTATCATGATATTATCATCTTGCATGTTGAGAAGTAATTGAATATTTAAAAAAAATAGTATTACCAATTACTCGGCAATTAGCTAGGTTAAAGGGACTTAAGTATCCATTATTATGCAGTACATGTATATTTATATTTATTATATACTTTTGAATGAAATATTGGAAAAAAATGTTTTGTTTTTTTTCATTTTCCATATTTTCATTGTAAAAATCATTTATTTTTCAATACAGTGAAATATATTTTTCATATTTTCACTGCATGGTGTCTTGCTGGACTACTTGTTAACCAGGTTTTCAATTTTGAAAATCCTGGTTATTAGATTGGGGTATGGCGGGCGGATGGGCGGATGGGCGGGCGTCAAACGAAATTGTGTCCGCTCTGTAACTCTTCAACCCTTTGAAGAATTTTGATGAAACTTCAGACAAATGTTTACCACATCAAGATGACGTGCAGAACGCATGTTCCGCATGGCTGGCTCCAAGGTCAAGGTCACAGTGACATTAACATTGAAAATCCTGTCGCTCTGTAACTCTTCAACCCTTTGAAGAATTTTGATGAAACTTCAGACAAATGTTTACCACATCAAGATGACGTGCAGAACGCATGTTCCGCATGGCTGGCTCCAAGGTCAAGGTCACAGTGACATTAACATTGAAAAATCCGGATGGGCGGATGGGCGGGCGGGCGTCAAACGAAATTGTGTCCCTCTGTTACTCTTCAACCCTTTGAAGAATTTTGATGAAACTCAGACAAATGTTTACCACATCAAGATGACGTGCAGAACGCATGTTCCGCATGGCTGGCTCCAAGGTCAAGGTCACAGTGACATTAACATTGAAAAATCCTGTCCGCTCTGTAACTCTTTCAACCCTTTGAAGAATTTTGATGAAACTTCAGAACAAATGTTTACCACATCAAGATGACGTGCAGAACGCATGTTCCGCATGGCTGGCTCCAAGGTCAAGGTCACAGTGACATTAACATTGAAAATCCTGTTTACATGATTTTAACTTGATTTTGCAGTCAAAGGTCATATCATCTTTGGAGGTAATTTAAAAAAGATATGATATATTATTTTCATGTCTACTTTGTAACTTGTTTTTCATTATACAGAATTATCAATATAATTATAGTGAACAAATTCTTCTGTGCTGAACTCGTCCTACATTTCTCAACGGATTTTGTTCAAACTTTCACAGAAGCTTTGTCATCAAGCACCCCTGGCACATATTGTCGGGGTTTTGTGATTGGATAGTTTTTTGACCTAATTATGCCCTTTGTTTTTTTCCTTATACATAATATTATAGTGAACACTTCTTCAGTGGCAATTCCTCCTACATTATTCATGTTTTACATTGCACATAGTTACATTGTTTGTTGCTTGTATTTGTATTTCAAATACAACATATTTATCTACAATGGTGATAATTGAAAACCTGGTTTCATGGCATTGCCATGTTTCTTGTTTTCTAAATTAAGCCAAGACACAAAATTTAAGGGAAAGTCTTTCAAATTGTAATGTCAAAAGAAGAGACAAATGTATATAGTAAACAGAAAATTCAAGTAAATACTGGAGTTATTTTAATCTTGTGGTGTGGAAATTATCATTTTTCACTACGGCCACTAGCTCATGAAATATTTATTTACATACCACTCGATGCAATTTATAGCAAAAACTTTTTGTTTATTTAAAATGTATTTGATATTATCTTTTGGTCATGGATATGTGGTCATCAAATACTAGGATATACAATGTAAACAGGTGGTTTTATAATAATTGGTATGTTACATTCCATACATGTACCACACCTGGTAAATAAGTTTATAATATAATGAAAGTTTAAAGTTTCTATACATCAAGGTTTAAATAAATTTTCCAATGTCCAACCATTCTGATTTACAGACATGTTTTCACCATGTATATGTTAAATGTATATGTATTACACTTATCCTGCTGAGGTTGTCAAATTCCTAATTTTGAACTTCATCCGTTTAAGAATGATGTGCTTGTTAGACTGACTTTCTACCCACCTTTTCCAACTCCATCAGCATAACATTAACCTAATCATTCAACCCCCACCAATCTCAACATACCATCCCAAATAACTACCTCTTCCAATACCACCAACCTCCATAACACACCCCATCATACATGCCTTTTTCCCCCAACAACCTTCATAACAAACCCGATCAACCATGCCTTTCAATCCCACCAATGCCAGCCTCCATTACTCACCCTCTTTTATCCCCCAATTCATTAAATAATTTTTTTTTTTTTTTGAAGCTGTTTTTTTATGTAAAAAGATATTGTTTGTGTTCATTATAGGACGACCACCCCCATCAAGAGAAGGGAAACAGGTACGTCCGCCCACACATCCGTTAGAGCGTGTTTACAGAGAAATTGCTATATTAAAGAAATTGGATCATCCAAATGTTGTACGCCTTGTTGAAGTACTGGAGGACCCGGGCGAAGACAATCTTTACATGGGTAAGATAACTGTTTAACTAGTCCTTTGGACAAGTTATATGGTTCAGTATAAATGGTTGTTAGGTTTTATTATCAAAGCCACTGGAAACGTTACTTAAATAGCAAATAACCATTTATACATGGCCTTATAACATGTCAAAAGTGTCTTATAAAATGCCCCTCACCAGATAATATCAACCAAGTCTTCATATTTATTGCCAGCTCCCAAAGACCTTCTTCTGAAAGTATAAATCTATAATTAAGCTTAAGATTTTAGTCTGAGAACAAAAGAATCAAAACTCTTTATATAGTTAATTTCTGTTTGAATCACATAACCATGTGAATTTCTGTTTAAATCACATAACCATGTTACTTTCTGTTTGAACCACATAGCCACATACCCAATACTGTACAGTGCCAGAAAAGCACAAGACCACATTCAGGTGTCTTGGATATGATATTTAAATATAAATATGATCACAATAGCCTATTGCATTATACATGTATTAATAAAATATATATGAGCCGTGTCACGACAAAACCAACATAATGGGTTTGCGACTAGCTTGGATCCAGACCAGCCTGCGCATCCGCGCAGTCTGGTCAGGATCCATGCTGTTCGCTATCAGTTTCTCTACTTGTTATACAGTTCGTAAGCGAACAGCATGGATCTATATCCGACTGCGCGGATGCGCAGGCTTGCCTGGATCCATGCTGGTCGCAAACGCACTATGTTGGTTTTGTCATGACGCGGCTCATATATATATATATATATATATAATATATATATATATATTATTTTACATTTTGATTCTTAAACAGTTGTACAGTATTGGTACATTAAAGAAAATGAAATTTTGTTCTGGTCTGCGGAGGTGATCGGTTAAGATATTAATAAGAGTAATATCTTTTTTTCTCTCAAACATTGTAGTTTGAAGAATCGCCTTTTACATTAGATGACTTGGACTTGCAAATGTATTACATTGTATAATTGTAAGGGAAGATGTAATGTCAGTTATTTTTCAAATTTTTTTTTTTACATTACCGCCTTCAACGATTCTCATTTGTAATTGAAATGCATTAAAGTTAGAGAATAAAACGGCCAGATTAAGATTGATGCTTCCACGTACGTCCATGTTTGTGAATGCTAAAGTGTTTTGTTTCATAAATATTGTAAACGGAATTCAATTAAGATTGTATTATAGGGAGATGATGGCAGGGATAATCAGACAAAATGTCCCCGCGTTTGGTTTAGGGTTCTCACATGGTCATGAATAAATCATGAAATTTAAACTTGATAAGTTTACAATGAGATGTCTCATCCGTTAATTACGACGTGCATGTTATTTATTTTCCTCCGTGTTTTCCCAATTTTCGCTGGCTCAGCAGAAAATTTAGGGGTTTTAATGTCTTTGGGACACAAATTGTTCGAGAAAAATGATTTTTCCCTGCAGTTTTATTTAATTTTGGTGCGTAACAAATAACGAAAAAGTTATAAAACATATCTTTATGGAGTGGTAAAAATTGTGAGTTATTTGCAAGAAAGGAAGTGTTCTGAGTTTTTTAGTTAATATGTAAGATTAACAGATTAGAACAGAGGCTTAAAGAAAAAGTTGTTTTTGTGAAGAGATAATTGTTTTCCTCTCTTAATTTCTGGTTTAAAAGGAGCATTTTCCTCAATGTGTTGTTTTGAACATGCGATAAATACTTGAGAAAAGAAAAACTTAAGAATTATTAAAGGAATAAGAATGGATGGATTGATGTCTGTCTTATATAAATATTCATCATTTAAAAAGAGGAACCATGACAGTTTCCCTATTGACATCAACCCTATAAGAGAGAAATTCGTGTTTAAAGACACTATTTTTTACTTGAGAAATAAGTTCATGGGCGCCGCCATTTTGGCGTTCTGTCATTCTCGCGAGACAGACGAGACCGAGATTGTGACGTGTAATACCCACTTCCGGTATAGTTGTACACGCTGGTACAACTGAAATATATCTTGATGAAGAACTTATTAATTTAATTGCGTACATTATATATTATTTATGAAAACATCATATGGAACTGAATTGCTTTAATTAATTAATTGAAGACGCCGCGACATTAATTATCATTTGCCCGATACTCAAGCTTGCTGATGATCCCACCACCAGACCTGGGGATGATTACATTGATCAGTAATTGATTAAATTACAATTACTTTCAGATTTTATTGTAATTGATTAAGATTGATTACTCACATTTGCCTCTGTAATCAATTGAATTACAATTACTTTTAAGAGAGTAATTGATTGATAATTGATTACATTGAATGTACATTAAACCACCCCAGAATTAAGACCACCCTGCTATTAAGACCATTTTTGTTAAAAAGATGGTTTCATGATCCAGATTTAACCACCTGCTTATTCACTTTTAAGACCACTATTATTAGTCAGTCCAAATTTTTGTTTTAATTTTAATGTGACTATTGAGACCACTGATATTGAAGTGAACACCTATCTAGATCTTAAATTTGTTGTTATGATCTGCTTAAATGCTCTTTAGCATGACACTTGATTTCACAAGGTGTGAAAAACTGTTATTGGGTTATTGTATGAAATTAGGTGAGAAGGTCAATTTTAGAGTGGTACATTGTTGCTTTCAGCACATTTATTTTTTGAAAATTTAAATTTTCATTTGATTTATGTACATCATATAATAAGTGATACTGTAAAATTAACGTTAAATTTCTCCAGAAATATGTTTCCTTTTATCAGATTAAATATCAAAGCATTCTTTTATAATGTATTTGTAGATACATATAAATAAACATATTGTTTATTCATACAAAATGACTAAAGTAGACCATGGTCTCAAGTGTTTAAGCAATGATAAGAATGTTCACTTTTATCAGTCTAATTGAGGATTTTTACTGTATAACTAAAAAACAAAAGTTAAACTGTATAATGTAAAATAAAGGCATCCTTTGAACTTAAATAGTTTCCTTTTAAATCTGAAAGTAATCAATGTCAATCAAAATGTAATCATAATTACTGACTGAATTTAAGCTGTAATTGATTAATTACAATTAATGTAATCAGTTTTGGGCAAAGTAATCAATTACATGATGATTACAGTGTAATCGTGTAATCAATTACAAAATCAATGATTACAGTTAATGATTACCCCAGGTCTGCCCACCACATGATAAGCAATGACTGCTTAATTTTCAAAGATAAACCATCAATTTACTTTGGGTACTATGAGATACTTCTTCAAATTGACGATATATCCTTGTATTTTGTACTTAATTTTCGCTAGACAAGCTGTCCAAATAGGTTACATCGCCGGTCATATATCTTTTTTCAAGTAAAATATCAACTAAATCCAATATGCTGAGGACGCGATTTTCCGCCATTGACGCTAAAAATGAGAAAGGCGCAGGAAAATCGGCAGCCAGACTTATATCATATGAAACAAAACTGTCCGTAAAGTTATTTAGGCACCCAGTCAAAACTGGTACCAACAGCAACAGGTTGCCCATTCCCCTATAATTACGCATATTCTCGGGTTTATCCAGTTCCCCCAAAGCTTTTTTTCCACGTTATCTACTTACCAAATTCCTTTCCCCGACAGATACGCATTTCTTCTACCGTAAATTTAATCCAATAAAACAAAAAATCATAAATCTACTTAATATTTAAAATGATTATTGGGAACTGAAAAAAAATGTGTTGCTATTTTTATGACGTGCTGTAATTTACTACAGTACAATTTGACAGGTGTGGAACCGAATTCCCCCTAAGGTCATTCAGTTCACTGATGAAGCGTAAAAAAATAGATGTCTATTTCGTCATTAGAATATTTGACAAGGGTGATTAACCAATTAGGGCAACATTGTGCATGATCAAAAGGTCTGTCGGCACAGAGGCATACAAGGAGCAATAAAAATCGTCAGTACACAGTGTGACAGGAGCATTTGGTGCAAATTAGGAACAATTAAAATGGACAATGCGCAGTATTAGACATAAGTAGTAAGAACCAGCAATTGTGTGAATAAATTATGCAAATTAGATTTTTGAGCAGCCAATAAAAATGATTTGCCTGCAGTTAATATTAGGCTACGATTACGATGCGCAGCATCATACGTTGACAGACATGTTAACAATTTACTTTTCAAAACAGTTGCTGATATTTTTGAAATGTGTACATCAATTATAACATATGTTCACACCTTTAAATTTGAAAGTCAGAATCAAACTGCAAAAAATTAATTATATGTACTATTAAGAACACATTTTAGTAGGGTTTTTAATAATGGAAGTGGCTAGCGTACGTGCCCGTACGGCTAGCCAAAAGTTTTAGCCGTACGTGAGTCACGTACGACTAGCAAGGACACGCTGTATTGGCTAGCCGTACGGCATTTTTCAAAATTTTATGGAAGTCGAAAATGCATATGTTATTTTATGACTTTAAGCGAGGATTTTAACCAAGAAACAGCATTAATTGTCTTTGGATGTTAACTTTTTAGAGATTAATCGCCTTGATCGCTATATATATATCGATCTTTGTCATCGCAAGATGTCGAGAAAAAATAGCCTTTGCTTGCATTTACACCAATTGAAATAGTTTACAAATTTTTGATAATAATCATTTTTTGTTTCATTAAGTTTAATTTTCGACACCTTTTATATGGAAAAAAAAACAACAACAACAAACACTGAAAATGATTGTTGTTAGGCTCTTGACAATTACCGACGGTACTGTATCAAGGAAAGTTTGCATGTTCCGTGAAAGGCATTCTAAAATTCTATTGTCAGTCCCTGGATAGGTTTTAATTAAGGCTAATTAATTGATTGACTGTGCTTTTATGTTCGATATTTATCTACTGTTTTGAAAATTATATAATTATTTTTGCATTTCACCGTTTTTTCCCATTCAATGTTCTTTTTATTTTTTTTATTCCACTCCGATCATTTTTTATTCGATCCATGTGCTTAAAATTAACAAAAATGATTTAATAATTCATACAAATTAAACAACAAATGATAAGCATGAAAATCAACAATTTTATAACATTCGACTTCCATATAATTTTGAAAATTGCCGTACGGCTAGACAATACAGTGCGTCCTGGCTAGTCGTTCGTGACTCACGTACGGCTAGAACTTTTGGCTAGCCGTACGTTTCTTTATTTTTTATTATTATTATTTTTTTTTTTTTGATATTGTTACGTATTTTGAACCATAAAAAATCTCCTCTACACCTCCTGTGAAAATTAAATTGTCTGATCAATACTTAATTATATTAATATTTCCTTACGATTGAACTAGATTTATCATGAATCTAAAAGATGTGGGGAAATGACATCACGCGCACCTGTTTTTATACGGCCAATACACAAACATGGCCGCGCTTACCGATTTGTAGAAATCGGTGATTTAGCGATTTAAATTTTGTTACCATTCGTTTAATATTATTATTTTGTTACCATTCGTTTAATATTATTATTTGGCGGCAGAAAATTTGCAGACTTATTATTTATAGTATTCTTTTTCTGAAATCAAGTTTTTATTTTAACCTTGTCTTTCCCTTTAAAGTTGTTTTTTATCAGGGTAGACTAAATTATTTGATGGTTTTGTTTGTTTGAGGCAAATGTTTTGGGAGTTGTAAATTTTCTAGTGGTAAACTGAATGTGTTCCATTATTCAAGGTAAATATGTTCAATTATTTTTGAGGACTTCAGTTACTTAATTTTGTGCTCACTGATTTAACTCTTTATCATCTAAGGGTTTAGGCATCAGAATTCAATTGCAGCCACTGTTTGTCCCTGCTTGATCATTATTAAAGAGGTAGCTAAATGGGTTTGAATTACTGGAGTCTATATGCATTTCTTAGCTCCAGCAAGTGAGCTGGTTTTGACCCCTGGAATTGCCTTAAGTTTGTAACATCTGAGGTTAGCCAAAAATCATATTTCCTATTTCCAGGCATCTCCCCTGTTTCAGCGCCATATGCCCTAAATTGTGTTTGTGCTAAAACCTAACAAAATTAAAAAGCTCTATCATATAAAAAAATGTGTGTATAACATGATGACCCTTCCCTGACAATGGCTGGGAGAGAATGAATGGAATTTGTATGAATGAAAGTAATAACAATTATAGTTTCTAGACCACAAATTGATTTCCTTCCTTTCATACTCAGACAGCCTGGCTGTTGTAAATGGACCCCTGTCGTTGAATTGAGTTAAACATATTTAATATCTTATAGCACTGTCTATATAAGCAAATTTCCTATTGTCAGCAGTATAAATGGCACAAGAAAAAAAAAGTTATATATTTGTTCATAGGCTATGAAGTGATTCTGATATTAGACACTTCTCGTGGTACGATGCCACAGGCATATCCTATTAAGTCATATTGTCAGAGACGTGAAGAGTTTACATTACAGGCCACGAATCTATCAAGATCCGGAAATTAGAAATTTGCTCTATAGTCCCATATAAGAGGGATGTTGACATGGGGAGCTTTCCAAATTCTGGTGATCATTACTTGGTGTTTTCTGTCAATATTTGACACCAGTAGATATACATAATGTCCAATTTGTTACAAATAATGAAATTTATAACAACCACGCAGACAAACTACCATGTTTGCCATGTCCCTCTTGGGAAATCAATGACAAACAATGTGCTCTTTGTTTCTTTCCGGCAAATTGGGTAGCGTAATGGACATATTTTCATGTTCGTAATCCATTTTGTCAAAATTAACAAGTATCGGCCATGTAAAATGCAAAATAGAGTAAGGTTGTAATAACATTAAACCAAATTGTCTGATCATTGGCAAGTTTAAGAGTAGTCCATAATGTTATATTGATAACTTTATTACGTCCAATATTGTCTTCATGAAGGGTTTATGTGCATAGAAGCTTTTTCGCTAATTTATTTTATTCTTGCCAGAAATGGTGCGAGGAAATAATTGTGTCTGTATTAATTAAATTGTATGCAAATCAGCAACTGTTGATAATCTGTTGATAATTTGACATTTTTAAGGTCAAGGTTAGGCTTGGAGGGTCAAAGGTCATACAGTCCAAAGGTTAGGCTTGGAGGGTCAAAGGTCCCACACATAGTTTTTCTTAAAATTCTGAACATTCTAAATAAAATTTTGAAAAGTCTTGATTTACAGCTTTCTTCATTTTGTTGAAAATTAATGATTTATCTCTAACTTTTGATCAGGATCTTTGAGGGTCAAAGGTCATACTCTGCAGAAAGGTAATCAAATAATGCTAAGATTTTCGCTTTTATCAGGAAGACCTACAGTATGATGTACATATTTAGATTGTTTCAGGTCTTTCTAAGAGATACATTTAAAAAACAACAACATTTGCCTAACTTATTTAAGTAACTTCTTGCCTCAATTGTGAAGTATTTCATTTTCTGTTTTCTTTCTAAATGAAAGTGTCCAGGTTTAATTTCTTCTCTTACACAATGTCAGTACAACCTGACGCATGAATATTTTGTTTTTATTGGCGGCTGAATGTGGGGGGTTAAACATCTTTTGAAAGTTTTATGAAAAGCCTATTGTATTGAAACCTACTTTTAGTATATTTTTACCATTTAATCCCATCAGTTTTAATTGCGTAGTTATATTTCATCTTGCCACCACTATTATTACAAGAGAACTAAAAAATTTCAATTTAATGTCTGTATTGAATACATTGGGGTTTTTTAATGATAGTGTTATCTGGATTAATGCTATTTTATGAGAATTTTACAATACAGCAATTCTATTTTATGTTTTTGTTGTATTTTTCAGCCTTTGAACTGGTTGAAAAAGGGTAAGTTGATCTATATAAATCATACCTTTGCCTATTTTCTACAATAAGTGTTAAAGGTCAAAGCTAGGTCAGTCAATTTGAAAGAAGAGCTAGCTTAAGTAAAGTCGATGGTTCTACTCTGGTGCCTATTTGTGCCTGAAATAATGCATGGGTCCATAGTCACCTGAAGTCTTCCTCCACAAGTAAAGCTGGAAAGTTGTTGTATAACCTTTAACTTTGTTGGTAAAAGAAAAAGTCAATCAAAGTGAAAATTTCAGAAAACAATAGAGCAATATGGGCTCTATATCAATATGGCTAAGCGGTTATTATAATGTTGCTAACCAATCAGTACACTTGCATCTCACAGCTGTGGGTTCAAAACCCACTTGGCATTTCAAATCTGTTATATGTTGAAGCTACCCTGTCAGGCCAGTGGAAAATTGGTTGTTTTACATGGACACCAGCTTACGCTGCTGGATAGTTCAGTTTGTAGAGCTTGAGGATGGTATTCCAAAGGTTCACTTGGTTCATGTAATTACCAGTCATTGTAAATTGATACCAATTCATCGGCATTGTTACTGTGTAGTTTTGTATATGTTTGAAAAATATTAATAAAACATGAATGGCAAACAGTATAGAGAGTCCTTTCAGATGCTTGCCTGTCACTGCTGTTGGTTCAAATCCCAAGTGCTTTGGATTATTTCATGTGTGGAAGCTATCCAGCTAGCTTATGGAAGATCAGTGTTTCTTCTCAGTTACTTGGAAGAATTCAAGAAGGGGTTCTTGAGTTCTTTCCCCATCAGTGAAGATGGAAAGTCGTTGTATAACCTTTACTCTGTCAGGTGGCTCAATAAAATCCAAACAAATTAAACAAAACATACAAAGCCTTGGCATTATATTCAGTGATATAGGCTCATTCAATGATCATATCAACATTTGTTCTTCAGTAGTCCTATAAAACTGTATGAATGTTCAGGCAGACTGTACATTATATCACTGACATTTACAGGCTTGTATAATGTACACAGCGGCACTTGAGTTGTTCAATAGTTAATGTATGATACGTATTTTATTTGGCAGGGAAGTGATGGATGTCCCTACGGATAAAACACTCTCGGAGGAAACAGCGTGGAAGTATTTCCGCGACATCATCCTTGGCATCGAATATTGTAAGTATTCCCGTCAGGAGATCTGTTAATCTGTCTGTCCTTTTACACTATTTATTACCATGGTATAAAAGGTTTTCTTACCGTTCAAATGACCATATAATAGGGTCATTTATCGCAAAATAAAAATTTACATTGGTTAAATTGTTGGTAAGAAAAATTTGTTCAGCTGATGAATAACTGTGAGTGTTGACTTTTTGTTTATGACTGAAATGATAAAACAGGATTTACCTTACATTTTGCATTGAGATATTGAAGAATATTAGTGAGATATAAGTAATATCACACTGTTACTTTGGAACAGTGAAATATAGGAATTGGATCATGGTCTATACAGTCAAGGATACAGCAAAGAAGAACACATATGATTTCTTGGATAACATCTGATAAATTACTATCATTTAATACCAGATTTGGTAATGTCTTAATGGTAAAACTATTAAATCCAATAGAAGATAAGACAAAAATTTTGTTTTGTTTTTAATGAATATTTACTTTATCTTACTTTGGTGTGAGGATTTTTTAAAAGATATTTTCATGGATACTTTACGCTCTTGAAAATATAAAAAACTTTTCTTATCTTTATGAGACGTAATGCATATTTGATGAATACAAAAAAAATTCCTGAGTTATAAATTTGCTGTGAATAATTATAATTCTCATGTGCAAGGGAATATCTCTTTTAACACTTCGGTGCTGTAACATTTTCACTTGATAATAATGTTATGTCTGATAATATAGGAAACCATTCAACCAGTAAAATAACTACTGACAATTTACACATGGGCATTCAACTATAATGAAAAGAGGAAACCATGGTGTTATTCCCTCAAAACTTTCTCTCTGCATTTGATGAATGATTTGTTAACAGACCTTTTTACACAAATGCCACAGAAATATGTCTAGTCAATTCATGGGATTTTGTTTTCTGCTCATTGACAGTCTCAGTATGAGCTTTATTATATTGAGATGCACTTCCCTGTTGATGACATGGGAAAGTGGTAATTTTTAGCTGACTCTTGGAAAAAAAGAGAGATCTATAGTACTCGCCCAGGCATCAGTGTGATTGTCACACTTAGTTTGGTATCTGAAAATTACTGAAAGGGAATGGGTTAAAATTTCACACACTTATTTGAGAGCATAAAGGGTCACTGTACATAACATTTAAATGGATTTTGACAGAAGTAATGGCCTTTTTGAACTTGAAAAATTCTACAGTATTCAAGCTTATATTTTTACTATCAAGCACTGAGAATAGTCGAGCAAGCTGTCTTACAGACAGCTCTTGTTTTTAGGCCTCTTCATTCATGGCTTCAACAACATTTATTTTGTATAGTAGACTAATCCTGGTTTGAATTTAGAAATATTCTTTTATAATATGTGGAATATTTGATATAGATTAATCAATAGTATAGATCCTGGTCAGATTTCTTGGACATGCAGGCTGGAAGTGACTCTAGTTAATAATAGTGAAGTAGGCAAAACTGTTGCTAGAACTGGAATGTTTTAATTTAGTTATAATAATTTTTATTTTCAGTACATTACCAAAAAATCATTCATCGAGATATAAAGCCTTCCAATCTCTTACTAGGGGATGATGACCATATAAAGGTAATATTTTACTAATCTTACAGTTCTTACAAACTTAATTTTAAAGCTTATATTGTTAAATAGATAATGTTCTTTCATTATAAGGATTTATAAGTAACTCGGCTTCAGAAAATCATCAATCTTACAAACATAAGAGTACAAGTTGCTCAATTAAACCTAGTTATTACTATATCAGTATGTTTGTGAACCAGTCTTTTGTACTTTGCTTCTTATTGGTTGATTTCAAATATGAATAAGAAAACAGCCAATGAGATCATGGAGAAATAGACTGGCATACAAACAAATTCTGTCTCAAAGATTTATTACGTTGTCAGTGTAAGAAAGTTTCAATTTGAAAATCAGCCAAGGGGATCATGGAGAAAAAGACTGACATACAGACTCTTGACTGAAAGCTTTATGAGTGCAATGTTTTCAAATATGCCATAGAACCAGACTGCCATTCTACATAACCATTTTCTGAATTAAAATTTACACTTAGAAATAGCCATTGAAGATTTGCTTACAGACAAAAATGATCTTTGAGACTGTGCAAACATGTAATTTTTCATTTTTATACATTCGCAAATTGATTCAAGTTCAAATTTAGACTGTGCCATTTGAAATTACAGAAAAGTGAAGTTACTTACATGCAGACTTAATTTTATGAATTTTGTGCTAACATTTATTTTAGATGGTATTTACAAAGTTGTCCGATGTTGTAGTATTGAAATGTTTTACATGTTTATTATAACTGCATGTCAAGTGTTGATTTTACTGTTGTTACAGATAGCAGACTTTGGTGTAAGTGATGAGTTCACTGGCAATGATGTGTACCTTACAAGTACTGCTGGAACACCATCATTTATGGCACCAGAGGCACTCAAAGGTTTGTGCCATACTGTTATTTTATGACCTTTTTCTTTACATGAGGCATTCAGCTGTCTTCAGTTATTTCAGCTTATTTTATGACCTGTGTATAGAAGGAGGCATTCAGCTGTCTTATGAAATTTCAGCTTGTTTTTAGAAAATATTGAGGTTATTATAATAGTTGTATTGCACTTTCCAACTGAGCTAAAAATAAATGTTTGAATACAAAAAAAAAATGCTTGCGTTTTTAGTACCAATGCATCTAATGCTTGCGTTTTCAGTACCAATGCATCTTATAAGGGCAAAATTGTGACAGATTGTGCATCAATGATCTACCAATGGTGCCGGCTGATCTTGGTCTGAACTGGTCACATGGTTGGCCAGTGGGCTTATTCAGGTTAAGCAAACTGCATGGATACTTGTTTTAAGGCATGTGTGACCAGTGCAAATCCAAATCAGTCTGCACATCCATGCAGTTTGATCAGAATCTCCATTTTTCACTTTTGAATTAACAAAAGAATTTCTGACTGAAAAGCGATAAGTGGAGATGTTCATCAGACTGCACTGTGGCACATGCGTTAAAACATGTATCCATGTGGTAAAGGGTTAAGCAAACTGCATGGATGTGTAAGTCTGCTTCAGTTTATAATAATGGCCACAGGAAGTTATAAATGTTACTTAAATTCCAAAGCATCAGAGTGGTCATTTGAAGTTTTTGCTTATCATTTTATACAGTAAAATAGCATGATTTTGCAGCACACTGGCAATTTAATAGATGAGTTTTGCCCAATATATCTTTTTTCACAATTTTCAGAAGAGAAGGAGAATTTCAGTGGTAGAGCATTAGATATCTGGGCCATGGGTATTACTCTGTACTGCTTTATATATGGACATGTAAGTTTGAAATACCATTTCACCTTCTGTTTTAGGTGTTACACTATTCTTGCGTTTTCTATATAGTTCCATGAGTATAATTTATTAATATCACTTTCAATATATCATTTGATCCTTACTTTAATTTCCAGAGATATAATTTCATGAAGACACGTATGTCCCTGATGTACTGTTAAAAAGACCTTTATGGTCAATGTTTTATATTTCTATTCACAGATTTAAGTGAATATTATCATGTTAAAATCAGATACCAGCCTACTCAATATTACCAGCCTACACAACATTGTTGATTAAATCAGAAAGTTCAGATTATTACAAATATTAAAATACAGTGCAACCTCAACAGATTGGACATCTGTAGAGCCATAAATTCTTTACAAAAACTCTGTTCATTCCCACAGTAAGACTTTAACAATAAATTTAACCTCCATAGAGCAACACCTGTGAGTAAAAACCAAAAAACCAAATTTGCAGTGAAACTCAGCAAACTGGCCATCTGTAGAACAATAAATTCTTTACAAAAAGTATTTTTAATCTTCCCAAAGTGAGACTATTTCAATAAATTTAACTTTTGTAGAGCAACACCGAAGAGCAAAAACCAAAATCTGTCTCCTGAAGGGGTTTGTTTTGTAGAGGTTTTACTGTATACAAGTAAAATGTATTGTATGTTATTGTTTTACAGTGTCCGTTTGAAGATGATATGCCATTAAGTCTACATAAAAAAATCTTAAAAGATCCTGTGATATTTCCAGAAAAGTAAGTAATTGAAATATAAAAATGTGATTTGTTGTTTTATAAAACATAACACATCCTTTCAGTTATAATACCTTAAAGGAAATCCACTGATGTCAAAAATACTAAAAACATAAATTTGATCAAGTGAAGCAGTTTAATGGAAAAGAAAAAAAGGGAATTTACTGAAAATAAATTGAGCATTGATCTTTCGTGTGATCCTTAGTTCTGATTTGAGTGAAAAGTCTTGCAAAACTTTTCATTTTTATGTCATTTTGCATGACAAAAATTATTATTCTGGACAAACAGTACGAGGAAATGATCTGAAAATTTGCATATAAGTTATTGGTTTATACCTTCATCTAATGGTTCACAAATCTCGTTAAAATATTTCCAGTCCCGTCAAGTCAAAATACCTCAGTGGAGTCCCTTTAAAGTGACATTAGATCTAATTATGCCCATTCAAGTGTAAATTTAGACTAGAGTGTAAAGATAAAAATCAAAATAACTTTACATTTTGCTATAATTTTTTTCAATTTTATATTTTAATGTGCAAAAATAATTAATAACCCACATAACTCAGAGCAATTTCTTAAAATAGCCTTCAAAACTTTTTGTTAATCTCCAAATGATAAAAAGAGTGGGTGCAGTCTTTATAATTATAGTATTATTTATTTATTCCTTAACATTTGTCATTATAATAAATTGGTCAACCACAATATTATTGAAATAATCAATTTTTTTCAAATTAAAAGCTAAGTCAGCTCAAAAATGCATATAGTGTTGCTATGATTTTCATTGGATGATTGTTTTGTATTATTTGTATACTTGTAATCTTAACCTACTGAATTTGTGAAATGGATTTTCCCTGCTTTGAATTTAGAACAGTCTATTCAAAGTTTAAGGGAATTCAGTATTAAAATACCATAAATTCACTTAATTTCTTTGGCACGAAATTTTGTGGTTTTGTCACAAAGAACATTTTCATGGGTTCTTAAGTTTGTCTACTCTTTATTTTTCCAAAAGCTAAATGTATAATGTAAATGATGTGATGCAAAATAATCTTACAGCAGAGAAAATGAAATATTTTTGGATTGACCAATCCATGAAAACCCCGAAAAACTATTGCCCCACGAACAATAATGATTTTGCAGTACAAAAATTGAGTTACAAACAGTATAAAGCCTGGTCAGAATGAAAGGAGGTACAGGCTGGCCAGGTTATTATACTGGTGGCAAAGTCTAGTCATTGCTAAAAGTTAATAAACAGTTTACTATATGTATATGTATGATTTCAGGCCAGATGTTTTACTATATGTGTAATTTCAGGCCAGATGTATCTGAAGGTATCAAAGATGTTATCCAGAAGATGTTAGACAAAAATCCAGAAACTAGGATTACACTTCCAACTTTAAAGGTAAACTTTAAAACTTTATAAAAATTTAATTGTTGACTAAGGGACATACTGCCTTAAAGACTGATTAGAGGTATTTGTACAGATAAAGGAGCTCATTCGTGGTGAAAAACAAAACAAAACCAACAAAACGAAAAACACATGTTTTTTTTTTATTTTTACATGGATGAAGTGATGCACTAAAAATGGAAAAATGGAGAATCTACAAAAAAATACAAAAGAAATATACTGAGAGTTTAATTAAAATATATTTTAAGTATCATTCCTAGCCCTGTTACATTTAAAATCATTGCAAGGCTTTTCATTTTTTCATAATTTGCACACTAAAATGATTGGTTTATACAGAATTTAATATAGTTTAATTATGTAGGAAGCTATAAGCTTACATACAAACTTTTGAATCCATTCCGGGAACCAACCAATACTGAGCAATGAGTGTAAAGTTTCTTGCTCAAGGAAACAATGACTTGCCCCACTAAAATGATTTTTCTGGATAAACGGAGTGAGGGAATGGTCTGAAATATTACACAAGTTATTAAACCTAGATCTACATCAAGTGGTACACAAGTAAAAATATTTCTACCAAGTTCGCCCTTGTAGACAATCTAGAATGACTTGCTAGATTTAATGGTGATTAATTTCTAATTAAGAATAGTGTAAAATTAGATGTAAACTAATTATGTAATCTGGAGAAGGAAGTAATTATATGGTAATGAAAATAGTTCATCTTCCCAGTAAATTACATAAACACTGATTACAATGTGGTTAAATGACTTCGGTTAAATGTGGTTTTTGCGTAAAGTGACTGTTTGAAACAGAGTTTCAGTCACAGGTCTAAGGGCTGTTACTTTACAAGAGTTTCTGGATTCTGTTTCTGTGTTGATTTTTATCCAGAAATTTTTAGTCTTCACACATTCTTTACATGCCCTATCATTAATCTCAATCCCCATCAGCACAGAAACATAAATCTATTATCGGCACATAAATGCCCATCACTTTAGACATATAAATCCACCATTACCACAAAACATAGATAACCTATCACCACATTAATGCCTATAACCAAAGACACTTAAATCCCCTATCACCACATTAATCCCCATGACCACAAACACGTAAATCCCCTATCACCACATTAATCCCAATCACTACAGAAACATAAATCCCCTATCGCCACATTAATCCCCATCACCACAGAAACATAAATCCCCTATAACCACATAAATACCCTATAACCACATAAATACCCTATCACCATATAAATCACTACCACCATAGAAACAAAATTCCCCTATAACTACATTAAACACCATTGCCACGGACACATAAATCCCCTATCACAACATTAACACACATCAACACAGAAATATCACCACCACCACAGAAACATAATTCCTCTATTACTACATTAATCACCATCGCCACAGACACCAGACACTTAAATGCCCCCAACCCCAACCCCCCAAACACCATAGGCAAATTAATCCCCTATCACTATAGAAACAATAAAGTTATTATTATAAACCCCTTCCCCATAGACACCAATTCACCTATCTTCATTTATAATACTCTTTAATCTTACTCAACACCATGGGAAAATGAACAGGTCTTTATCTTGTTAAAGCACGGTTGTCATCTTTGCCTACTCGTCTATAAAACTGTATAAATCATCTTCCCGTTGGCTGTAATTGTTATTTATGTATCATACGGAATTTCTCCCAGACAATAATTGAACTGCAGTTACCGGTATAAAAAATAAGTTAATATAATTTTAGGTACACTGTTACTTGACTGTTCTACTTCTTGATGCATATTACTGTTTGTTTTGATCTACTGCTATATCAGGAACTCAGTTCTGAGAAAAACTCATTATTGTTTCTCAGAAAATAATTTTTTAAAAATAATTACGAATTTTCCATGTTCTACAATATAACAATATGAACAATAGACTCATTAAAATGTATCATTATTTATATATACAATAAGGTCATTTTTACTGTAAGATAACTTTGAAATTATACGTGTATGAAATAATAACAGAAGGAAGATATTTTGTTGATTTTTTTTTTAATCAGAAAAAAAAAATATGGAATGAAGAAAATTAACGATGTTTCAGAGATTTTATTGCATAAACTTTTGTGCACTGGTAGTGAAAATGACTTGCATATATTCAGCAAGTAGAGCCAAGCAAGACCATACAGTGCTTGCAACTCATTTTAATTAGTTGAGTAGTGGTTAAGGTTGCTGACTTCAAACTACTTTCCCCTTACAGCTGTTGGTTATAAATAGATCTTGGGACCCTTTTTTGAAGGAAGCTTTAACAGTGATAGTATGCATTTTTCCAAGATGAAATTACTGAAATTCTTAGTTTGAAACAACAGAATTATTTTTCCAACAAAAAATAAAAAATCCCCTTTGCTTCTTTGGGTTATTTATTTGAGGAAGCTATCAAGCAAGCATATTACATGTTATTTGTTCCACTCAGGTGCTGGCTGGTAATTGAAATAATGTATTATGGGACAATAGGCTTTTCTTTACAAGAATAGCTCAGAAGTCAGCATAATTATGACCTTTACAATGTCACCATATGATCTTTACTGTATCACTGTATGACCTTTACAGTGTCACCGTATGACCTTTACTGTGTCACCATATGACCTTTACTGTGTCACCATATGACCTTTACAATGTCACCGTATGACCTTTACTGTGTCACCATATGACCTTTACAATGTCACGGTATGACCTTTACAATGTCACAGTATGACCTTTACAATGTCACCATATGACCTTTACTGTGTCACCATATGAACTTTACAATGTCACCATATGACCTTTACACCGCCTGCGTGGTCGAGGGGTTAGAGTCGATTACTTCTAATCCAGTTACATCTCCCAGGGAGATGCTTTGGTAGTTTAGCGCGGAGGAAGGAAGTCTAGTACTGGTGTAACTCTCCAGGAAGAATGGTTAGGAAACTACCCGCCTATATGACTGAAATACTGTTGGGAAAAGGCGTAAAATGAAACAAACATATGACCTTTACAGTTTCCCCGTATGACCTTTACTGTGTCATCGTATGACCTTTACTATATCACCGTATGACCTTTACTGTGTCACGATATGACCTTTACTGTGTCACCATATCACCTTCACACTGTATTGGTGTGTATATACAATGTATACCTGCATGTATTGCCTGGTTGTACAAATGTACAGCAAGAATGTAACTTGTATCATCTATGAGAAGCCAACGCCTCTTCAACTGAATGAATATCTCTAATATGTAACTGTTATGCCAGTACAGCTTTTCCTCCTAAAATGATTCCTCTAATGTACTTTGATAATACCAGTGCTTCTCTTAGTATAATTTTATTACTTTAAAACAATATCAATGTTCCTTTATTGTTACCTTCCAATACTGGCAAATCTCTTCAAATGATATTTATAAATACATACAGACATGTGAGAGCAAATTTGCAAAATATGTATTGCAATTGTCAGGAATTTTAATACAGACTTGAAAACTTAAAATACATCAAGTTTTATTTGTAGTGATAAAAACCTATATTGTTTTACATTTCAAATTTTATTTTCAGTTACATTCCTGGGTGACTAAAGACGGTGAATTTCCATTACCCACTGAGAGCGAGAACTGCAATCTGGTTACCGTAACCGATGAAGAAGTTGATAATGTTGTAAAACCGGTGCCGAAACTTGAAACTCTGGTAATGACTTCCTTCTATTACAGTTTTTCCTCTTGTTCAGCAGGCAATTATTATTGTGACAAATGACAGAGTATCGGATAACATCAATTCTTTAATATCCTGCTTATCCCATTAAGTAATTAGACATATGATATGAAATAATGATTCATCTTGTTATCTCTCATATAGGGAATACACTGTACATGACTGTGTCCTCATTTTATACTGAATATCCCAGGATTAATTGTTTTTTCTTGGTTTAAGTGCTCAGAGTTCGACTTTAGTCAGATAGAATGATGTCTGCTATTTTGTTGTGTTGGTTAATTGTGTTAATGTCGATAATTTATTGTCAGATTTTGACCAACCTTCACAGGAATGATCTTTAGGTGATCATCTACAAACGTTCAATAAATGGTTCCAGACTGATGCATAAGTACTGGTCACAGGAGCTTAAAACAGATTTGAAAAGTGAAATTTGTGTAGCATGCATCTTGTGTGTTTATTATACTGTTTATTTACACTTTTAACATTTAGCATACTGCTGTCTACAGAAACAACCAATGTAAACCTAGAGCAGCCCGTCTGTTCATGGCCTAAATTGTTTGCTGTCTGGCAGCAGATACATGTATTATCAAATTTTCGTAAAAAGAATGTCCAGATTGAAAGATAGGCAAGGCAATTTAAATTTTTTTAGCATGGTAGTGGTAAAATAACCCCATTTGATATAATCTGCAACATACTTTATATATATATATTTTTTTCCTCAGATATTTGTTAAAAGTGTGTTACGTCATAAGTCTTTCAAGAATCCATTCCGAGATAACAAGGAGAATATGAAGGATGAATTCCAGAAATCAGGTCGCTCCAACTCCGCACCAAACTCATCATTTCATCAGGTTGTTAAACAGTAAGTAAATATTATATGTACCATGTCCCGCACCATGTTTTATGTCCAAATCATGTCCTGACATAACATTGGCTTTGTTCGAGATCCTGATAGTTTCTTCTAATCTATACGGTATTTTAAAGTTAAACAAAGAAAATAATTTGCATTGTAATACATGTATAATTATGAGAATATGTAATTCTGCAAAATACATAAAATTAGCAGCTCTACCGACTGAGCTATCTGCTGCTTAAACATCTTCTCCCCCAAATAGTAAACAGTTCTGAACCGTTACATTATGACAAATTCAAAGCGTTTGAAATCCTTTAAAATTCAAATGAACTGTTCCAAATTTAAAGCAAATTCATTAAAAAAATTCAGCAGGTTGTCTTAATTCTAGGTCAGCTTGTGTCTAAAGGCGTAGCTAAGATTTCTCTTGTTTGAAGAAAAAATCTTGCATTATTATTTTTCAGGCGAATGTCTGCAGAAGACAACATAGAAGAACAATCCTAGCACAAAATACAAAACTTCATATCGCAGCAATATATACATATATATATATTTACTGTGTAAAACTTATTCTAATATTGTAGAAAAAATAAAACACATTGAAAATCTATGTTAATTTGATAACTGCTCGATAACTGAAATTTGTGATGTTTAAAAAAATTGTTTTTCTTTTCTATATTTGTTTTGATTGTTTTTTTGTTGATGTTTTATATGTTTTGTTCTTTGACAATTGAAAATTTATATGCACCTTTTTTTTTTACAAAAAAATATTTCATTGCCAAGAGTAGATGTACTTAGTGTAGAAAATAAACAATGTATATTTACAGTCAAATCTGTCTGTAGACCATGTTTGAAAGTGGTCTTTTAACAGGTTTGACTGTAAATTATTCTATGTTTAATTAGAACATTATATATCAGAATATGTTTTAATAAATATTTGATCATTGTTTGAGAAGTGAAGTCAAACGTAGTATACGTCATGTTTTTTTTCAAACGGAAGTTTTATCTAAAAAATGGGACCACATGCATTAGTTTTTCATGGGGTTAAGTTTTTCACGTGAAGTATACCGAGTTGGGGCATCAAATTGAACAGAAATAAATGATCCCCAAATATTTTCTTTTTTTCAAGCATATCTACAGCTTCTTGAATTCAAAATTCATAAAGTATTTTTAAACATATTTGATTAATGTTTCATAATATAATGATAATTTCCAGACATCCTTCTCATCATCACTTTCATCATCATCATCCTCAATATCATGGCTGATTGGTTAAGGTAGTTGTCTTCAAACTAGTTGCCTGTCATAGATGTGGACTCAAATTCTGACAGAGACTTTGAATTCTTTCATGTGAAGAAGCTATCCAGCTAGCTTATGTTTGTGCCTGAAATAATGCATGGAGGAGTCCCTGATATCTACCTCCTTCAGTAAAGTTGGAAAGTCGCCATATGACCTTTACAGTGTTGGTATGACCAAAAATGAAAATCATCACTGTTGTCATCATTGTCATCATCACCATTATCATCATGGATAATTGCTCATAACTCACTGGCATATTTAAAGTTACATAAAAGTTACTATATTTATATATCCTCTGTGACTGGCTGATCTTGTACCCCTCTGCTTATAGTTACAATTCCACTGCTCCAGATTTAAAACCCACTTTTTTCATTATTTTTCCTTAGCTGGCAATGAAAATTCTTTCAAGACAGCAATTTGAGGACCATTCCGGTAGCTATTAGGGAGTTTTTCAGGTAGCTTTTAAGGAGTTATGCTCCTAGCTATTATATAGTTATTATGTAAGCTATAAGGGAGCTCTTTGGCTAGCTATGAGGAAATCATCTCTGGTTTTAAAAGATTGGCTTTTCCTATTTGTACAAGGATATCAGCCATCGATCTTAGATTCTCCACCTGTAATTTACAGAGGCCGTCATTTGACCATTACGATGTCTGTGTCACATGAAATATACTTCCTGCACACATATAATCATAGTTATTATGTTATATATTTTTATATGATGTTTAAAGCTGAATCTCATGTTTGTTTGTAAGCTGCTATTAATTGTCTGGACAACATATATATTATTTCTACAATATAAAATGATACAAATTGCTGATAATTAGTGAACAGATAATTGTTACTGGGAAAAAATTGATTTCGCAAACACACTGCCAAAGGTTATGTAATATATCATTGTTTCAAATGTATATATTTATAAGCATGTTTTAAACATTCTGAGGATGTTAAACTTTCAATTTGCTTACTTACATTGCCATTAACTGTATAAATATCTTAAATGGACATGTCCATCTTTCATTCTGGGCAAAATCAGCCTGCCCTATCTTTAGGCAAGACTATCATTTTTGTCATTCTTGAAATTAATCCTTAACCCTTTGGAATCTCTTAAATGGACAATGTCATGTCCAGCTTCAATTTTGAAAATGTCCGTTATCATTTTTGACAGAAAATTTGAAGTTGAAGATGAAAACAACTTTAAAGTTTGTCAGCCAACAAATTTAAAGTTGGTCAGCCGATAAATTTGAAGTTGGTCAGCCAACAAATTTGAAGTTGGTCAGCCAACAAATTTGAAGTCACTCAGCCAACAGTATGGAGCTGTGTTAGATTGCACAGTTGTGTAGGCTGGTCTGGCTTTATTAAGATGGCTAGGGCCAGTCACTTTCTGGTTGTAGCAGGGTAAAGGTCACTGATAAAAGACTTTAATTGCAAAAAACGACATTCTAACTGCTGTAAAATCATTGGGTATTTATTTGTGACTTCACTATTTCATTAAACTTTATTTTCTTGTAATGCTCTACCCTGATCTGGGGTACATTAAAAGATGAAGGCTTTTTTCTGTTTCTAACTTAAATAAATTGTTTGGCAAATTTGGTATGGGTTAGATTTCTTAGAGAGAAAAAATTGGTACATGTGTGAGAAAAATTATTTAGAAAATTTGGTATATGATGCATTATTTAGCATTTTTTAGACGAAATTAATTTTTTTAACAAATTTGGTAAATGTTAAATCATTAACAATATTTTTATGGTTTGAATTATTTAGCTAATTTTGTACAAGTTAAATTATTAAGCAAATTTAGTAATAAGGAAAATTTTGTTATGAGTTAATATATTTAGAACATTTTGTAGATTTCTGGCCTATATTTTTCAGTTTTCTAAAGGTCTAATGTTTAAGGTTATTTATTACTTATGGAAATCTTATATTTAATGTTACATTTATCATTGAAGACTTTACTTAGTAATGATTCTTTTATATCATTTTAAAAGAACAGAGTTTTCAGTATATAAATTACAAGACAGTAACCGTAACATAACACTTAAATTTATCATGTTTTGTTTTAATAATGTTATACAGTAATGGTTTGCATTTTGAGGTTATTAGGATTACCATTAAAATTTCACTTTTTAGTAATTTTTTTTTTTAAATTCTTTTCTATATACATGTAGAGATGGACACATCCAAATTAAGAGCAGAGTGAATTCATTTCTGAAATTTCAGTAGTTTTGAAATTGAGTAAGATTTTGTCTGGCATTACAAAATGGAATGTCATTTAAATAGGACTCAAGTAAGGGATGGGGTTGAAAATACTGATTTTATGTGGTAGTCTTCACTTAAGAAAGGGATCGGGTGGAAAGTGCTGTTTTTATACCTGATGCATGGATCAATGGATTGGACTTTGCAGTATGTTGCGTTTTTTCCAGATATTGTATAAAATAATCATGATTTAGAATGATTTAAGATAAATTTGTGTGAATAGGGCCTTACACATCCTGTACATATTGTTATTTTCAGTGTTTACTGTGAAAAGTTTATATTTGTACATATCACACACTTGTGCTCACTTTGTGTCTAACTTATGCATTTTCACACTTATTTTTTTGTATTTTTCAATAAAATGATTTGTTATATACCTAAATAGAGACAGACTGGTTTTAAATGCAGGAACCTTTTTTTTCCAATCAGGGAGATTAGTTAGACTACAGTAGTGAGAATTTGTTTAATTAATGCATGTTGATATATATATTTTTCATGTTTATTTTCATTTCTTTGCCCATTGTTTATCAAAAATCTAAAATTGTAAACCAGTCTCAAAAATGCTTGCATCTGATTGGTTATTGTTGTATTTTATTTTAAACTGATTGGTGGTTGCTTTTGAATTTTAGACTGGTTGCCAATATTAGTTTTGAGATGACATTTGATAAATTCTTTGTTTCATTTAGTTTCTGTTGAGTTATTATAATATATGAAGTAGAATTAAAAATGCTTAGCAAGGCTAAAGTCAAATGGAATTTATCTGACATAAATAGTTATGTCCACTTAAATGTTTACAAATTTTTTGTGATGTAGAAGCATAAATTCATGGCACTTTTTATGACCAAAAAGAAGATACAGCGATTTATTTTATGTAAAATAATGATGTGTGAAGCTGTTGAAAGTTTTATAGTTTATACATACATGTATTGAACAAGAAAGAGTTTATAGGAACTGACTGCATGTTTTGACATGATTGCTTTAAAAATATACCCTCAAATACACCATTATCAATTTCAATACATATAAACTCAAATTCATTTTTTGACCATATCCATTTCAAGAAAAATGTAAAAAAAATATATCAGAAAGATTGAACTATATTTTTATATGAAACTACTTTATTACAGATGAATAGTTGTATTTAGTTATCATTATTAATTAATTACTGTATGTTCATAATATTTAAAGATTTTTAATCATCAAGGTTTTATGAAATTAAGTTAGTTTTAGTAGTATTTAACATTTTATTACTGTAAAATCAGCAATTATCTCAAGGGATTAAATGTACTTAGTTTTGGGGATAGGAGATTTAATTTTCACAAAAATTATTGTTTGCTAAGTAACAAAGTTTTATATAAATATAACAAATCTAAAAATAGAAATTTTCTTATATGAAACTTTGTCAAATAGTCAGATTTCTTGATTTTACAAAATTTTGTTCTCATGGAAATATCTGGTTTTCAGTAAACCATGCTTTCAAAGTTGTAAAATTTAAAATAAGGCCATTTCATTGGTAATTTCTACAAAACAGCTAAGATTCAACCAATCAAAAGCGAGGATTTATAGAATGTGACCCACCTCTATTCCACTGGTACAATACTCATCTACATTTAAAATCTGAAAGTTAAGACTTTCAAATACTTAGTTTATCTCTTCCTTATTTTGTTACTTCGTATATTCATTTGCATAAAATCTTGCTAGATTTCATTTTAATTTCCTTATCTAACAGAAGGGACTCTGAGGTAATCAAATTCAAATCACATGGTCCTCACAAAACAAATGGGCATGCAAAGTTCTTGACCACCAGTAAAGCCAGAAAAAATTGCCATATGACCTTTACAGTGTTGATGTGACTTACAATCCAGCAAAACAAACTATAAACAAAATTTTAACAGAAAGCAAAATAAATATTTAGCTGTTTAATTACAGTCTTGCGTTTTGATTTATTATATTTAGCAGTTTTATCAATCTCGTGGTCTTGATTAGGAATATTTAGCAGTTTGTATGGTCTTGCATATCGATTTCAGACATTAAATGTAGATGAATAATTGCCTTTTATTTTTAGCATCATATTTTGGAACATTTCCTGCCTTAATCTTATGTAACACATATTTGTATTTTGCAGTTTTTCTCTTGTCTAGTTGTTTGGATTTAACTTGCAATATGCTCTTATTTTTAGAAAGGGCATATTATGATGTGTATATTTTGACATATAACTTTTTATATTTAACCTTTAACCTGCTGGAATTGAATGTGATTAGCCTTTGGCACCAGTATAGAGCTGGGCAAGTCTGAGCATCTGTGCCGAGTCTGACCGGGCTTTCTTACTGATGGTAGCTCAATTTTTGTATAATTTGATATTGAAATCCCTTAAACTTTGAATGGACTGTTCCAAATTCAAAGCAGGGCAAATCCATTACACAAATACAGCAGGTACAGGGTTAAATATAACTTTTTTACTGTTTTTTTGCTGACATTTGTTAAATTTATCTCTTTCAGAGTTTATATTTTTGCACTTCAAAATGTACAATTATGTATAATATAAATGTATTTTTTTGTCATGTTGTTTATTAATTTGCACTGTTTGTTTTTTTCTCAATGGTCATGCTTCATCGATTTTTTATTTCATTTGTCATTGCATAGTTAATAGGTTTATATATTTTGAAAGTTGTTTCATAGCATATGTTATTATTTATATATAATTTACTGATTTATATGAAAATATATAAAGCATTTAGAGTGAGGAAAGATTTTTATGGCATTTTAATACATGTACAGGAATATAACTTATGGTTGTGAGATGTGGGGACCATTTTGATTACTATGTAGTCAATTTATTTATGTTCTTATTTAAATAATACATGAGTTTTACATGAAATATATTCAACATTTGTTATAATTGGTCGATTGAAATACTGAACAGATTTGACTTATTTTGGCAGATTAAAGTTTTGGGACATGTAAATGCATACAATGTATATTTGAAAACTTAAATTATACACGTAGATATGGTATTTTATTCTTAAAATGCTGGTCAAGTAAAATGTTTAAATCAAATATACAACATGACTTTAATTTTAGGATATACATAATTTAAAAGTTTTTTTAAAGTAAAATTACAAAAATGATTAATTCTGATAACAGAAAAGTGCATGTTTATTTATTATGCCCACCTTCAAAATAGGAAATGTATAATTTTTTTCTGTCATGTTGTTTAAGGTAGATTGTTAGATCTAAAGGTTGGGCAAACAGCTTTGTTATTGCATAAGAACTAAACAAAAGAACTATTGGTTCTATAGGTGTCAGTTTGTATAGTACCATTGTGAATTTTGTAGAGGAAAAGAACAAAATTGCTTCCAAGGTTAAAGGTCAGGGTCACTATAATGACAAAAGAATCAAACTATTTTATTATTTTTATCTAAAGAACTTTGACCTGCACATTTGATATTTCATACCGTGATTGCCTGTGGTCAGTGGTCAGTAGAGAACCCGATTACTGGTTGTAGTGGGCTTTATAGGCCAAAGGTCAGTCCAGTGACCTTGACCCTGAACTTGATTTTGCTCAATGGCACAAGATGGCTTTGGAAGGCATCAAACAATTTGGTCTGGATAAATTGATTAAGTTTAGATTCTTTTTAATTATTAAAGCCACAGTCATGGGGTCAGTTAAGCTATAACTTGGGAAGAACAGCTTTTGTTATTGTACCTTTTATGCAAACAGTTTGGAAAAAAATACTGTAGATTATGTATTTACACTGTTGAACTTGACAATCCCAACCTTTGTGAATGATATTATCTTTTATCTTCAATTTGTAAAACGCATTTATTTTCATTCAGTCAGATTTGCTTTTATTAGAGGGACAGTTACCTCCCTTTGTTATCATTTTTGTTAATATCGTTTTAGACTTTATTAAACTTTATTTAACAGATTTATTATATTTGAATGGTGAAATAAACATTTGTTGAATTATGCAGAACTTTATAAAAAATAAATTTTCAATTATTGTTTAATAATAAATGACGCTTTATTACTCACACAAATTTGACTGAATGCAATATCTACTTTTGCCTAATGTTTTTATTGACCTAATCAATTTTGTATTTGTATTTTTTTTATTGTTTGTTTGTTTGTGTTTGTTTTTTGTATAAGTTGCCATATGTAGCTTTGTTTTTAAATGTTTGATTAGCTTATTTTGATATTATATTTTGTGACAATAGATTGTTTGTTTTTTCTCATAAAATAAATTTATATTATTATTAACTGCACTTGTGTAACTTTCTATCTAATGCATTTCAATAGAAATGGAAAAAAATCCTTTTAATTAAAATGACTTTGTGTTATTTATTTGTCAATAGTCAAATGTATTCTTAACTGGTCAAGCCAGGTTTGCTTAAATAATATTAGGAGAACAGTGGCTTATTGGTCAAGATGTCTGCCTCTCAACCCAGGGATACTGGGTTTGAGCCCTACTGAGGTCTATACCTCATATGACACTACTCTCCTGCACAACGGTCAAATGTTCATAATATGACACCAGTACTGGTTAGTTCTAGTTAGCAGATTAAAGAGTGTAGTTTAAATTTCTTCTAGGGTTCTTAAGAATGATTCTTCCTAAAACTGCTTTAGTCAATATACATTGTACTAAAATTCAAAATACGTAAGAGAATATTAACATTTATTTTCAGCAACACTGACCTTGACTCTGACAACCTCGGCAGAAGATCGAGGACCACTCATGTTATGTGCCTACTTAAGATGAAAGACATATATTCTCAATAAATAAAGGCTGTATATTAAGCAAGTGTAAAGATCTATTTTTAGCATTTGTGGCCTTTCAAGGTACATTCTAACCAATTATAAATGACATCTGTATAAATATAGGCTGTCAGCAAATGTAAAAATCTATTTTTAGCACCAGTATTATTGACCTTATAACCCATGTGACCCCAGACTCCATCCTACCAGATATAATAAATAAATAGGTCATATGGCTTTACTGGTGAAGGAAGACCTTAGATGCCCCTTTGTGCATAATTTCACCCACAAACAGCCCCTGCCAAGTTTCAAGTGAATAGCTTTTATATATATTTCTAAAGAATTTGACCTTAACCAAGTCCCAGTGGCCTTGACACTTGACATTTTGAACTGAGAATGGGTATGGCAGGTAGAACTTATCAAAAGTGCACCCATATATCTCAAGTTTCAATGTAATAGCTTTGTTAAAACTGAAGTTAATGACCATAAATGAAAACCAACACTGATAGTGCTGCCCCCTAGATGATCTTGAGAACAGCTCCAATTTTTCTTCAGAAAGTTGAGTTAAATATGGCTCTTTTTATCCGAGATTTCCAAAATGGTACCATATCAGATCTGACATGGGTACAGACCATATCTCTAATATGAGAAATACTAATATCAAAACTTTTTTCTGTCACTCTGAGGGAACCAATGTGGTATGGAAGTAGGGGGAGGGGTTAAGGGGATTGGACAAAACCAATGAGATATGAAAGTAGGGGGGTGGGGGGTTATTGGGATTGAACAAAGAGTACCAACACTGTAAATATTTTATATATATGAATAACTTTTATTCATCATGAATCAATTAAATAAATTGTAAATATTTTATCTTATCATCTCTGATTGGCTATATATTCTTTCCTTATATATAACTTTACATTGTATATCATTATCTTTACCATTTATGTTATACACGCAAATAATAAAGAAAAGAAAAAATATTTAAAACAATAAATACTGTGTATAGGTTACATTACATAAACTGTAGAAGAATAATGTATTCCAGCATTAAACAACATTGAAAGCTTAATTAATTTTACAAAATTTAAACTTTTTTTATCCTAACGAAAATTTTAGGAACAAATTATGAATTAAAAATTCTTGCTTTTGAGTTTCACAATTTAAGCCATACACTGGTACGCTTAATGTGTTACTGTAGATTGTCCACAATGAATATCATCTTAAGTCTGAAATATCAAAACTAGTTTGAGTGATGAAAATTTTTTGTAAATTAAAAAAAAAATGACCCTCAAGATTTTTCAGAATTTCTTGTAAATGTTAACTTTGATTTCTCTATTCTACCTAGTATAAAAGAAAATATAAATTTCCCTGCACAAACATAAATAAACACTGCAATGCTGAATTTTTAAAACAAAACATATATATCTCATTAAAGCAATCAATCATTGACAATTTTTTTTTCCTTTTCCTTTTTTTTCCCTTCTTTTGTTGGCATACATACCAAGGGTAAAAATAATCATGAATTATCCACGAAAATGAAATAACCGATTATTTTGTGGGCAAAAAAACTGTATTTAAATAATCAATAAGTAAATTTCTGTGTAATTGGTAAACATTGTGCTATAAATAAGCATTACATTGTACATAAAACATTTCTAATACAGTCAATGTATAAACAAAGTTTTAAAATTTCAAAAAAGAGATTCTTAACAATAACTTAATCAACAAGACAAAACACAATGATGCAATATTTAATAACATCTCTTATAATACATCATCACCTTAGTGCAGTAATGTGTTAACTCCTTATATGATTTAATAGAAGTTAACCCGTTATTGCACTTAGGTGACGGCATGTGAAGAAAGCAAAATTCATATATATAAAGAAAATCAACAGTTTCTATTTTGCATTGAAATTAAGAATTAAAACAATAATAAAGTTCATATTAAAAAATAATGTTATATTTTAGCCCTGTACTGTTTAAAGTCAACTTTTAAGGTCAGATGATAAATTTACTGTGACTTTGAATTGAAAAAAAAAATACATTTTCAATAGTTTTTTTTATCTATATTCCTGCCAATGTCATTTTTTAAGGATTCAAACCTACATTATTCTAGGGTGAATGATAACCCTTAATCTGCGACTGAATCAATTCATGAAGCCAGTGCAGGCTTCATAAGTGCAAACTAATGCTAAACCTGACTTTTTCTATGAAATATATGTATATTTTAATCTCTTATTTTTGTTCATAATGTCACCTTAATGTTACAGGTTATCTCCTATCAAAGTAAGTAGCACTTACTCCATTACTGAACTAAGGTGACAACAAGATTTCTCAAACTAATTATTCCAAGACCAGTTTTTCAACTACTTAAAAACAAAGATTTTTTAATTTTTGTTTTTTGTTTTGTTTTGTAATCAGGTATTATAAGTCAGTATTAGTAAAAGTGTTCTGACTAGCAAGGGCTGCTGGCCGTGTGGGTTCAAACCCTGTCAGCGGCATGCCTTAGAGTTTTTTAGCTTCTGTTGATTTAGAGTAACACTCACCCAAGCTGAACATCAGCATCAGGTACATTATTGTGTTTGAAAATATGAACTTCAGTCTTGAATGGATGCAATTACATATAATGTATAATTATCTCAAATTCAAAATTAGAAATAAAATAATTATTACATTTCAATAAAAATTATTTTCCAGTATGTGGTATTTAAATAGGAGTGGTCTTTCAAACAAAGTTTTACAATGATATTTACAACCGTTCTGAACTACATGACATATCTGATAAGAATACAATTTCTATCAGCTTATAAACAATACAATAACGCCAATAAAATTCAAATGACAATTACAAGACTTGGTTTAAAAACATAGACAGAGAATAAAATGCCAAGCTAGGAGACAATTTTAACAGATTAAGTAACTATATTCTATAAATTTGACTTGAAAATTTACCATTAAACACCTTTTGGAAAACTGATCCAAAAAATTAAAAAAAAAATCACATTCAAAATTTTTAAAAATTATATTTTTTTAAATGTATACACAAATGCTCCAACTGTACATAGAATTAACTGTTTATATAATTAATTTATTAAACAAAATGAGACAGAAAAAGCTAAATATTTCTTGTTTAAAATGATATATGATGTATGCAACACTAAAATATAAAACATACAACTTTAAAACCCGATATTTTTACTAAAACTACTAACAGAATGGCTAACTAACTCGGACTAGAATATATAATGTGTTGAAATAATGGCCTATCCTTAAATATTCTTACTTTCACCTCTTTTTACAAGGAATTATAATAATTTTCTATTTAAATAACTAATAAAAGACTAAATGACAACTTCGTTGTAGTAAAAATAGCACTCTTCCCTTTATATTTCATTTCTTACTGTGATGATATCCATTTTGTTATCAAAGGGATATCAGATAAATCTCACAGTCACCTGGCTTTATACTGAGGGCCTTGGCAAATCATTATCATTTTTCTTAGTGCTAATATGAAACAAAACCGTTAACACGAACTATGCTGAAACTGAAAGAGAAAAGCCTTTGCCACCAGTATAGATGTGCTTTTCATATTACAATTATTACCTCCCTGGCTGCAATATTGATTTATATTTCCCCCTAAGATAAGATAAAAATCTCTGAAAATTCTATCATCTTCATGAAAACTGATAAAAACCTTTAAACATATTGTTGCTATAATAATATTTTCCTTCATATGTATAAAAGAATTTGACAATTCACCTAACTCAGGTTTTATATTGATGTTTTCATATTTTGTCATTTACATGTACATTATATAAAATATTGACCCCCTCCCCAAAATGGCTGCCACTATTGTCAAGGGAGATAAATATTGTAAAAATCAGGCATGTCCTCAAGATAAATCAAATATAAGTGACTGGCAGGTCACTATACATTTACCTTTTATTCCCTTAAAATGTTAGATCAAGGAATCTGTAAGATCTATGTATATTTTTTTATGGCACACAAAAAGACTTTTTACTAAATCTGATTTAAAGTATAATTATGTTGGTCATGTTACTACTACTCTAGCCTAAATTTATAGATTCATTCCTCCCAAAAATACTTGTAACATCCAAACCACCTGCACAATTTTCTTCAACATATCTAACACAGGAAAACAAAACAAGAGCTGTCGGTAGGACAGCATGCTCGACTATTCTAAGTGCTTGATAGTAAAAGATCCTTGATAATGTTAAATTTTTTAAGTTCACAAAAGGGCTAATTTTCTTTTTATAAATTCATGTTATAGGCCTTAGAGAGAGTCTAATTATACAGAATTGGCTTGACTATTCGGAAGGTAATGTCACAAGGGTTTTTAATTGAGTATAATAATACTAATGTAACCTATGAATACATAAATTTGACAGAAAAGGTACAAAGGCTTGTTATTAAGATGTTTTATCAAGAAAATCACTGCTTTATTATTATGAATGCATAAAATTGTCCCAAAAAAGGCACAAACCCTTCAGTAAATATTGAGATAACAGCTTACAAGCAAAACTTTACCATGAATTTCTAAGTTGAAAAAGGGGAGAAAAATCAGCCTAAATGCAAGATAGAATTATGGATCTTTGTCAGTGACCTACAATTATGACCCTAAATGCATATGTGAAGTTTTAAATAAATATCTTTAATAGTTATTGAGATATGTAAAACTTGCATGTAAACATTAACCAAGAGACTAAGTAGAAAAGGGGATATGAATCACTAACCTTAATGCAAGATAGAGTTATGGAACTTGGTCAGTGACATACAATTATGACCCTCCAATTATGACCCTAAGTGCATGTGTAAAGTTTCAAGTAAATATCTTTAAAGACCTTTAACCAAAATTTCTAAGTTAAAAAGGGGCAAATAATTCTGCAAATATTGCAGACAGAGTTATGCAATTTTGCAAACTGATGTACATTAATTGTTACTATAAATAAGTATTTTAAATTTCAAATGAATATCTCAAGCAATAATTGAGATATTTGACTTTACAAAAAAACTTAAACCAAAATTTCTAAGTTCCAAAGGGGCATAATTCTGTCAATATTGTAGGCAGAGTTATCCAACTTGTCAATTTGATGTACCTTGTTACTATAAATAAGTATTGTAAGTGTTAATTGAATATCTCAAGCAATAATCAAGATATTTGACTTTACAAAAAAACTTTAACCAAAATTTCTAAGTTAAAAAGGGGCACAATTCTGTCAATATTGTAGGCAGAGTTATCCAACTTGTCAATCTGATGTACCTTGTTACTATAAATAAGTATTGTAAGTTTCAATTGAATATCTCAAGCAATAATTGAGATATTTGACTTTACAAAAAACTTTAACCAAAATTTCTAAGTTAAAAAGGGGCATAATTCTGTCAATATTGTAGGCAGAGTAATCCAACTTGTCAATCTGATGTACCTTGTTACTATAAATAAGTATTGTAAGTTTCAATTGAATATCTCAAGTAATAATTGAGATATTTGACTATACAAAAAACTTTAACCAACGCAGACGCCGAAGCGGACGCTGACGCCGACGCCGACGCCGGGGCGACTACAATAGCTCTCATATTCTTCGAATAGTCGAGCTAAAAATACTTAAACATTATTTTTTCTTTTTAATCCAAATTGCATCTCTTAACTTTCCATAAAAGTGTATTTTCCAGTAAATATGATTTACCAAATTTTCTGTCACTTTCAGTTTGTCATGGAATTTCTGCAAACAGTGTTTAAATTTTACCTGTTGTGTATTAATAGCATCAAATATATAAAGTTTCACAAACATAAAAAGTTATAAATACTCATTAGTAATATCATGGCTAACCCTGATAAATTTAAACTACAACAAAACAAGTTATAGAATTACAATAATAGCATAACTGTTTCATTTTTCAAACTCAATAATCCTTATGGGTAACATACAAAAAAGCATTTAAAACAAATAAACAATCAATACAATGAAATGATTAAAATATCTTAGTACTAAATCACAAGCCCAGATGATCTGTTACCTCTTAACACATCAGTCTCAACAAATTTTACCCATGCAATCAGTACAGACCAAGATCATTTAATTTGTGCAGACCAAGATCATTTAATTTGTACAGACCAAGATCATTTAATTTGTACAGACCAAGATCATTTAATTTGTACAGACCAAGATCATCTGGCATATCTGTGCCATAAGACCATGGTTTTTGTTGTTTTACTATTCAGTTATTCCTAATTTTTGGAATTTTCCCCAAAAATCATGAATGGTTTTGTCCAGATTACAACACTGATAAGTCCATTTCAGATCTGTAGGGAGGTAAGAGTTAAACATCATATTTCAATCAAAACAGGTCATTATAACTAGCCACAACCCTGATCCTAAATCCCCCCGACAAGCACTATTGTTCAATGGCAAAACTTTCAAACCACAAAAAATCAGCACTAGAACAAATCCAATTACAACATATTCACTTGAACAAATCCAATGAAAACATATTAGAGTCATTACATTTAAATATATATCACTAAATTAACAGTACACTTTAAACAAATTAACAGCTGAAGGTTGAATGAATAGAACCATTTGGTTCAGTTCTGCAGAAACAAATTCACATGTGTTAAAAGAAATGGTCCCCATCCATTATCTAAAACTGTAATTTTCCTGATTTTTGAAAACTTGACCTGGATGTCAGGGACATTAATAGGTCAAGGTCATAATTCACAACTTCCCCCAGAGGTATATTATGTATAAGAATGATGTCTCTCATTTATATAATAAAGACGTTATGGCCTATGTTGCAGTTGTTTAGGCCGTAAATATCTTGCAAAATAATTAGTCAAGATGAAAGTTTCCGAATTTTGGAAATTTGACCTCTGACAGTCAAGGTTATTTGGAGGTCAAGGTCATACTTCAATACTGAAAGTAAGCTGTCATGAAATAAATCATGTTGATAACGAAGGCTCTGGCTTATAAAACACAACCACCCATCCCCTCCCCCACTCCATCAATTCATTCATTCAGGGTAGGACAGAGGTGCATAAAAATATCATTAGGCATCGTACAGGTCTTCATAAACAGTCTAACAAATACTCTTCCTTCTTAAGCAAAAAACGAAACTAATTTTGGTTTGAATCAGATAGAAAAAAATAATGCATATAGTACATAAAAACATTAATGACTTTTAAAACAAAACTATTTACAGTAATATCAAATGATAATGTGATAAAAATGAACAGCACTATCTGTAAACATGACTGATACCTTAATGAAAATTGATCAAATATATAAACATAAAGGGCTTAATAGTACTTAAATATGGTGAAATATCTGCACTACATAATATGTACAAATAGCAACCACTAAACTGACTTGGTTTACTTCAGTATACAAGATACCAACCTCTATTTTACATTATTTACCTCAGTATACCAAATTACCAATCTCTCAACTGACATGGTTTACCTCAATATACCAAATACAAATCTCCTTTGACATGGTTTACCTCAGTATACCAAATACAAATCTCCATTGACATGGTTTACCTCAGTATACCAAATACAAATCTCCATTGACATGGTTTACCTCAGTATACCAAATACAAATCTCCATTGACATGGTTTACCTCAATAAACCAAATATAAACCTCAATATTGAAACAGTTTACCGCAGTATGACAAAATTAGAATAATAAGATAATGCTTAAATAAAATAGTGAAATGGGAACCTTTCAGGCTGCCCAGCAAAGGCATAAAATGAAAATGTCGGTAGGCAATCAAAATTTAAGTCGTGGTCATTAAGAACATTTTCACAGAAAAAAAAAATGACATAAAGAAAGAGTCATATTTACATTATATACATCAATGGCATTTATGAATAAACAATTAACCAACATCTCAGTGACCAAATACTTGGTCTTTCTGGTAAAAAATTTGTCAAATTAAACAATTTTTACTTCCTGTTTCAATGTCTTTTATTAAGGTTTAAAAAAACACCCTACATTCCTACATCCCAAAACACCACAAGACAAATATCTCAAATATCTATCGTTACTGCAGCATGGCTATAACAAGGCACAATTTTGTTCCGAAGATAACAAAAGTTGTTTCTGGATTTCAGATATAAAGTTAATACTGACAGAGTTACTTCCTCTTGTTGACAGAAAATTGTCTTAGTTGACATCTTTTTGACAGGATATCTTTCTGATAGAAAAATCTTATTATAGAAGACTATCTTGTTTGAAGGTTGTCTTTGTGACATGATTTTTTGTTTTAAAAGACCACTTTGTTGACAGGACATCTTGTTGTAAAAGACCATCTTTGTTGACAGGACATCTTGTTGTAAAAGACCATCTTTGTTGACAGGACATCTTGTTGACAGATAGGTAAATTCTCACAATATTTGAGAGATTGAACACTTTTTGTCCAAATTGTTAAGTAGTTGATTAAAATTTCCAGTCGTAAACTAGCTCTGAAAATATAAGTGAATAATGTTTATAAACAACTTAAAAAAGATATAAATAGTTTCTGGATATAACTAATACAAAATGTTCTAAAATACCATGTTCATATTTGTAAATATTATTATAAGTTACATACATAAAATAATATTAAAACATGTACCTGAAACAGAAAAACTAAAATCTATGTTGCATTTAATTTGGATGCGCATTCACAAGTACATCATATAAAGTTCAACTTTATAGAGCACAAAAAACCTGTTACAAAGTACAATGGAAAAGAAGTTTGTCTGCTGTTTAATCATTCTAATATATTTTTATAACATTATTTGCATTTTACTTCCTTTATAAACAGACTTATGCATGTTGAACTTTTTGATAAAACAAAGAAATTTCTTTTCCCACTTAATGAATGGGAATTGACAGCATATAACTGATAAATTACAATGTACATTTTTTTTATGAATATGACACAAATTCTGTATTCATTCAACTTACATAAAGGGAAGCAACTCTTTCAAAAAAATTAAAGTAGAGTTATGGCCCTAATAAGCTTATTGTTTAACAACAACTGCCTCACAAGACTTAGCAGGCATTCAATAGACAGCAATACTCATATGTGTCTATTACATTTTTGCAGTTTCTGATGAAAACAATCTCTTGTTTATTTTTTTTTTAAATGCCTGACACATTTTCAAACATACTTATAAATATATGAGAAAAAAAATCTTAAAATTTCTTAACAAAAAAATAAATAAAATAATCAAATTTAAAGCAATTCCTGCAACACAATTCATGCATTAACCAACATTTAAAATTAAACAAAAAACAAGAGTAAGAAATACTTTCTCATGCCAATGTTAATTTAAGACAAATAAACTTGAAATAATCTTGAATTAAACAAAAGTCTAAGCCAGTCAACACCCTCAGCTATTTTTTTTTCAGCGCTCAAAAGTAAAACAAAAGTCTAGACAATGCAAATTTTTTCTTCTAAGTTTTCTATTAGGAGTATAATTCATTTAAATTTTACATAAGAAATATTGGTCACTAAAAGTCTAAAACCTTCATCATGACTTTAAAAACAACCTTAGTGGTTAATGAGAAATGCTTTGAATTTAGATCAGTTAATCATTGCCTGTTTGAAGAACTGAGGAGACTGCTAACAGTAACTATGCTGGTCAAAATGTACAGAATTGATACACTTACTAGCCTCTTTGTTTGTTTTGTAGTATTTATGCCAAATTTAACAAATCTTTGTTAACAAAGTAAGTATTCCAATTTTCATGTTGATAACTTTTTAAATGTTTGAATAATGGGCTAAGCTTTTGCAAGACATTAACAACAAAGATCTTCGAAAATGTCTAATATGCAAGTAAATACGATAAGTAATTTCAGACACATCAACCAAAGCTATATTCTAAATGGTTTATGTCAAATAATATATAAATCAGTCAAATCATTTTTTTTTGCTCTGTAACAAGTCATACAAAACAAATGTTTCAACAAAAAACTAACATTAGTAAATATTGTTCAACAATGTTCTATAATTCAAACACTAATCAATAACAATCCCTAACAAATCAATAACAATCCCTAACAAATCAATAACAATCCCTAACAAATCAATAACAATCCCTAACTAAACACATCAAAACATACAGCTCCATCATGCTGTATGAAATGTGCATGCACGAGATGTACACGTGCAATACCTTCACATCATTGGAGCATAATCCCATGGTCGACTCTCCTCATTACCGTCTTCATCCTAAATATAGTATCCAGCAATACAGTTTTCATTCAAGATATTCACTTTATACAATGAGACTAATATACAGGTCATAAAAGAACATAATTCATAAAGAATTCAAGCCACAAAGAAAAGCGATAATGAAATAAGAATTTTAAGAATTAAACCGTTTAGAAATAAAAACCATTTAGAAAAAAGAACACTGCCAAATTACTGCCAAATTACAGTAAGATGTCTGTTTTATAAATTTCGTTTAACCTCATAATTATATATCTCTATGAAACATAGTTGTCAAAATTGTAAGGCTATTTAGCAGGAACAACAGTCTTAAATAGATAAAAATATGTGTATTTTTATCCTAACATTATATTTATTTCAGTATCGTACAAAATTTAACTGTCCAGATACTATTACAAATTTGTAATAAACTAAGCAAAAATAAACATATTTTATCTATGGAGTTACACAATAAGAAAGGTATAATGCTATAAGACCTACATATTTGTATATTATTCAAATTAAAGAACAAAATCTTGAATTGAATTGAAGACTAGAGTGAAAAGTTAGTAGAAACAGGAATTCAAACTATCAATCTATCTAGTGAATTTCTATTTTGATTATCAAAATGTTAAACATTACAGTTAGTAGATTTCAGCTTTCAGCATGACAAAATCCTAAAAATCCATATTAAAAGCATGTCATTTTCTGACATGACCCCCACATTACACTACATGTATCTGTGTACTGACATCTTTTCACCTCTTATAGTGATCATGACCTGAGAAACAGACCTGCATGAGCCTTCTTTACTGCACATGCATGTATGGCAAGCATTTTTGTAAAAAATATTTAAAATCAATCACTGGATAACAAATATTACACTAAATATGAATAAGCCACATTTTGGCAGGTGAAAAGGGGAGATTTTACCATTTAATCATTCAAGAATCTTGTCTGGTATATACCAAAATACAGTGTTTAGTGTGTTGGTCCAACACTTTTTGGTTTCTATCTGTTATCACATATGATACTTATGACTGATATGTTATAACAAATTGTAAATCCTAGATACAATGGACAAAAAAACAACAACAAAAAGTCTTGCTATATACAATGCACTGGAGAAGACATTTAATTTACTACTTTGAAGTGGATTTGATGGGCACATTTTCCATAATCATTTCAAGTATTCATTAAAACAATAGATACGTATTTTTTTGTATATTATAAAAGACTTATGATGCTATCACTTTAAGAGGACTATGGCTACACACCCTTTGACACAAACTATTCACGACAATAATAAAACACATTTCAAATGTTTTATCCCCAGTCTTCATTTCACACAAAACTAAAACATTCCCAGTGAAATAAAATAATTCTGTCAGTTTTTTATGGTTACATAAAAAGTTGATCTAGTCACATTCCAGTCTATCATGTCAAAATAACAGCTTAAAAAAAGGTTGACAACAAAGTTACTGTCATTTTGGACCTAACATCAAAACCATTAAATCTGAAATCAATTAACCTTTAGTTGAAAATGTTAAATTAATGTAGGTTGATAGAGCAAGGATCATCTTTTTGCCACTTTGAATTTTAAAACACAACTACTTTTTTCTATCTCGGGAATTTAAATCTAGCTTCAATAGTTAATTACATTTAAACAGAAAAAACACTTATTAAGTGTACCTGGCTACTGTTTTCATTTTATCACTTTTGTGTACTAAGTATTGTTTTTTTGTTGTTTTTTTTTTTTTCTTCAAAATTTTGCAAGCTTATCAAAAACAAAAATTGTGAACATCGTTTTAGTTGAACAGTTGCACACCTTTCAAATCTTTGTTGTTGTTGTTTTCAAGAACAACATAAAAATAACAACAAAGCAGTCTTAGTGTTTGAAATTATTTTTGTCCAATATTATTGCAGAATTTCAAATAAATCTTTACACATTTAGGTTTGTAAATCGGAAACTATTAATCAGTCTAGTAAATCCACTGTTTATAAAAATAATTTCAAAACACTTAATTGGTAAGTGTTAATTAGAAAGCATTTACTAAATTAAATCAGTAAGTCGAATGGCTGCACCGTTCTTGACCAATTTAATTTTTGTAAGTGCTTACTAATTAACACCAACCTATACATACTCAGTAGTCTTAGATCAATAAGCTTCAGGCAGGGGTTTAAAAAAATACATAAATAATATGAGCTGCGTCACGACAAACCAACATAGTTTGTTTGCAACCAGCATGGATCCAGACCAGCCTTTCATTCGCACAGTCTGATCAGGATCCATGCTGTTCGCTTACCAACTCTATTACAAGAAACTGATAGTGATCAGCATGGATCCTGATCAGACTGTGCGGATGCACAGGCTGGTCTGGATCCATGCTGGTCGCAAACGCACTATGTTGGTTTTGTCATGACGCGGCTCATATGTTAATTTTAAAGCAGAAATCTACATTAAAATTTCCAAAAACGGTTAAAAAGCTATCTAATCTAAAAGGGAGAAAAAGCATTATTAGACAAGTTATAATTTACATATAATAATGTCGTTATTAACAATTAAAGGTAAGTATAATAATTAATGGTTAAGTATAAGTAAAGTTGTAAAAGTGAGAAAACAAGAAACATGTAAAAGCTAACACAGGTTTAAGCTATTTAAATAAGTAGCATTTGCATGAACAAGAAATGGTAAATGTTTATATTTGTTAATGATCCATTCTTTATTTTTATTACTAAAACTGAGCGTCTAACAAAAGGAAGTCTTTAAAATAGCCCCACTGAAGCTTCAAAACATAAAATTAGAAAATCTTAAATGGATCAACTGGGGCACATTGTCACTTATTAAATATTTCCATATAATTCATCAACAGTAAAAGTATGATACAATAATCTTATGGTCTAATTTAGAATGAGTTGTATCTAATAAAATGTTACTTTCTTTTTCCAAAGAACACTGTGCATTTAAAAATTTAACTCTTTTTTTTCCTTCTGTCATTAAACCAGTGTGTAACAGAGTAATTACTTATTCTAAAAAATTTGTTCTCAGATTAATCCAAAAACATTTCTTGTACATGCATTAATTGCCAAATTATAAAGTTAGAAATTTTTATGTAAGCTATTAAAATATTATAATTAAAATGTCCAGTAAAAGCAAGCTGTAAATTGTCCACACTTTTCCCCTTTGGAACCCCATCCCAAAATTTGTCCACACTTCCCCCCATTGGAACCCCATCCCAAAAATTTTCATCACGTCCACTATAGTTTTTATATGATTAAATTTTAATTATTTATTTTGGGTTGAGTGAAAAATGTTAAATTTATTAAAAACTTATAAACCTTTCTGATTCTTTTCGGGAATTTTTAGTGCTGGTGTAAAGGGAAATTTTGTTTTCCCCTGTGTGCTTGGACCCAAGATCTCTATGTTTAAAGGGGGATTTCTTAACCACGGGCCAAAACTCTCCACAAAACTTTTTTAACTTAATCTGACCTACCACAAGTATGACATTGTTGACATAGGCCTGCCACTGTCAATAATAATAGTTCATACAGACATTCAATTCTGAAATTCAAGCACTAACTAAACACTTTTAAGTATGTTTTCCTACTTTCCAAGCACTTTTTGAAATGCCTACATCACTTGTTACCTGCCAAACTTAGGCACATTTCATAATGTGGTATACTTTACTAAGAGACAAACTACAAGTTGCATTTACTGTACATAATGTTTGTATATACTTATATACATTGTATATAACAACACTCACTTCTTCCCCTTCCTATATAGAAAAACAGTACATATTTCCAGTTATACAGTGTCCACATGCAGTCATAGTGAAATGAGCCGCGTCACGACAAAACCAACATAATGGGTTTGCGACCAGCATGGATCCAGACCAGCCTTCGCAACCGCGCAGTCTGATCAGGATCCATGCTGTTCGTTATCAGTTTCTCTACTTATAAAAAGATTGGAAAGCAAACAACATGGATCCTGATCAGACTGCACGGATGCGCAGGCTGGTCTTGATCCATGCTGGTCGCAAACATATTATGTTGGTTTTGTCATGACGCGGCTCAAATATAGTAGGTTTTTATTAAAACATTAGACCAAGAGCAAAAGGTAATAACATTGACTTTGGATAACATTTTAAATATTCATATATTCTGATTACAGCCAAATGATAAAGGTTTTACAGTTGCTGGGATTTTCTAATTGTAGTTAAAGGAAATATAGCCGATCCAAGAGAATAAAATTTCTACATCAACATGAAAAATTTTTAATAATTTTTTTTAGAAGAATAACGGTACCATTTTTACATTTCATCTGGGTTTCCAAGTCATTACATTCCTTTGTTTAAATTAAAATATAATTTATAAATTTTGTACAGGAAATTTCCAAAAATTAAACATGTATGAACAAATAAAACATATACAGAAAAAATGAAGGAATAGTACATGTATAAATAATATGTACAGTTAAAATATTAGCCAGTTTCATACAACTTTACCAATCATTATGTATAACATCTGTGACATAATACAGAGTTTTTCTCAGCACATTGGGACCATCACCTAACTCCAAAAATTGGGAATTTTTACGATATTTAGACAAATCAGGAAAACTGAATTGAGTGACAATATTTTGTTTACAGCAAATAAGACAAAGAAATCAAATTAACCTACTTTTATATTTCACTCATAAAGCACATATTACAATTTGGACTGCAAGATAACAATTTTCAATGGCACAGTGCAGTTAAATGTAACAAAATGACGATAAAATTTTACTTAATTTATTATTTGATCCTTGAATTGGAAATTTTCTCCATGAATTTGGGGAAGAAAACATACTTTTTGGCATTGGGAACATGATCCAATGTCGGTCATCAAAATGCGCAAAAAAACAACAACACTGTTTTATTAAGGGACAAACAGCTGTAGTCAAATCATGTTGTGAAAGGGATTTAGTTTGTCTTTAGTAAATGTTGTAAATAAAAGAAATTAAAGCCAAATGGTGTACAATCCTTTTGTATTAAAATAGTCTTCACATGATTTTGTCACTAAGGCTTACATAATACTGCTTATTTAGTAAGTAGCCGAGTGTCCTATTATATTATGTCCCAGATAACATTATACAGTATAAGTTGCAGTTAGAATAAGATTCATTCTAATAGTAAGACAAAGCATTTGGCTCGTACATAAAATATTCTTATAAATTTTCATGAAACATTCCAGGACAAAATTTCACATGACAAAATTCAATTCAGTACCTAAATAACACTTCAACTTAACAGCTTTGGTAGCTTGTTGATGGATCAATGTAATGTCCTGAAGTGTTGAGGGGTGGATTTTTCTTTCCCAAAATTCCAAAATTTATTTACCCTTATCTTTATGGATTGTATGTAATGGACTTGCCCTGCTTTCAATTCGGAAGAGTCCATTATTATTTATAGGGATTTTATTATCAAAATACATAAACTGAGCACTAAACAAAATAAATCTGATTATAGCTAGATTATATGGCTATGCAAGCCTGCCTGGCTCCGTACTGGTAAATTTAGCAAGTCAATATTGCCAAAACATTCTGAGTAACTATAATCAGGATTTCAATTTCAAGATATACTAAAACCCTGCAGCAAACGTGTGTCTAGTCAAAGAGCTTGGCATAGTTTCTAAACCTGGCTTATAACGTTTATAGATTGTAAACAAATTAGCCAAATGCCTGATGTAATTCATAAATATTCATATACAAACCTGATCTCCCTCGGTCTCTGCGGCTAGGGTGTAATGTTGTTTCCTCAGCACTGACAACCTCTGTCTCTCTATCTCTAACTCACGTTCAAGCTCCAGCACTCTCACCTATAAATAAATATACAGAAAATCCTCACATTACTATGTATATGGTCACCTTAGTTAGTGCAATAACTGGTTAACTCCTATAAAATTTAGAAACCCATTAAAAGTAAATACAATAAGCTGACAATATCCCGCCAATACACATGTAACTTGACTACTTTAATACATCATGACAATCTTACACAGTTTGTATCTGCTAAAAATGATATTACGCTCATTTTTTTTTCTCTGTCAAATAGAGTTAAATTAGTAAAATATTTCAAAAGATTGACTACTCTAATGGTGATTTATCAATAATTGATAATGAGAAATGTTTATGATAAAATTGTAAAAAACGACCTTAGTTATTAAAGGACTGGCCCACTCTTTTTTAGAATTACCGATACATTCTGAACAATATTTTAAGAAATTTCCATTGGTCACATAGAAATTTATTTTTTAATAATAAAATTTTAAATTAAACACAACTATGACAAAATGTCAAGTTATTTTCATTTTTACCTGTTCACTGATTTGCATGTCACCTGACAGACCCTGGTTAGATCCCAATTTGACACTGTACACAGAGTTGAAGTTTAGGACACCAGACAATATCATAGCTTCTATTTGCAAAGAAATGTTCTATTTGCACTTAACATATATTATCTTGTCATTCCACTAAGATAAATATGCAGCTAATTCCACTTTTGATTTTCCTTTCTTATTAGGAAATCAAAATACAAATCGTATCAAAATACAAACCTGAGAATCCATTTCTTGTTTCTTGGTCTGTATCAGTGATAAATGTGTGAAATCCATCAGACCTATAATAGAGTAACAGCTTTTCATATACATCTATAGATAGACAATTTTGGTCGAAACACCTTTCATATCAATCATAAACTGGTCATTTTGATGGACTTTAAAGAATAAAATAAGAGCACTGCATGTGGCCATAACAGTTGTCTGTTATAAATGCTAAGCTAAAAAGGGGTATAACTCCAATATTATTGCTTTCAGAATTATGCCCCTTGTCTTAACAACTTTGTTATGATAAGCAAGTATTCCAAGATTCATGTTGATAACTTTTAAAATGTTTGAATAATTGGCTACATTAAAGTTTTTGCATGGCAACAACAACAACAACACAGCAATCATAATAGCTCCATTTCTTCTTCTAAACAGATGAGTTAACTAGAAATAATTTTAAAATGATCCAAAAAATGCATGGTAATGGCTTAATAAAATAGTTTCATATTAAAGGTACTACTTACTCTTCTCTTCAATAATCTGTGCTCCAGTTTTAACTGTAGCCACCACATTTCCTGTTGCCCTGGAAACACCCTTTGATGCATCTTGAACATTCTGTAATGCATTACTTCCCCTTTTTGCCTTCACACGTGATGAGACGACAAGCTGTGCCGTGGAGGCTGCGATCTCTTGTGAACATACAATCAGCTGCTCGAGTTTACCTTCTCCCTTAACTACCTTATCAGCTGCTTCCCTGTAAATCATGGTGAATCATGAATAATCATGGTAAATCATGGGTTAATTAAAAATAATCATAGTAAATCATGGGTTAATTAAAGATAATGATAGTAAATCATGGGTTAATTAAAGATAATCATAGTAAATCATGGCTAATCATGGTTAATTATAGATAATCATGATTAATCATGGATAATCACATATTATCATAGATAATGATGGTCAATTATAGATAATCATGGGTAATCATTAATTTATTCACATACATTTAACATCATCACCGTAATGACAGATACTCAAGTGCATTACTACATGATAATGCTCAGAATAAGGAAAGTTTACAGGCCCTATCACATCAGATGTTACATCACTAAAGCAATATTAATAACATCATGAAAACTACTTGTATTTTTCCTACAATTTATTGATGTGTTATAGTTTTGCACTAATTTTTGTTTATATGTTTACAACAGCAACCCCCACCCTCTCAAGTCTCATACTCAGCATTTTTGACAAAAATTTTGTAGCATTACCATTTATATTTAAGCTCTTTACATATTAACCAGAAAAAAATCCATGTGTTACATAGTACCCACATTTTTCTTATCTATTACAGGGTGTGGAAACCACATATTTATTACAGGGTAAAATACCTACATAAGTGTGGTAGCTCCCCAGCCAACAGCCTTTGCTGCTGATATAAAACCTTCCGTCCAGCGGTGATTCTTCTTGTAAAAATCTTTGGCCGTTGATGTTCCCTAAATTATGATAAAACATACATAATTACTATAACAAGAAACATGGCAATGCCATGAAACCAGGTTTTCAATTATCACCATTGTAGATAAATATGTTGTATTTGAAATACAAATACAAGCAACAAACAATGTAACTATGTGCAATGTAAAACATGAATAATGTAGGAGGAATTGCCACTGAAGAAGTGTTCACTATAATATTATGTATAAGGAAAAAAACAAAGGGCCATAATTAGGTCAAAAACTATCCAATCACAAAACCCCGACAATATGTGCCAGGGTGCTTGATGACAAAGCTTCTGTGAAAGTTTGAACAAAATCCGTTGAGAAATGTAGGACGAGTTCAGCACAGAAGAATTTGTTCACTATAATTATATTGATAATTCTTTATAATGAAAAACAAGTTACAAAGTAGACATGAAATAATATATCATATCTTTTTTAAATTACCTCCAAAGATGATATGACCTTTGACTGCCAAATCAAGTTAAAATCATGTAAACAGGATTTTCAATGTTAATGTCACTGTGACCTTGACCTTGGAGCCAGCCATGCGGAACATGCGTTCTGCACGTCATCTTGATGTGGTAAACATTTGTCTGAAGTTTCATCAAAATTCTTCAAAGGGTTGAAGAGTTACAGAGCGGACAGGATTTTCAATGTTAATGTCACTGTGACCTTGACCTTGGAGCCAGCCATGCGGAACATGCGTTCTGCACGTCATCTTGATGTGGTAAACATTTGTCTGAAGTTTCATCAAAATTCTTCAAAGGGTTGAAGAGTTACAGAGCGGACAGGATTTTCAATGTTAATGTCACTGTGACCTTGACCTTGGAGCCAGCCATGCGGAACATGCGTTCTGCACGTCATCTTGATGTGGTAAACATTTGTCTGAAGTTTCATCAAAATTCTTCAAAGGGTTGAAGAGTTACAGAGCGGACAGGATTTTCAATGTTAATGTCACTGTGACCTTGACCTTGGAGCCAGCCATGCGGAACATGCGTTCTGCACGTCATCTTGATGTGGTAAACATTTGTCTGAAGTTTCATCAAAATTCTTCAAAGGGTTGAAGAGTTACAGAGCGGACAGGATTTTCAATGTTAATGTCACTGTGACCTTGACCTTGGAGCCAGCCATGCGGAACATGCGTTCTGCACGTCATCTTGATGTGGTAAACATTTGTCTGAAGTTTCATCAAAAATTCTTCAAAGGGTTGAAGAGTTACAGAGCGGACCAGGATTTTCAATGTTAATGTCACTGTGACCTTGACCTTGGAGCCAGCCATGCGGAACATGCGTTCTGCACGTCATCTTGATGTGGTAAACATTTGTCTGAAGTTTCATCAAAATTCTTCAAAGGGTTGAAGAGTTACAGAGCGGACAGGATTTTCAATGTTAATGTCACTGTGACCTTGACCTTGGAGCCAGCCATGCGGAACATGCGTTCTGCACGTCATCTTGATGTGGTAAACATTTGTCTGAAGTTTCATCAAAATTCTTCAAAGGGTTGAAGAGTTACAGAGCGGACACAATTTCGTTTGACGCCCGCCCGCCCATCTGCCCAGCCGCCCATCCGCCCATCCGCGCCGCCATACCCAATCTAATAACCAGGATTTTCAAAATTGAAAACCTGGTTAACAAACAAAACATGGTTCATTAAGATTATCATAAGAAAAATATGCCAATTTCAGGTTGGATAAATATATTTCGTTAGAACAACATTTATGTTGTTAGAACAACATTCATGTTGTTGTTGTTGGGATTTATGTCACACTGATACTGTAATGGTCATATGTGGACTTTTAAGCTTTACTAGAGAAGGAAGACCTCAAATCAACCCTTCTGTGCATTATTTCAGGCATGAGCCAGCACATAAGTAGAAACACCAACAGCAGTGAACAGGAAGTGGTTTGATGTCAACTACCTTAACCACGCGGCAACTCATGTCCCTAATTCTGATGCATCAACTGTTTAAGGCAACCCCTAAGCCACAAGCTAGCAGAACCACTGACCATCCATAAAGCGGCTGGATAGCTTCCTTTCATTAATGAAGCAAAAGTCCCTTACTATATTCCAACCCACAGTGGTGAGGTGGAACTGATTCAAAATCAGTTAACCATAACCACTTGACTATGGAGGATCCTTAAATTACACAAGATATTATAATAATATTATAAGAAAATGAGAATCTAATACTAGAAGAATTCAGTAACAGTCTAATGAATTCCAATATAAAACTGAATAGCTAATGATGTAGAGTCTGGTCAGACATAAAGACGCCCAGGCTGGTAAGACATTATACTGGTGACACACAATTTTAACACCTACCCTTCCTTGGGCAACAATCTCTTGTTGAAGATCTCTAGATTTCTCTACCAGGATCTTTATACACTGTTAAAACAAAAACATTTTATAACTACTGTATATTAATAAACACCAAAATAAAATAACACATTTTACAAAATGGCAGCCAAATATAATCTCAAGTATTTTGCACAGTTAAAAAAATGTATCATTTTATCATAATTTTTTTTTTATTTGTGAAAAAATCAGATGTCACAATTGGCTCTATTAAGATAATAAAGTGACTTTTCAGCTTGTACAGTAGTAGTGACTTCCTTGGTCTACCTGATTTCCTCAGACAGAAACAGGTACCAAAGAGAGACATTATCATCTTTCCTTGCTGGATATCTTTCATTTTTTTTATATAAAATAAAATCCTCTTTTGGGATTCAAACACACAATAAAAGTGTGGCAGCTAAGGTCAAGTGAAAATAAATATGTCATCAATTCTTGTTCACTAGTAAAATCACCAATAACTTCAAAATAAAACAAATCAAGCATTTGTCTGATAACTTCAAAAAAGAATAAATCAAGCATTTATCTATCTAGAGTTACATAAAATATTATATCAACAATTGAACTTTATTCAAAATTTCAAAATTGCATTGTTTACTTTCATATAAAAAAAAATGTATTATCAAAAGAGGTTACTTAGTTTAAGGTAATAAAACTCAGCTTTCTTAAAACTGAAAATAAAACTGATCATAAACTCCACTATGGGAAACTATCTTTGCATGATTTCAAACTGCCAATAAAAGGTTAATTATTTTGCTGACTGTCAAGAAATTCAAAGTACATATCAATTTACCAAAATGTCAATTATCTTGTCGATGAAAATGGTTTAATATCAAATTCTCACCTTCATAAGGTCAGTGCAAGCATCAAGAATACGTTCGTTCACTTCAAGCTGAACCCCTGAATCTCCTTCCCTTGTTTTTTGCAACATTTCCTGTGAAACATTATCAAATCTGTTAAGACACTTTAATATAACTTCATCTACTTTACAAAACTTTCCGACGGAAAAAAAATGAACCGTCCAATTAAAGTTTTACACAAGTGACGATTAAGCGTTATTTTTGCAAATCTAATCAAATGACAAAGATTGGTTACTTAAATATCAAGCAAAATCTTCTCAATTGACAACACTCCCGAAAAACAAACCTTTTGTATACATAAACATGTTATTGTTTGAATGACTCACTAGCAAAAATGATGGGACACTAAAATGCCACAAGCTTGCTATAAAACCCTGCCCATGTATTATAATTCCCCTTAAAACTTTCAGTCACATTGCCTAGGAAAGAAGTCATGTCCTTATCAAAAATTTCTGTTAGTGAAGATGTTTACCATCTGGATTTGGAAAAAAGGGATTGTGACCCCTGTAAAAGGGATGGAACAAATAAAAAATCAAGCTATTTTTGTTTTGATTGCACGGAATACTTGTGCCAAGGATGTTATCAATTTCACAAAAAGCTACGGGTCCTGCAACACCATATTTTTCAAGATCTGCAGAAAATGCCGAGGGATTCTGCTAAACTGAAGGATATATACGTAGACAAATGTCCTTCACATTCTGACAAAGTCATCGATTACTTCTGCGACTCCTGTGACCAACTTTGCTGCTATATTTGTTATCGTACCAGTCACTGCAGTTGTCCCAAGGTTGCCAATATTCAAAGTCAGGTATACGGTCTAGGAGACAGTGAAGAGTTTAAAGAACTGGACGGCATGTTGACTGAAATGGATTCAGACTTAACCAAAATCCGAGCACGTTATATCAAAAACACCCAGAAGAGGAATGCACTGAAACAAAGATCTTTGGCAAAAATTAAAAAGGAACGTGAGGAAGTGAAAAAAATGTTTGACCAGTTAGAAACGGAAATGAAATTTACTCTTGATCAGAAAGACAGACTGGACAATAGTAAGCTGGAACTGGTGAATAAACAGTGTGATATTCTCGCTTCTGATATACGCACCCTTAGATCACACCTAAGTAACGCTAAACCTAACGAGAAATTTGTAGTGATGAAAAAGGCTAAGAACTATGTGCCAGTGATAAAAGATGGACTAACTAAGGTCAATGCAGATAATGAGATACAGGAGTACGAGTTCGAGCCAAGCAAAGAGCTTTCCGAAATGAAAAAGACTGTGATTACAATGGGTCTTTTACTTCTACAAAGCTCCAAGACCAAAAGAGCAACAGAGTTCCGAGCGAGTATAAATATCAAAGGCAATATGGAACGACAATGCGATGCCTACGGACTTTGTTTAGTTAATGAGCACATGCTGGTTATTTGTGATCACTACAATATGTCCCTTAAAGTGGTCGATACCAAACAGAACAGTGTGTTGTCAGTTTTCGCTCTCCCCGCCCAACCTAATGATGTAACAACAGTCAAGGATGACCATGTTGCTGCCACTTTACAATCTGACAAAAAGATTAAAATTCTGTCAGTTTCCAGAGCTGGTACACTAACAAATGAACAAGAGATAAGCGTGGACGGTAATATACAAGGTATTGCATATGCTGATGGAAACTTTTACGTTACCTTCGACAAACCAGACAGCAAACTCCAAATCATGGACATGAATGGGCGTGTTTATAGGACATTCAAAGCAAACGCTAACGGTGGGGCGCTTTTCTATCGTCCATGGAATATAGCCCTAAGCCCTGACCAAAGTCATATGTATATTTCTGACTTTGGTAACGGCACCGTGACATGTATGGCCCTGGACGGAAAAGTCGTGGCGTGTTACTGGGATAAAGAGCTTAAGGGACCAAAGGGACTGACGGTAGACAAGGATGGTTCGGTTTACGTCTGTGGATCAGAGTCCAACAATATACACCAACTAACATCTAACTGCCAGAAGATACAGATTCTACTACATAGATTCCATGGTATCCAAGGAAACACATGTATCGCTTACTGTGGCAAAACAAACAGACTTTATGTGGAATGGTACAACCGAAATGAAATAAAAGTGTATGAGTTGAAATAATCATTATACAGATTTAGAATAGACATTTAGCAAAGTCTATAAAGTTTAACATGATAAGAGAAAAGGGAGAATATTTAGGACTTATTTATTTCATAGTAAATTTTATAGTGTAATTTCTTTATTATAGACTAGATAAGTAAAGTAGTACATGGACAAAAGGGATTATCTCCAAAATATCGCAAGAAAAATCAGATTGATTCAAGTGTTACCACAGAGGATTTCATCAACTTAATCATAGTGTCTTGTGACCTCTTGCTTACAAAAGTTGTTAAATTTCTTTCACAATCTGTATGCTTAACAATATTTTGACATTTAATTTACACCTTTATAAGATAATACTGACATTTATTATTATTTCTTCTCAATTACATGTCATGTCATTTTAAAGAGCTGTTAATTCAAGTGTACATAAACTATTCAAGGATGTTTACATGATTTTTTTCCTTTTCCTTAAAATAATTTTCCCACTGTCTTAACAACCTTTATAAGGTTAGTAATAAAGATGTATGTCTGTGTCAAAAAATTTCTATAGTGTTTAAGTGGCTTTATATACTGCAATAAAGTATGAAGAATTTTTTGTTTTCTTTTTGCTTTCAACCTTTACAATGAAAAATTTGCCAATTAAAATGGACTTGTACAAGTTCGAATTTGGACTAGACTAATGTGAAGTTGGGTGATTTTAGTTTCTAAAATGACAAAATTAAACACTCATCAGTATTAAAGGTTGATCTATGTACATCAATCTGCAGGCAAAATTTTGCATTAGCTCCTCCCTACACTATTTGTCACTTCCATTTCAATTAATAAAAAATTAATTAAAGTATTAATTAGTACAATTGTAAATGTTTTTTATATTTATGCACAAGGACATCAGAGGTTTAATAGCATTTACTCCTATTGTCATAAGGCAGCTAGATCCTGAGCAATCACTCTTCCATGACGGATTTTTACATCAGTAAATTAGCAGCCAAAATTATCGCCCACCCTCTCAGAAACCGATTTACACCTCGGCAAAGTGAAGCAATGTAGATAACATCTCTTGCTCAAGAAAAATAGCACTGTCCTAGACAAGGCTCGAACTTCGGACCTCTTGATCACATGGCAGTTGTCAGAACACTTGACCACTCAGCTGTAGTAAAACATTTATGTCTGAATATAATTTCCACACAATGGACCTCAATGTTGAAGATATTGAACTTTTTTTTTTCATTTCATGCATATTAATTTTGAAGTATTTCTTTTTCTTATACAAGTGTGTAAGTGTGTTTTTTTAATAACGACTTCAAAGTACAAGCTAAAAAAGTCTAGATGTTCGTTTCACTACCAGTATGAGTACAGAAATAAAACCTACTAAAAAGTTGTACAATTACATGTAGTTTAGTGCACAGTGCAAAAAACTAAACAACCAATTTTTTACTAGTATTATATTTTACATTCTAACACGACCCGCATTTTTCCCTATTGAACATAGAAGAACCGAAAGTGTGTGTTATTATGCAATAGAGTCACTGTTTGACGTTCTATATTTAGACATGTGACGTAATCATTATACATGATACGTAACCACTATAAAATCCGACGCGCTGACAATAAGTACGGAAACAAATCAGGCGCAATTTTGCTTAATAGCAGGTACGGCAGCATTTTTTTTGGTTATGTCGTGTTAGAATCGAAATAATATATCCAAATCGGTGATTTTATCGCTGGATAACATCACTGTTTGTCGTTCGGATGCGCATCATTATATCACTCGGGCTACGCCCTCGTCATATAATTCCTCGTATCCGAACTCCAAACAGTGATGTTATTGAGCGATAAAATCACAGTTTGGGATATATTATTTTTTAAGTATAGCCAAAGTGTCTATCTTTACAAAAATATCCATACTACATCAAAGTTTAAATAAATTATTTAAGTATTTGTTTTTTTTTTCTTTTTAAATATTTCATACATGCATGTACATTGTACATTTAGTTAAATTTTTTCCACATAACATAATTATGTAACATTTATAAGAAACAGGATAATGAAAACTAAAAACACGCAAAAAACAGAGTCAATTGAATTAACAGCAATATAAAAAATAACAAGAACAAGTTATATGTATTCCTGTGCCATGTCCAGTGGTTGACAACTTTTAACAGATTGACAAGCCTATTATGTACAATAAGCAAGGTAATAGTAGATAAGAATATTAAATATCTGTTAAAGATTCATTTAAGTTATTTAGTAACATAAACTTAATGTCACTTGTGAGGTAAAGATTTAAGACACATCAACTCAAGTAAGGTCTTGTGGCCACTTTTCAGCTTTACTGGTGCAGAAGGACCATATGTGACACTGTACATTATTTCAATAGGTGTCCCTTTGCACATTATTTAAGTAGGTCTCCTTCTGTCCATTATTTCAGTAGGTGCCCCTCTGTACAATATTTCAGTAGGTGCCCCTTTGTTCATAATTTCAGTAGGTGCCCCTCAGTTCATTATTTCAGTAGGTGCCCCTCTGTCCATTATTTCAGTAGGTGCCCCTCTGTCCATTATTTCAGTAGGTGCCCCTCTGTCCATTATTTCAGTAGGTGCCCCTCTGTCCATTATTTTAGTAGGTGCCCCTCTGTCCATTATCTCAGTAGGTGCCCCTCAATCCATTATTTCAGTAGGTGCCCCTCTGTCCATTATTTCAGTAGGTGTCCCTTTGCACAATATTTCAGTAGGTGCCCCTTTGTCCATTATCTCAGTAGGTGCCCCTCAGACCATTATTTCAGTAGGTGCTCCTCTGTCCATTATTTCAGTAGGTGCCCCTCTGTCCATTATCTCAGTAGGTGCCCCTCTTAATTATTTCAGTAGGTGCCCCCTGTACATTATTTCAGTAGGTGCCCCTCTGTCCATTATTTCAGTAGGTGCCCCCTGTACATTATTTCAGTAGGTGCCCCTCTATACAATATTTCAGTTGGTGCCCCTTTGTCCATAATTTTAGTAGGTGCCCCTCTGTCCATTATCTCAGTAGGTGCCCCTCAGTCCATTATTTCAGTAGGTGCTCCTCTGTCCATTATTTCAGTAGGTGCCCCTCTTAATTATTTCAGTAGGTGCCCCTCTGTCCATTATTTAAGTAGGTGCCCCCTGTACATTATTTCAGTTGGTGCTCCTCTGTCCATTATTTCAGTAGGTGCCCCTCTGTCCATTATCTCAGTAGGCGCCCCTCTTAATTATTTCAGTAGGTGCTCCTCTGTCCATTATTTCAGTAGGTGCCCTCTTAATTATTTCAGTATGTGCCCCTCTGTCCATTATTTCAGTAGATGCCCCCTGTACATTATTTCAGTAGGTGCCCCTCTGTACATTATTTCAGTAGGTGCCCCTCTATACAATATTTCAGTAGGTGCCCCTTTGTCCATTATCTCAGTAGGTGCCCCTCAGACCATTATTTCAGTAGGTGCTCCTCTGTCCATTATTTCAGTAGGTGCCCCTCTGTCCATTATCTCAGTAGGTGCCCTCTTAATTATTTCAGTAGGTGCTCCTCTGTCCATTATTTCAGTAGGTGCCCCTCTTAATTATTTCAGTAGGTGCCCCTCTGTCCATTATTTCAGTAGATGCCCCCTGTACATTATTTCAGTAGGTGCCCCTCTGTCCATTATTTCAGTAGGTGCCCCCCTGTACATTATTTCAGTAGGTGCCCTCTATACAATATTTCAGTAGTTGCCCCTTTGTCCATAATTTTAGTAGGTGCCCCTCTGTCCATTATCTCAGTAGGTGCCCCTCAGTCCATTATTTCAGTAGGTGCTCCTCTGTCCATTATTTCAGTAGGTGCCCCTCTTAATTATTTCAGTAGGTGCCCCTCTGTCCATTATTTCAGTAGGTGCCCCCTGTACATTATTTTCAGTAGGTGCTCCTCTGTCCATTATTTCAGTAGGTGCCCCTCTGTCCATTATCTCAGTAGGCGCCCCTCTGTCCATTATTTCAGTAGGTGCTCCTCTGTCCATTATTTCAGTAGGTGCCCTCTTAATTATTTCAGTAGGTGCCCCCTGTACATTATTTCAGTAGGTGCTCCTCTGTCCATTATTTCAGTAGGTGCCCCTCTGTCCATTATCTCAGTAGGTGCCCTCTTAATTATTTCAGTAGGTGCTCCTCTGTCCATTATTTCAGTAGGTGCCCCTCTTAATTATTTCAGTAGGTGCCCCTCTGTCCATTATTTCAGTAGATGCCCCCTGTACATTATTTCAGTAGGTGCCCCTCTGTCCATTATTTCAGTAGGTGCCCCCCTGTACATTATTTCAGTAGGTGCCCCTCTGTCCATTATTTCAGAAGGTGCCCCTCTGTACATCATTTCATTAGGTGCCCCTCTGTCCATTATTTCAGTAGCTGCCCCTCTGTACATTATTTCAGTAGGTGCCCCTTTGTCCATAATTTCAGTAGGTCCCCTCTGTCCATTATCTCAGTAGGTTCAACTCAGTCCATTATTTCAGTAGGTGCTCCTCTGTCCATTATTTCAGTAGGTGCCCCTCTTAATTATTTCAGTAGGTGCCCCTCTGTCCATTATTTCAGTAGGTGCCCCCTGTACATTATTTCAGTAGGTGCCCCTCTGTCCATTAATTCAGTAGGTGCCCCTCTGTCCATTATCACAGTAGGTGCCCGTCTGTACATTATTACAGTAGGTGCCCCTCGGTCCATTATTTCAGTAGGTGCCCCTCTGTCCATTATTTCAGAAGGTGCCCCTCTGTACATCATTTCAGTAGGTGCCCCTCTGTCCATTATTTCAGTAGCTGCCCCTCTGTACATTATTTCAGTAGGTGCTCCTCTGTACATTATTTCAGTAGGTGCCCCTCTGTACATTATTTCAGTAGGTGCCACTCTTTACATTATTTCAGTTAGATGCACCTCTGTACATTATTTCAGTAAGGGTCCCCCTGTACATTATTTCAGTAGGTGTCCTTCTGTACATTATTTCAGTAGGTGCTCCTCTGTCCATTATTTCAGTAGGTGTCCCTCTTTACATTATTTCAGTAGGTATCCCTATGCACATTATTTCAGTAGGTGTCCCTTTGCACATTATTTCAGTAGGTGCCCCTCTGTACATTATTTCAGCAGGTGTCCCTCTGTTTATTATTTCAGTAGGTGCCTCTATGTACATTATTTCAGAAGAGGTCCCTCTACATTATTTCAGTAGGTGCCCCTCTCTGTACATTATTTCAGTAGGTGCCACTCTGTACATTATTTCAGTAGGTGTCCTTATGTACATTGTTTCAGGTATCCCTCTGTATATTATTTCAGGGAAAAAAGACCACAAATCTGTTAACTAAATAGATAGCTTTCTCATATGCTTACTAGGCCTCATATATTTATTTACCAAGCATTTAGCTGACAATATTTTGGTTTATGCTGGTCATTTAAAAGCTTATTATTTTGATCCTTATATAACAATACCACCTGCCAACCTTTCACTAGCTTACAATAGATAATAAACCTTAAGGTTAAAAAAATCAGGCAATTGTATTGAAACATTGCCACACTGTAACAATATCTTAATATTAAGAGACTTTGATAGAGTATCTAAATTAGATAAATAATACAGTTTTATTTAATTTTACCCATAAAATATGGTGCTATATCAGTCAAATAAATTTCATATTTTTTAAGAATAAATATGGAATATAAATATGAAAGTGGGAGGAGTCAAAACTCATATTTATTTTACGGGACTTCTTTCGCCATTTTGTTTGAAAAATCTGAAAATTCAAAACAAATTTTTGTCGAATTTTGTTTTGAAAACTATCTAGAATGATAGAAAACGCTCTAACTAAGAAAATAAATCCGAACACCAATATCTTTAATTCAGTCATTAACACTGTACAGACGTTTAAAGAGTTGTTAACGTGACGTCACAATGTAGCGCTAAACATCACGTGCAAAACAAGACAATAATTATATTACTGCGAGCTGTACTTGTAATTGCAGTCAAGTAAGGGGGTTCGTAACCATTTTTCTTTGATATTGAAATTAAATAAAAAGGTTATTTTTTCGTTTTTCGTGAAATATGGTATATATTATCACTCAACATGATAAAATGCCACATATTTTCACTCGCCGTCCCGGCTCGTGAAAATATGTGGCATTTTATCATGTTTCGTGAAAATATATTCCATATTTCACTCAAACGAAAAAATATCCTCTTAAAATTATGATTTTCTTAAGGATGTTTAACATTTTTCTAGCACATTACAGCTGCTTGATAAGTAGAATTTGTACTGCCAAATTTTCTTGTTTCTTAAAGAAATAAGCACAGGATTTTTTAATTCTATGTTCTTGAAAATATGAAAAAAAAAATTTACCATGGAGTATGAACAATGGTTGAGCTGTCTGCCTCTCAACTGAGAGGTCTTGGGTTTGAGCCATATTTTGGGTACAAGCATGTCTTGTAATGGTTCAATGATGAGAGATACAAGTAAAAGTATCAAATAAGGTAAAAGCTTTCATCACAACGGAAATCAAATAAACAATGTTTAAATAAAACATGAAAATTGAACAACTGTTTACTGTACATACGAGGGCTGTCTGGAACATTTCTATACAAGTCTATAAAATAAATATAAGCAGTCATATCAATATGATGATTGATTATAAGTATTGATAAAAGTAATATTCACAAAGCGCCAGTCACCATGGCAACAAGATAAACAGTTCACGGAGCACTTTTATTCCATTACAATAGCTTCTCGGATAAAAAGTTGATAAAAATTGCAATTTTAGTGCAAACAATTTTTCGTTCATATGACACCATTGTGTGACATTCATTGAATATCATGACATCATATAGAAATAAACAACTTATTAATGACGGTAAGATGCATTGAATGATCGTCAATTTCAAGGACAGATAGAATCTTAATGTTATGATATTAAACTTCTTGGTAACTCTTAATATGACCCTAACCGAGACTTAGGCCTTTATTTTTTAAACTGATTAAGTAGCACGGGTGACAGCGTATCGGCTTTTGATGGCTTGTGGTATATGAAATACATGCAATAATGGCAAAATAACATAACATGTATAAATTATTCACCAGATAGGTACCATGGCTGTTGTAAGCTGGAGAAATGGAATAGCGGGTAGGTCACAAGGTGGGACGTCAGAGCTCTTATTGATATACGACACGAAGGGCGAATAGTTTCTCTTTAACATTATTGTGATGATGAAACATAGGTTCATCTCTATAACTGGGATTCAAGAGTGAGACGTTGATATGTCAAACACCAAATTTCCCACACCCATGGAATCTAAACAATGAAAAGAAGAAAACATTTCTTATTGGCCCTTTTGCTGAGAATGAAGTGGGAATAGCATTGAGAAAAGTTTATTTATTCAGCGTAACTACGCAAATGGTGATTGATTGGTAATGTTTGCTTTCGATTGGAACTGGCACAAACACTAAACTTATCACAAACCTGTATCTTAGCAGCGGCTTGTTCGATGGCTTTACTTGTCAGTTGCATCTCACTATCAACCATGTCTCCTATCTCCTCTGTTTTAACATCGTCTGATTTAGGCACCAGCTCTTCTGTCAGGCTCATCAACTGTTTGATATGATTCACAGTGGCCGACACCTCCGATGATATGTTTCCACCTTAACAAAATATGACATGATTATTTCTAGAGTGTGTTTAGAGATTTTTAGAGTGTGTCAAAGTTTGATTTAAAAAAATTTAATATTGTCATCTTAGTACAGTAACGGTTAACTCCCATTAAATTCAATAGGAGATAGCTTGGTACAGCACTACAGTAACAATATGTCAAGTTTAAAGCTTTTTCTGTATGATGTCTTAAACAATCTGGGAAAATGGGCAAATTTCAAAGTAATAAAAAAAATATGACAATTTTCAGAACATTATTGTATGACAGTAGACTATCACAAATAAATGTAAAGCTACATGATTGTATAAAATTGATATATCTTTCAACTGGACTTGTACCATTTACATTGAAATGAAACAAATCTGTTGAAAGTAAAATTTATCTTAAATATATCATTATTGATGCACTAGTCATTTGTGCCGCCGTCACATCTGCCCCTTAGATAATCATAACCCTGATTTTTATCTTATCACATGGACTTCAAGGTGGTAGAATTCCTAACCAAAGGTCCCAGCTCTGTGTATTGGAAATATCAAAACCATCATCAACCCATCAGTGCAAGTCAAAACTTCCCTCATTTCCCAAACAACCCCAAACCCTCCCCTCAGAGAAAATGAAAAGGTAAAAGTTACAAATCACTGGTACAAAAACAATGTAAAACAAGAAACATTGTATTGCCATGAAACCATGTTTTCAATGGAAACCATTTTTTTATCTTATTTACAGTGACCTTGACACCATGTGCCCAAAGAAATCCGAAACATGGTCTCCACATAAGTTTGTTATATACCAAATTTGATTACAATATCTTGATCCAAACTCTAGTTATCAATCTGATACCACTGTTTAATGCCCGCCCGACCACCTTAATGCCCGCTATTCACCAATCTTATACTGCGAATTCACTTATATTCGTGGGCATGAAATTTCGTGGTTTTATCAAAACGGGCATTTTCGTGGGTTCTTAAATTCGTGGATTTTCTTTTTCTTGTTAAAAAAAATTCAGTAACCTAATGCAAAGTAATCTTAAACTTACTCGCCGAAATTTTTTTCTTAAAACATGTACATACAATGTATCTTTACTTGTCACACAGCCCTTGTCAATAAATTTAATCATTGCCTCTGGGCATAACTCTAATATAGCACAGTTACTGCCGATAATTGACTGCAATTAACACTTTTATGTGACATGATATGCACCTCTATTGGACACACTGCCCATGTAATTCGCCGATGTAAACATCGCATGATTTACACCAGATATTTGACAGTAACTAAACGCAACGTCACAGCGACTGTGTAAATTTACATGCATATAAATTAATCTCGGTAAATAACACGAGTATATGTGGATCTTGTAAAAGTCGGTGGCATCTTTTGATGTTTACGGAATAGCATTCGCACAAATACAGATTAAAATTCATATAAACTGGATCATTTAAAAACAACAAAAGAATGTACAATAAATCTGATTTAGCGATCGTATTTTTTTTTATAGTTTTGTGTTCTTACGACATTAATAACAAAGACTTTTTTTTAAATTATTAAGAGCAAACTGACAATTTTTATTAGCGCTAATTATTGCACTGCCTGGGTTCCCATATTTAGTCGATTATGTCAAGTATTCTTGTTAACACAATCAAGTCCTAGTAGACTACATCGATCAAATATGTATATGCGACATTTGTGACAGTAAATTGAGGACATATAATCGAGTTTTCTTTCAAGTTTCTTAAATATTGCAAACAGATTTAATATGTCATTAACCTGATTATCTGTCTGTATTTACATCCATTTCACGAAAAATATCGGCCGGAAAAGAGCAGACACATGTTTGTAATATATAGAACAAAGACTGGGTAAGAAGTATTTGTTGGGATAAAAGTTGGTCGGATCTTAAATTCGTGGATTGACCTACCAACGAAAACCACGAAAATTCGTGCCCCACGAATAATAATGATTTTACAGTAACCAGAATTTTCACAACTGAAGACATGGTTAAAATGACAGAATAAATCGGATAATAAAATACCTTTCTCAACAGCAGCAAGAAGTGTTAGACCACTTTCCCCAGCAGACCTACAATGATTGGCTAAATGTTGGCCCGATTCTATCTCCGCAGTAGACTGTGATGTTGCTATACCATGTATTACACAGTCGCCTAGGTGATGGGAAAATCCTGTTATACATTCCACTAAATTCTCTAAGTCTGGAAAACAAAGCGAAAACAATACTTTATAAACAATGACAGTACATTTTTTCCTAACAATTTTAGATAAAGAGTCAGTTTTTTTATTTAAGTTACACAAAAATGCCAAGAAAAATTATTGAAATATTAAAAGATTTAACTATAAGCCTTATGTTTTCATATTTCACTCTATATGCAAGCTGGAAATCTTCCTCACACAAATGAACCCAACGTCCCTGACAGGGTGAAAGGCAAGAGATTCTATGACAGTGAACTTAACCAATAATGACCCTATAATGTACATGTATATTATACAGTGATATACCTTTCTTATCTGCAGAATAAACAGTGTTTGCAGATTCCAATTTTTCTAAACTTTTTATCACAGGCTCTGCTCTAAGTAAAAGGAATTCTGTAAATAGAAAAAGGAACAATATGAGACATGATTATCAAAGGCTGATGAATTAATTTGTTGATGTTTACATATTCTACACTGTAATTTAATAAAGGAGATAAAAAAGTGTTTATAATAAATGTAGACAATTGTTTATGCAAAAAGGAATTATGTGGAAAATTGCAATAATTGAACTCGGAGAAAACAAGTGTTTTTCTTATAAGATGGCTTTTATATTTTAGGTACATATGTAATAACAGAATGATGAACTTTCACCTACAAATTATACTATCATATTATTTTTACAGTTTAACCTCAATACAGGGTCCCTCTGAAGACCAATGACCTTAAAAAAACAGTTTCAGAAATGTCCAAATCAAGACATCACAAAAAATTAAACATCTCTGCAACAATTAAAATCTTTATCTCCCAAAGGCGGTTGTTCTACAGAGGTTTTACTGTATATGCTCCTCTCTATAACATAATATTCTCTGTTATCACCTTTTTTCTTAAATTAAAGACTGACAAATATAGTTTGTTATCTATAAATTATCTGTAATATTGTCCCATCAAACCATTGCTTAAAAACAACAGTTTACTGCCTTATACACTTAAAAAATTTCCAATTTTATATACTTAATAGCAAAAATAATTCTTTCTAAAGCCCCTGCATATTTTATAACATCAATATATTTACCTGCTGTACATCGTGCTGTGGTGAATGTCTGATTGTGAAACTGGTCTAATGCATCCTGTATAAAAGCACGGCCCTCAGCTATACTGCTACCTGTAAAATAAAATGGTCACTGCTTATTAGAGGTAAAAGAACAAAGCAACAGAATTTATTATAAAACTGTGGCTTTAACCCCTACCCTGCTGGAAACAACAGTGATTAGCCCTTGCCACCAGTATAGAGCCAGACAAACCTGCACATACGGGTAGTCTGGCCAGGCTCAATACTGTTGGCCAACTTAACTTTTTAAACTTTCACCTTGATTGATCAAAACATTGATAATGGTCCGTTGCAAAAATGGAGGCTGGATGAGTCCAATTAGAAAATTCAGCAGGTTAAGCCTCAACTTCTTATACTTGTATGGATGGATCATAATAAGGAAAGCCATGACCTTCTGATTAACACCTAGGGATTATGGCCTCAAATCCCTACATGCATCTAGACCATGTTTACTCAAATGAAGACAGCACTGGTTAGTTCCAACCACCTTTTAAGTTTACTACACTATTATGCTTTCTTTCAATTATAATTGCTTTAAAGAATCAAACCTATGCTTTACTACTGATAATCATTAATTTAAGACTTATTATATCCTAATATTTAATGATTTATAAAAGAAAGCATGTTTGAAATTATTAACATGTGTCAGCCATATTAAATTCCCATGCTCATTTTTGCGACGGACGCGCCCTCAGGCGCGTTCAGAGCTAAGTCATCTACACATGGGATTTCGTCTGCTACACTCGCGCAAAGTGTCCTCAACCGAATAACAGCCCAGAAATAGTACATGAATTTGATCCTTTAAAACTCACATACTTTGTCGGGATATCTTAAAATCTTCCATATAATTAGCCTTTTCAATTTCAAATTAAGTTATCCAAGTAAAAATATGAACGTATTTGATTGATAAAAACGTTGTAGTTCCGTAGTATTATTGCGCAATATGCAAATTACTGCCGAAACGATTTACAGCTGTCGAAAAAGTAGGACAGCAAATCATACTATAATAAAGGTGTAAGCTCTGAGTTCCAAGAAATTATTAGTATGAAATTAATATTTCTACATTATACAAATTATTATTATTAACAAATCAAAAGTTTTTCGTGTCTCTAGAATAACTCGCGCATTAATAAAAGAAGAACTATTTTCGTGACTCATACTGCGGTTTTAGCTGAATATTCAGCAGTTATTAATAAATTAGATACAGTATAATGGTTAGTATAAATATCTATTTTTGAAAATGCATGTAGCAAGAGAGTTTTTTCAACACTTTACTACCATGTAGTATTTCATGGTAATCTTTATTGAAGGAAGTTATAATATCAGTTCTACTTCCGATTCTTGTGGTTTGTTTACATATTTTTCTAGGTCACGACACGAGTTAACATTCGCTATTCTAAAAATAGATTCTGCTTCACCTGCAGGCGATGAGGGGGTACACATTATACATGTTATAAACCTGCGGATACTTACTTTGCTTACATGCAATACTTACAATTGTAAGAAGCAAACAAGTTGAAAATGGAATTTAGTGTGAAATTGAAAAGGACAGCTTAACTGACATTTAAATTAAAATAAAAACGATGTGATCTGGCCTCTACATCTATGTATGTTTTATTGTCTATATGCCCACTATGATATAACCACAGGTGCTAGTGGCATTGATTTGACCTAAAATGTGTTTGACCTTGTTATTTATACAATAAAATATCAATATATTAAAAAAAAATAAAAAAAATTTCACTGTTATATTATTAGAGACAGTCTATTATTATAATGCCACTAGCACCTGTGGATATAACACGATCAATTCTAAATAACATTCTCACATGTATATGTATTATGCTTGAAGTTAATTTGCATGGTTTTATTTTAGAAATATCATTCCTTGAAAGAAATCGATAAGGACACTGATTTACAAGTTTGACCAGTGTTTTTATGCATAAATTTCATTCTGTATAAGTAGAAAATCTGATTTATATCAGATTGGACACATAAAATATATTGCTCTACAAATCTCGAACTTGTATGGAACAAATTTTCTCTGTTATATCTTTTGTGTTTTGTTTTTTTTTCTTCTAAAAATCCGGTTGCATGTCCGTCGCATTCAGTGCTGCAGCACTTTGATTTTTAATATAGCCCAAGGCTTACCAATTGTACCAAGTTTTGTGCTTTTTCCATTTTCATTAGAATATTGTCAAGGGATTTGACTGTATACACTTGTTCTGACAATAAAGACAATATAATTTCCATTTAAAAGTAAAAAGAACACCCACACATTCCATCTTAAAACAGTGATATTTAAATGCCAGGATACATTATTATTTGTATGTATTTTTTCAATATCAAACATCACCAAAATCTCAGCTTACATCTTTTGTTTGATAATTGACATTTTGCTCACATACAATTATTTTTTTTCCTTTCCCCTATATACCAAAACCTCATTATAGTCACACCTGTGTCAGATACCACCCTCTAAATAAAGATCAGTCTTAAAATCAATTTTAAAACCTTTGAATGATTAAATAAACCAAAGTAACCTCCAAATAAAGACCACTTGTCTATAAATGCCATGTAAAATTTCTCCTTTATATATGGCCTTTGTTCACAGGGTATACATACTGTACACAAAATTATGGCTAGGCCACCTTAACTATCTACAACCTTAAATAAAACCTCCTGCATTGTACTAGTTGTACATTGTATTTGTAAGGTTATATTTTTAAAAACATTTTGACAAGTGGTGTGCCAAATTTCAGATCATCTAGTGTCTACCACATGAGAATATATAAATATTCTTATAAGAATGAAATAACAAAATTCTATTAAAAAAATAATAATCCACTATCATAAAATTTATTTTTTTAAATCCCATATATTTTTTGTATTTTATTCAACATTTTTAAATTTAAACATTTTTTATTTAAGTTGATTGTGTAGCAAGATTGTAGCTTATTTAAACAGCTCTTGAATCAGCTTCCTAGTAGGCCTAGTAACCAGTATTGGTGTCATATGAGGCAACAAGGTCATCAACCCAATATGACTTGAAACCTTGACCCGTGGATTAAGAGGCAGACACCTTAGACACTATGCCACCACTCCCCCTGTATCATTTTTTTAGGTAGATATCATCCATAACATAGATTTAATACTCAAGTATTGGTGTGATACGAGGGAACATGGTCACAAACATGCTATGACTGGAAACCGTGATCCCTGGGTTAAGAGGCAGATACCTTAGCCACTAGGCCACCACTTTCCATCAGCATTTTTCTAGTTTTATTATAGACATATTATCCAAAAGAAGTTACTTAAAATATCTTACTCAGCATTTTTCTATGTAAATCATCCAAGATTTGTGTCAGTCTTGTTTCTGTTGACTGTTTTTCTTCCATCAAAGTTTCTAGTTTTTGTTCTAATTCTTCAAGCTGCTTACTCAAATCTTGTTCAGTTTGTGCTTTACTTTGTTCTGTTGCGGCTAACGTTGTCTGAAATATAACAATTATCTCTATTGAACGTTTCTGCTTAAATTCAAGCCAGTTTGCCTTAATAACTGTTGTAACCTTAGTCATTTTCTTTCTTTTTTGTCTTATTCAAAACAGTTTCAGGTAAAACCAAGCTGTGATGGTCTTGATGCTGATTTAATAGACTGACTTGTGCAGGAAGACCTCAGGTGCTTCCATTTGACATATGTTCACATTTAAGTAGAACAACCAACCTTTTGTAAGCAAAAAAACTTTGTCCTATGAGAGAACCAAAAGTTCCTGGTGATATTCAAATATCAATCTGCCATGGAGACCTCTACCTACACTTTCATTTACCTTATTCACTAACTACAGTTCAAGGATTTGAAAACAAGAACATAAATAAAGCTTCCACTGAACTGGCTGTATATATCAATTCCAATGGAACATCGTTTGATAAATAAGTTGTATTAACTTCCCCTTAAGCTGTACTTATTACCTCCCTTTATCAACTTTACTGACTTAGTACAGTTCAAGGATTTGGAAACAAGAACATAAATAGAGCTTCCACTGAACTGGCTGTATATATCAATTGCAAGGGAACATTATTTGACAAATTACTGTATTAATAATATCTGTCATATTTTGCGGTTCGGATCGGAATATCCGTCCCGAGGTGACCCGCCCATTGGGCGGTAACGAGGCTTGCCGAGTTACCGCCCATGGGCGGGTGACCGAGGGACGGATATTCCGATCCGAACCGCAAACATATGTCAGATATTTTTTCTTGCATATTCTACCATATTCCATTATATTTTAAATTCTTTATCTTTATTTTCAATGAAAATTTATATCATTACAACCGTAACTACTTTCTTACAACTGCGTATGAATTACAACTTCATTCATAACGGTAAAATGACGTCATCCTAACCGTGCCATTGTACAGCACGCGACTCATCTGGAACCCCCCATGCCAGATGAAATTTCCATTATGGGTAAAACTCACGGAAACGCCAGTCTGACATGCAAGAATAACAGAATAACCTCCCCTTAATTTGTACTTATTACCTCCCTTTATTAAATGCTACATACCTTCAATGTTGCAATCTGTGCCTGCAGATCCTTCTCCATGTTTTCTTTCTCTCCCTTTAATGAATCAAGATTACTCTGTAATCCTTCAATCTGATTGGTTAATTTTTCCTCTTGCCCCGCCTTCTCTTCTGATAGTTGTTCCACCTGAAATGGTTATAAAGTCAACATTTACCCATTAATGTAGACACATGGTGAGATAGAGTCTTATTTCAGTGTCTTCCTAAAAAAATCTCTTTAAGTTCTAAAGGATGAATACTTAAGGCATGCGCACAATATCACAAATTACAGTGAAATTCAAGACAGAGGACACATCAACTTTAAATCTAGATTATATGCACATGTATAAATAGTTGTTAGCGATATAAACATAGCCTTGTGGTTTGGGTAATATAATCTTATATATTGTTTACAGGGCTATTTAAATCATTAACAAGAGCTGTCTGTAGGACAGCACGCTCGACTATTCTAAGTGCTTGATAGTAAAAGAGCCTTGATAATGTTAAATTTTTTAAGTTCACAAAAGGGCTAATTTTTTTTTATAAATTCATGTTATAGGCCTTAGAGAGAGTCTAATTATACAGTATTGACTTGACTATTCGGAAGGTAATGTCACAAGGGTGTTTTATTGAGTATAATAATACTAAATACCTATGAATACATAAATTTGACAGAAAAGGTACAAAGGTTTTTTATTAAGATGTTTTATCAAGTAAATCACTGCTTTATTATTATGAATGCATAAAATTGTCCCAAAAAAGGCACAAACCCTTCAGTAGTTATTGAGATAACAGCTTACAAGCAAAACTTTACCATGAATTTCTAAGTTGAAAAAGGGGAGAAAAATCAGCCTAAATGCAAGATAGAATTATGGATCTTTGTCAGTGACCTACAATTATGACCCTAAATGCATATGTGAAGTTTTAAATAAATATCTTTAATAGTTATTGAGATATGTAAAACTTGCATGTAAACATTAACCAAGAGACTAAGTAGAAAAGGGGATATGAATCAGCCTCCAATTATGACCCTAAGTGCATGTGTAAAGTTTCAAGTAAATATCTTTGAAGACCTTTAACTAAAATTTCTAAGTTTCAAAGGGGCAAATAATTCTGCAAATATTGCAGGCAGAGTTATGCAATTTTGCAAACTGATGTACATTGTTACTATAAAAAAGTATTTTAAATTTCAATTGAATATCTCAAGCAATAATTCAGATATTTGACTTAACAAAAACACTTTAACCAAAATTTCTAAGTTCCAAAGGGGCATAATTATGTCAATATTGTAGGCAGAGTTATCCAACTTGCCAATCTGATGTACCTTGTTACTATAAATAAGTATTGTAAGTTTCAATTGAATATCTCGAGCAATAATTGAGATATTTGAATTTACAAAAAACTTAAACCAAAATTCCTAAGTTAAAAAGGGGCATAATTCTGTCAATATTGTAGGCAGAGTTATTCAACTTGTCAATCTGATGTACCTTGTTACTATAAATAGGTATTGTAAGTTTCAATTGAATATATCAAGCAATAATTGAGATATTTGACTTAACAAAAAACTTTAACCAAAATTTCTAAGTTAAAAAGGGGCATAATTCTGTCAATATTGTAGGCAGAGTTATCCAACTTGTCAATCTGATGTACCTTGTTACTATAAATAAGTATTGTAAGTTTCAATTGAATATCTCAAGTAATAATTGAGATATTTGACTTTACAAAAAACTTTAACCAAAATTTCTAAGTTAAAAAGGGGCATAATTCTGTCAATATTGTAGGCAGAGTTATCCAACTTGTCAATCTTATGTACCTTGTTACTATAAATAAGTATTGTAAGTTTCAATTGAATATCTCAAGTAATAATTGAGATATTTGACTTTACAAAAAACTTTAACCAACGCAGACGCCGACGCGGACGCCGACGCCGGGGCGACTACAATAGCTCTCATATTCTTCGAATAGTCGAGCTAAAAAAAACTATTACTAACAATATATTCCAATAAAAAATGACAGCTTTTAATAACCAATAAATTATAACAATAAAATAACAATAATAATACTAATAATAGTTATGATTATTATATTATGATAAATAATATAAATAACTTTAATTTTGCCAGAACATTTATACCTAAACAATGCTGACATTTTGTATGAGAAACATAAATTTTATTTCATAAATATAAAAATATACAAAACTACAGGCTTACTTGTGATTCAAGGTTTTGAACTCTGGACTGCTCAGATTGAAGCTCTTTCTGTAAGGTTTCCTCACTATTCTGTACTGACTTCAGCTGAGTCTCGAGCTCCTTCAAAAATAACATTGAACAATATGTAGAATAAACATTCAGTATGATGGGGGAAACACATGTCACAAACTCTTGAAATGAACAAGCTTTGGAATGTGGAATTCTCGATGAATTGTAAATAAGGTTAACTTTGGAAACATCATGTTTACTTTGGAAACATTTAATATTCATTCTTAAAGATTATAAAGACATATTAGTGCAATATTTTAATAACATTTATAAGCAGTAAAATTAAGTTTTTTCTTTTACTCCTACAGCAGATTCTTGAAAGAGCTAAAACATCAAATGTCTCTGTTATCTAATACACATGAATATTGTACATAACACAGAATAAAATGTTCAGAAACAAAATTTTATCTTGCTATCTTAATTACTAGTAAGTACTAGGGACTTTTACTATTCAGTGCAAGAGCCATACACGTTAAAGGAAATATACAAACATATTTCTTTCATATAGGTATTTTGGGATTAATCTTTTACAAAATTCAAACAATAACATCAGATATAAAGTTTAATACATTTTAAAATAAAAAGGTTTGAATTATATATAAATTTTACAATTTTATAAGTTTCAGTACATAATATATTAAAGTAAAAAATTCCATTACTCATTGTCTGTTTTTTAGATTTTTGTTCTTTTGTTTTTAATCACATCAAATATGTAAAGGATGAACCTAAGGTAGCTCCCCACCCTTTAATGGTGCAGGAAGACACCATGTACTCCTATGTGCATTTTTTTTCTGTTGTTTTTATTTTTGTTGTGATTTTATATAAAAAGTTTCAACATATATTAAATATTACCTGAGATTTCTGCCATCCTTCATAAAAATCATCCAGTTTTGAGGCCTGGTGGAAGAAACAGTAATACTATCAAACATACCTTTCTAACAACAAGCTGACATGCTATGTGTGGTTGGTTGTACACAGTGGATGCTGTGAAGCCGCCATGCGATGCAGTTGGTTGTACACAGTGGAAATGCAGTGTCTTGACTTTAACATGCTGACATGCAATGCAGCTGGTAGTACACAGTGGAAATGCTGTGTCATAGCTTCAACAAGCTGACATGCTATGCAGGCGGTAATACACAGTGGAATTACTGTGTTCGGGTTTAACAAAAATATGACATGCAACACATTTGGTTATACACAATGGAAATACTTTGTCCTGGGTCTAAGAAGCAAATACTGAATTTCATCAGTTGTACACAGTGGAAATACTGTGTCCTGGGGTTATACACTGTGGAATTGCTGTGTCCCGACTCTTTCAAGCCGACATGCAATTTGGTTGGTTGTACAACTTGGAAATGCTTTAATCGCTCAAACATACTCAGATAATGCCATGCTTCAATGTCATGCACAAATGAATGGTCAATTCAAATTATGTCCTTTATAATAAATCTTTGAACTTACCTTTGATAAATTAAACAGTTATCTATACTGTATGTTGCCACTACAATATCTGGCAGTGCCTTATTCAAGATCCGACAGAATAACTTGTTAAGCATTATATTTTTGAATAAGTGCTTACTAAGTTATGTCACAAAAAACAACTCACTTGACTTATATTCTTTGCCAGAATATCTAGATGTTGGCCACAAAGGTTTTATGATACTTTCCTACTTACCTTCATTTTTAATACTGACATTTTTCAGCAAATGAGTAAAAGTTTCCCCCACCTCAACAGAATCAATCAATCTGTGAAACAACAACCTCTGTGTGATTCCACCAACACCGTAAGTTATGTTGTTGTTGTTTTTTTCCTACAATTATTGACACCTATTCCTACCTGCTTCACTTTTTCAAGATCTGTATTTTTAGCAGTAGTTTGGGCTAACTGCTGAGTGACCTCATCAGCAGAGTTCTGTAAACTTTCCTGTATAACTTTCCTCTCATCCTCCATGCGTACCATATTGGCCTCGTTGTCCTGGTTAAATTGGGAAAAACATGCTTCAATTCACTCATTCACATGCATAGGTAAAATTTATCGGAACTGTTTGTTAGGGTGTCCATGCTTTAATTTCATAATCATTTGGTTTAAACATATCTATTTAAGCTTGACTGCAAAACAAGTTCTTGCAACTTACATTTAATATCACTTTAGAGTCTGCTTCCTGGAACCAACCAGTACTGGTGTCATATATGAAGAAACATGATAGAAACCTGAATAGGGCTCAAACCCATTATCCATGCTTGGGTTGAGAGGCACAGACAGGTCATGTGCTGTTTTCACCAATGCAACAAAGCTCATGCAACTTTGCACTGAGTAAGGAACTAAAACTGCTACATTTTAAGAATTTTCTGTGTAGGCCTAGTGAAATATTTCATATTTTTGCAGGACTTCCACTTCATTCATGTATTTTTGGTTACTCATTGAATGATACCGTTTAATTTAAAGACTGGCCTTGCTACAGAAAATAAATGTATCATGTATTTCTAATGCTATGCTAGTACTTTAGGAAACCTGACTTGCATTTTTTTTAAGTTTGGTAAAAACACATTCAAGTAAACTTTATGTGCATGCAATGCAAGAATAAGCATAACAAATGGAAATTTCATAAAACAACATATTATCCAATTAAAACTTTAAATAACATGTAAAATTTAATGTTTACAATTTATTTCTAACTTTATAAATATAATTAATAACTGTAATAACAAATAAGTTGTTTTGAAAAATAGATACCAACTCTGTTTTATATATATCAAGTACATGTAAAATAAAGCATGATTAATCAAATACCAAAATCATGACATATGGTGGCATCATTAAATCATTATAACTTCCTGGTAGAACAGACAATAATTATTCTTTCATTTAAACAATTGTAAGGTCAATAATGAAATTCCCTTTTAATTCATTTTTCCCTCATACAATTAGTTCTTCTGTTTTAAAATCATATAATACTCGTGAAAGCTGAATTCTATCATGAAGCCAGTCAGGGTTGAAGACAGAGGATGAGGAAGACAAAAGATTGAAAACACCACAATATATAACAGTGTCAATTTATTTGGTTCTTCTGGGGCCCTTTGTTTTGCACAGAGATACTACAGAGGGCAGAACACTAAATACCCAAATAGTGATGTGCTCTCCTCATAAATCTATCATGTTTTTACCATGAAACATGCACCACACAGTGACTGTCATGCTTTCAACCTTCCATCTTTTCTTTTCTACTAGCCACTAGTAAAAATTGTAACTTTCACAAATTAACTTTAATAATAGGGATGGCAACGAGTAACCGGTTAACCAAGTACTCGATCGAACGTCTGAATATCGGTTAACAAAATTGATATTCGATTACTCGGAAAAAATGTATAATTTCTATTTTATTTGCTATTTAGACAGTTTGGTGTATCCAATTAGTTCAAAAATTTGGAGATGTGCATATACCTTCATAAATACCTGTTAAATGCAATCACAACTTCCTTGCAGAGGTGCGAAAATGATACCATAAATTTAATGAGGCGATCAACAGTTTGACACGCGCACATGTGTCGCTTACGTCATCCGGCCTCTTATGATATTTAGTAACCTTTAATTGTGTAACATAATGCAGTTTGTACCCGAATCTTGTTTTAAGGTAACATTTTTGAAAACAACAAAGGGCCGTATTGCTATTATGATATAATAATTAAGGTAGTATTTAGTCCCGGTTAAACTTTTGTTGCCGCCGATCAGTCTATTTTATTACAAGAAGAAAAAGATGTTTCAACTGCTAAACATGTTTTAAACTTGATATTGCATTAATTAAAATGTTCTAAAGTATAATGTCGTTGATTTAATTTTAATTAATTTGTCTTCTTTGCAGTCCTATCTATAGTTACGAATTCTATGAATGTAAATAGAAAACGAAAGTAGCATACGGACGGTGTTGATATTGTGTGATAAACTTTGAAGATCATTGGAAATCGTCCGAGTAACCGAGTACTCGATCGGAAAAATGACCGAGTACTCGAGTATTAATTTTGGTATTCGTTGCCATCCCTATTTAATAGAGACTGAATTTTCAAAAGTTCAATCAATTTTTTGAAAATTAAGTTGAACAGGGTTCCTGCTGTTCTACTTTAATTGAATTTTATATTGGGTATTTAAGCTACATCAATCCTGATTCAATCATCTAGCTTCTTTCCAGGTCTTTTAAGATACCCTTATATGTATTATTTCAGGCACAAGCTAGCACCATCGTAGAACCAAGGACCTTCCATAAGCTAATTTGATACCTCACATGAAAATACATATATCGACTGGAAAGTAAACTGAAGTTGCATAGTCTGTTGCTTTTTTCAAACATACCTTTATTACTTGTTCTTTTTCCTCCAATGCTTTCTTATCAGCTGCATTTTGTTTATTCAAATCCCCATGCTGTAAATATAAGAAACTTGCTTTATTGTGTTGAAACTTCCATGTACAATACAGGCTCGCCAGAGTAACAGTCATTGGGAGGAAAAGACTTTGGTTTATGCTTGGAGGTGTAGCTCTACATAAAGTTCATTGTGTAGTCTTTACTTTAGGATTACCGCAGTAAATTTCTTGTGAAGTCCTTACTTTGTGAAGAAAGGATACTTTTACAGAGGGTAGTCTTTACTTTGGGAAGAAAGGATACTATTAAGTCTAGATTTTTTAAAATTTGTATGTTGGTCTGAGTCTTGTTTAGTAGGATGGACCAAGTCTAGATTTGTTCTAGAATTGTAGGCTGGTCTCAGTCTTGATTTGTAGGCTGGATCAAACCTAGATTTGTTCTAGATTTGTAGGCTGATCCAAGTCTTGGTTGTAAGCCTGCCCTGATTCTATGCTGGTGGCATAGACAAATTTTTAATACAACTTGTATTCAAGCAGACATTATTCTATCAGTACCTGTCTAAGAAGTGTTACGTGTTCATCTCTTAGCTTCTGATACACATCCTTCATCTTCTTAAACTTTTCTTCACTGGCTTTGGTATGTTCTGTAAGATAGTAATATATTTATGTTAGGTTTCAAGTTACACAGACACTGTTAAGGTCATAAAGCAACATTCCAGCTTAATCTGAGGAGGGTTACCTCAGGCACACACCACTATGTGCTTTATTTCAAGCATCAGATAACACCGAGTAGAAATCTTGAGAGAAAGTCCTAGACAAATTCATACACACAGCAGTGACAGCTTCAAAGATAACGACAGCCCACTAATATTACTATGTATGAATATCATGATCTGTGCTGACTGCCTTAACATCTATTCATACTGCCTTAACAATCACACTTGCCAGGTACTAAAGGTGACAGACCTATGACCTGTGTGTGGAGGGCTAGTGGTTTGAAATCAACCACTTAACAACTCGACCACGAATGCCCCTTTTATATGAATAATTGTCAACGGGTGTTGGCTATACATGTAGAAATATCCTTTTTAATTCTTATTGTCATGCACTTTGTTACTTCATTCATTTTCTGCCTTTGTTAGTTTATAAGCAGTAAAATTACTATGTTGACAGAATATATGGTAAAATATAATGATAAATTAAGTTGTCCATCTGAAATCTTATTATTTATCGACTTACTTTCAGCCTCAGTGAGTTTGGCAGCTGCACCCATATGAACTTTGGCTTTGCTTAGCTCCGCCTTCAAGTTTTCATTGTCCTGTAGAGCTTTGTCCGCAGATAAGCGCAGCTCTGACAATATTTTCTCCAACTTTGAGATATCGTCCCGTAATGATGATATGATTCTTTGGTCCTGAAAAAAAATATAATGATGAAAATTGATCAATAAAACCATTATCGAACACATTGTGATGGAAAGATTTATTTTCATTCAAAAAAATGTAACGGAACCATCCTTTATGAAACAACTTTGTAGGTATCTATCGATAAGAATTGTTGCAAACGAATTAAAATTTGGATTCTAGAATTGAATTCAATAATTATATTGTTTTTCGTCATGCTATTGAGTTTTGAGTCACACACACACTGTAGTCATTGTTACATTCCTACTTTTGTGAAGGAAGAAAACCTGAGATGCTACTCCGTGCATTATTTCAGGCACAAGCAAATACTTAAGGATGACCACCAACATTCTGTCAGATAGCTGGATAGCTTCCTTATGTGAAATTATCCAATGTCTTTGGTGTAATTTAAACCCATGGCTGTGCCACTTGATCAAGATCTGCACTTTTTGCTATTCAGTCATAACTTCAGGGGTTGACACTAACTTTTAAGCCAGGAATCCCAACGGGACATCTGTTGTTCATTTCCGGTTTACTTTTTGCAAGTTTATCATGTTTAATAAATACTTTTTTGCAAGGTGACCATCTTAAATGAATACTTTAAAGTTGATTAAAGATCAGTTTCAATTGTTTAGTATATTTTTTATTTAAAAACTTTAAAAGTCCCAACGGGACATCTGACTTGGAACTTTAGAAATCCCTTGCCAATTTTTGGAGTCCTCGGGACCGCGGGACTGCGTTAGTGTCGAACACTGAACTTATTTTGAAAATTTTCCTTACAAATGATGAATGGTTTTATCCAGATTCAAAGATTCTTAAAGAACATCTTAAGATATCTAAATAAATCAAAAAGAACACTGATGTTAACAAAATAGTGAAATATTTAGAGAAAACAGAAAAAGCATATAATACCTCTGATTTCACCCTCTCTAACTCCGCCCTCAATTGTTGGATTTCTTTTGTTAATCTCTCAATTAGTAAATCTCTGTAAGTTTAAACAAGACAGTATAAAGACCTACACCAGTGAAATAGGGAGATAAAAACATGTGCAAGCTATAAAAGGTTAAGATGCTGAAATAAATGTGGGGAAGTTGAGTTTGGACAAAAATGATTTTTTTTTTAAGTAGTAAATGTTGTTGTATAAGAAGCTAGTCTCTGTAATAACACATGTTTGAAATAAACTCAACTTTGAATCAATTTTCAGAATTAAAGGGAATTTCAGAATTAAAGGGAACATCTCAATATTTACAACCATTATTTTTTACTTTAAATTAAGTGCAAAAACACTTAAAGAACTGTTTCTCTCACTCCCCCTGACAAAACTATGGGAACAAAATCTTTTATAAAAAGGGCTTCATAATGAATAAATGAATGTGCATAATCCACTTTTAAATGGTTTTCATAATGAAATAATTTGCAGAATACACCTTATAATGGATTTCATGAATGAATATGCAGAATTAACTTTAAAACAAATTATTATGAATAAATGTACAGGATACTCTTTAAAATGGGGCATAATCCTCCTTTAAATGGATTTCACAAAAAAAAATGCAAAATTCTCTTTAAAATGGATTTCATAAGAAATAATCAAGGCTGAATTAGAGGATTAGTATAGAACTTTGTTTATTGTAAACTAATACTAGTACCTACTGAACTAAACATAAAGCTTTTATTATGTCAATGAAAAGTTATCTTAACAAACCTTTCATCAACTTCTGGTGGTCCACCATTAAAATTAAAACTTTCCTGCCGACTTCCAAATGTTGCATCAAATCTATCCTCCTTTATTTAAAACAGACAAAAAATAATATTTTAATCAATATATCAAAGTTCCAAAAAATTTTCTTTGGGTGTAAAAACAAGAGGGCCATGATGGCCCTGAGGTCGCTCACCTGTATATAGGCCCCCCACCCCCGGGCCAATTTTTACCCAAGGGCTTTTATTTGTTTATTTGAACAGACTTGGTAGACACCCATAAGAAGATGTTTCATGCTAAACATCTAAGTTCTAGCTCATTGGCTTTTTTAAAAGAAGATTTTTAAAGTTTTTACTATACACATATAGTTAAAAACAATGTCACCCCTGGGGCAGGGCAAGTTTTGACCCCCGGGCTTTTATTTTAACAAACTTTGTAGATATTTACTTAAAGACGTTTCATGCTTAATATCTAAACTCTAGCTATTTGGGTTTTTCAAAAGAAGATTTTTAAGTTTTTGCTATACACATATAAGGAAAATCAATGACCCCCCCCCGGGCGGGGCCAGTTTTGACCCCAGGGCTTTTATTTGAACATACTTGGTAGACACCCATTAGAACATGTTTCATGCTAAATATCTTAGCTCTAGCTCTTTGAGTTCTTTAAGTTTTTACTATATTCATATAGGGAAAATCAATGACCCCCTGGGGCGGGACCAATTTTGACCCCAGAGCTTTTATTTAAACAAACTTGGTAGACACTCATTAGAAGATGTTTCATGCTAAATATCTTAGCTCTAGCTCTTTGGGTTCTTTAAAAGAAGTTTTTTTAAGTTTTTACTATATGCATATAGGGAAAATCTATGACCCCCTGGGGCGGGGTCAATTTTGACCCCAGGGCTTTTATTTGAACAAACTTGGTAGACATTCACTAGAAGATGTTTCATGCCAAATATCTAAGCTCTAGCTCTTATGGTTCTTTAAAAGAAGATTTTTAAGTTTTTACTATATGCATATAGGGAAAATCAATGACCCCCTGGGGCGGGGCCAATTTTGACCCAAGGGCTTTAATTTGAACAAACTTGGTAGACACTCACTAGAAGATGTTTCATGCTTAATATCTTAGCTCTAGCTCTTTGGGTTCTTTAAAAGAAGATTTTTTAAGTTTTTACTATATGCATATAGGGAAAATCAATGACCCCCTGGGTCGGGGCCAATTTTGACCCCAGGGCTTTTATTTGAACAAACTTGGTAGACATTCACTAGAAGATGTTTCATGCCAAATATCTAAGCTCTAGCTCTTACGGTTCTTTAAAAGAAGATTTTTTAAGTTTTTACTATATGCATATAGGGAAAATCAATGACCCCCCAGGGGCGGGGCCAATTTTGACCCCAGGGCTTTTATTTGAACAAACTTGGTAGACACTCACTAGAAGATGTTTCATGCCAAATATCTAAGCTCTAGCTCTTATGGTTTTTTAAAAGAAGATATTTAAAGTTTTTTCTTTTGGTTGCCATGGCAACCAGAGTTCTGCATGGAATTAAATTCTTTGAACAATTTTTAAAGGTGACCACCAAAGGAACATTCCTGTGAAGTTTGGATGAAATTGGCTCAGTGGTTTATGAGGAGATGTCATTTAAAGCAAAAGTTTACGGACGGACGGACGGACGGACGACGGACGGACGGACGCCGGACGAAAAGCGATCACATAAGCTCACCCTGTCACTTTGTGACAGGTGAGCTAAAAAAAGCCTATGTTGTTCTTAAGTTAAAATAACCTATGTCCAAAGGTTTATGTGTAAGACTTAAAGTTAAAATAATCTATGTCTAAACTTTAAGTGTAAGACCTAAAGTTATTGTTTTAATTACAAAAAACAATAATAACGAAAATTTAACAAATCTTACGGATGTATCAATGAGGTCGGTAACAATTTCAGGTTCTGGTGTTATTGACTCTCGCTCCGGTTCGGGTTCCGGTTCTTCTACAACAGCTACTGGCTTCACGTGTTTATTAAAGTCTGACTGGATCAGGAAATTAGGCGGATCCTGTGTAAAATAAAAGAGAAAAGTTCTACATTACAAAGTTCATTTCTAAATGGCAGGGCAAAATGGCAGGACAAATTCAAATATGAAACAATCTTGCTTGAAAAGTCCCATTTTTCATATAAAAAAAAAGCTCAAAATTCAAATATAAAACGATATTGCTTGAAACGTCCCTTTTTTCATATAAAAAAAGCTTGAGCTTTTGTTTTGATAAATATAATTCTGGTAATGATTCATAAATATATGTACCAATATCTCTAAACATTTGGGTATTTTTATCAGGATTCAGAAAAACAAATTCATTTCCAAATTCCTAATTTCTTTAGCCTCACCCACTGCTGATATTTTTAGTTCAAACAGGCTCTACATTAATTCATTCATCATTCAAAGATATGTTCTCTTTGATATAAAACAATCGTAACTGATGTCTTTTTATATGAAATGCAAACATCATAGACTAAATTTTGAAAATCAAACAATAATTTTGTAAACTACAGTCAACAGATATAATAATTTATACACTTTATACACTGCATGGGAAAAAAAGTTATTTCTACATAAATAATTGCACAAGTCTGTAAAAATTAAAATTATCAAACAGCTTTGAGATAGTCACTGTATGTGTTCCTAGTATAACTGCAAATAAACGTATATATAACACACCCCATTATTACAAAAATTCAAAGTAAATTACTTACATCTGGTAATAAAGGTACTGTGACTAGATTTTTAAAATACTGAAGATTACTGCTTTGAAAGTAAAATTCCTTCAATCTGAAATAGTTAAAACAAAATTGTTACAATTTTTATCACTAAACAATTCAAGTAATTGTTTACTTGTTTAATTACAGCTCACTATCACTCAATTAGTGAATCTATCACTGGAATACATCAATATATGAAATACATCAATATATGAAATAAGAAATATACCATTTAATTTAAATTTGAAATAAAAAAGTACAATCTATTTAAAATGAAAGATATTGATTCTCTTGAGTTGTATTTTTTATTTGACTATAAGAAAATTAAAGGTAATTTTGGCAATGTTCCAGTGATACTGGTAGAAAGGTTACAACCCCTGCTGCCTCTCTTTGTTTAATTTAAGGAAAAAGCAGGCAACCTGTTGCTTCTTAATATTCAAATTCAGGTAGAAGCAGGCAACAAGGTAAAGTACAACAATCTTCAGTAAAGTCCCTAGCCCTACAAATATGGACAGAGAAGAATTGAATAAATGACACAATGTCATATGCCTTGTTCTCCTTACTTTTAATGAATAGTAAAAAAATGTCACTAGAAAACAGGATAACTAACTCAGACCAAAGAAAGCAACTTATTATCAAAAACATACTTCCTATTGATAAAGGGTTAACAAAAGCAACTATATATTAGAAATTAAGGTACTTACTTTTTATATTGGGCTAAGAAACGATCTCTGTGTCCAGACAGAGTATCAGGGGGGAGACCTGCAATGGTTTAAACAAAACATCAAATCTATTGTTATAATAATCATAATATTCCAGAATATGTTTGTCTTTATTTGTTGGTTTTAAGTCATGCCGGCACTGTACATCAACTTTCCTGCTTTACTGGTGGAGAAAGACCTAAGGCGCCCCTTTTGCACATTATTTCAGGCACAAGTAGACACCTGAGGAGAACCACCAATGTTATGTAAGCTTGCTTGATAGCTTCCTCACATGAAAGAATCCAAAGTCCCTTACAAGATTTGAACCCATGGCCAGTGAATGCCAAGTTATTTGGAAATTGGTGACATTCCAGCACAAGAAAATGCTGTTTTAACATCCCAACAACACTGTTAAGGTAGAGTAAAACCTCAGGTGCCTATCTTTGCACTATTTCAGGCACCAGAATAGAGCCATCAACGTTCTGTAAACTGGCTGAAATGCTTCCTCACAGCAAAAAAAAGAAAGCCTACAATGAAATTCATACCCACAAACGTTACAGGCAGGTGAATAGAAGTCCAAAAACCTGACCACCCCTACCCTAGAAATTCATGGTATCACACTTACCAGCAGCAAATTCATTTTCAGTTATTGTAACTTTACAACTTTGGTAAGAGGAGCAATAAATTATTTGAAAATAACAAACTGTATGTCGAAATGTGGATACTGCTCCTAATTAGCAAATATTGTACTAAAATTTTCAACAAAATAAGATAATACAAACGCGTAGATTTAGCCATAAAGATTTATCAATTGTAAATAATGTAAGTTTAGATCTCACAATAGAAGACTTATAAGTCCAAAAAAAGAAAATGTTTACAAACTTTACCAATTACCCAATTAATTTCTTTGAAAACATTATTTCAGAAACTTTTTTCTCTTATACTTAAATACAATTTGCTGTGTAGACAACATTGAAACTTGCTTGTGCAACTTTATAGTGATGGTCTTATTTGTTGTTTATGTTTTTTAGGTGTCATGCGCACTGAGCTTTCAGAATGTAGAATTGTCTTAACAAAAGGCTACCAGTAACAAAAGTAACAATCATATGTTGAGTGATCTGTCTATCATTGTAAATTTTGTAAGTTTCTTTTTTTTCATTCACAGCATAATAACTTGTAACAATTAACAAACTTTTAGACAGTGGAAATGATAAAAAAATATTCACTTTAAAGTCAGCCTCAAATATATCAATACTGGTTTGAATGACTGGCCTTCAAATGGCTGGCTACATGTAGGCAGCTTGTTCTCATGAAATAATTTATAATCCCTGGATGGAATTTAACCTACACAGTAAAGGGCAAGATATTCAGTTGGAAGCCCCTAAACATTTCTACCATTAGATAAACAGCTATACATATTCCTTGATACCAGGTTTTCAGCTAAAACCTATACATTAACCATAATCATCCCAACATGCAACAGTTAAAATGCCCATAGAAACTAAAACACAACAAACAGTTTATTTGTTGTACAGTTGAAAGCTTTTTTCTTTAAGCTAAAGAAAGCAGTTATAGGCCTTTTAAAAAAATGAGAAAAAAAATCAGTCATAAAAAAAATCTGAAGAATATATATTGTAAAGAGTATGTTTATTCAGAATACTTAAAATTCTGAAATCAAGTGTCTCACAAAGAAGTGCACTAGTAGAGATATATATGGCAGCAAAGATTGAGATTCCATTTCTGTATTAGAATTGTTCTTAAATGTACACAAATCACCGTACTTAAATGTACACAAATCATTGTACTAAAATGTACACATAATGCTTTATGTAGAGAATACCAACACTCTTAATGTAGTTGCACTTTCTGGCATGCATTAATACCTGCAGAGGCACAAGGACAAATTTAAAGCCCCAACCAGCAAGAAGAGGGATTTAATAAGTCCAAGGGCTTCTGCAGATGTAAATGCATGAAAAAAGGGCATCAGCCCTAATCTTGCATAAAAGTATACATCTGATTCCGTAATTCATGTTTGATATTTCCTTTTTCGTAAAACGAAACCACTTTCGTAATGCTTTTTCACATGCTACTGTGATGTCATCGGACAGTTATATATTGATAATGAAACAACCGGGGCCATTATTGCAGAAAGCTATTTTCAAATGGCACCTTGTGTCACACATATTAAAGAACATGTAACAATAGCACATGCTCGCATTATTTTATCTGTTAGTGCATGTTGCTTTTTTTCTCTATTGATGTATACCTGCATACACAGTTTTTTATGCAAGAACATTCAAAAGCACACATACAAGAACTATGAAATATGTTGCATACAAAATGAAATCTCAATCTAAGTATGGTGTTCAAGAGGGACCATCACCTGTGGTTAATATAAAAACAAACCCTACCTGGACAGGCTGCTTTTCAGTAAGTATAGTAATATCATTTCAAAAATTCTGTGCATTTTCTATACAAAACTTTTGTGCATTTTCTAACATGTTTATCATATTTCAACAGCAACCCTCATCAATATTAATCCCCCCTGATAATGCGTAACCAACCGATCCTGCTTTGAAATCGGAACTGAATATAATTAGTTTCTGGTATTTTAGTATCATTTTGAGAACCAGCGAGAGTCAATTAAAATATTAGATAAGTTTAGGGTTGACCTGGCTCTATAAATGAGCAACAGCCATGTCAATATTACCACTAGATATACTCAAAATTTCGAACAATATCAGCTTTATGAATGTAATCCATGATCTAACTGATGAAATATGGTGTACATGAATAAAGAATAACTATCTGCTTTGATTGAATTATGTCTTACTAGTTTTAAGTGTTATTTAGCATAAAACTTAAAAGAAAAACTTAAGCTAAAGTTGAGCAAGCTTAATTTTATGACTACAGATCATGATCTGCACTGTTTGCTATTCAGTCAGTTAATATTTTTAAAATTTTCTATCAAAATGATAAATGGAAGTCCATTTTCTACATTAGGGGGGTAAGGGTATAATAAATGTTTCATGTTGAATGGTAACTTGAAGACTGATTTCATATAAAATGCTAATTAGCTGAGGTATAAACCTATCATTGTGGCAGACCAAGGGATATAATTACTTCTAAATATACATCAAACCACCATTTTTAATCTCATGAAAAAGAGTGCTATATTAAACCACTATTATAATATCATTTAAGAATAGTTCTACATTAGGAGTACTTAATCAGTAAGCTAAATCTACATTATGAGGACTTAATCAGTAAACTGAGGACCTTTGTTGTTCTCTGTATTAAACTTATCATTGTAATTATACGGTCTGTCAATCTATATCACCTTACAGATTTAATCAATACTTATTTACATGTAATCTGATAAGTATATCATAAAAGAAGATAATAGAAAGTTAAACATGCTATGTTTCTAACTAAATACTTAACCCATTACTTCATGAGCATTTTGTGAAAAATGGCTGTTTTCATTGAAAAGTCTCCCGTTACAAGTTCAAATTGCTATAATACTATAAAAACTGCTTCAACACTAATCAAACTTGGCACAAATGTTGACTGGACAATTGCCCTTGCAACAACATGCTCAGGCTTAAATTTTCTGTTACCATGGCAACGAGGGGACATCTCAAAATTGCCAAAAATCACTATTTTGCGTTGATTTTTTCCATCAAAATTGATTTCAAAGTGCTGCAACTTCTCAATGGATTGACATAGAGTCAAATGCTTTTCAGCGTTGGTTACACGTTACCTTATGGTCAATCTGGGGTCATTTACAGCCTCTCACAAGTCCAAAATTTTCTTGGCGATGAGGGGGACTCCGCCCCCCTTCAAACCCCCCAAACAGAAGGGTGCACATCCCCTTTCTGGCAACCCCCTGATGTATCTTTTGGTTGGGGGGCCGCGCCGAAAAAGAGGTCACTTTTTTTAACAACATTTCTCAAACAAAAACAAGTGTTTGGGGCCTAAATAAGGCATTTTTTCATCATTTGAGACAACAAAAAAGGGGGGGGGGGAAAAAGGCGTTAAAAGGCGTGTATATGAAGTAATGGGTTAACAGAAAATGATGAAAATACTTGAAATTACCCTAAATCGCGTTTTTTCATGTTTAAACATGGCCTGTCATATAAATTTGAAGAAAAATTGTTGTTTTGTAGATTTTTTTATTTTTTTCATTAACCCATTACTTCATGAGCATTTTGTGAAAAATGGCTGTTTTCATTGAAAAGTCTCCCGTTACAAGTTCAAATTGCTATAATATTATAAAAACTGCTTCAACACTAATCAAACTTGGCACAAATGTTGACTGGACAATTGCCCTTGCAACAACATGCTCAGGCTTAAATTTTCTGTTACCATGGCAACGAGGGGACATCTCAAAATTGCCAAAAATCACTATTTTGCGTTGATTTTTTCCATCAAAATTGATTTCAAAGTGCTGCAACTTCTCAATGGATTGACATAGAGTCAAATGCTTTTCAGCGTTGGTTACACGTTACCTTATGATCAATCTGGGGTCATTTACAGCCTGTCACAAGTCCAAAATTTTCTTGGCGATGAGGGGGACTCCGCCCCCCTTCAAACCCCCCAAACAGAAGGGGGTACATCCCCCTTCTGGCAACCCCCTGGTGTATCTTTTGGTTGGGGGGCCGCGCCGAAAAAGAGGTCACTTTTTTTAACAACATTTCTCAAACAAAAACAAGTGTTTGGGGCCTAAATAAGGCATTTTTTCATCATTTGAGACAACAAAAAAGGGGGGGTGAAAAAGGCGTTAAAAGGCGTGTATATGAAGTAATGGGTTAACAGAAAATGATGAAAATACTTGAAATTACCCTAAATCGTGTTTTTTCATGTTTAAACATGGCCTGTCATATAAATTTAAAGAAAAATTGTTGTTTTGTAGATTTTTTGATTTTTTTCATTAACCCATTACTTCATGAGCATTTTGTGAAAAATGGCTGTTTTCATTGAAAAGTCTCCCGTTACAAGTTCAAATTGCTATAATACTATAAAAATTGCTTCAACACTAATCAAACTTGGCACAAATGTTGACTGGACCATTGCCCTTGAAACAACATGCTCAGGCTTAAATTTTCTGTTACCATGGCAACGAGGGGACATCTCAGAATTGCCAAAAATCACTATTTTGCGTTGATTTTTTCCATCTAAATTGATTTCAGGGTGCTGCAACTTCTCAATGGATTGACATAGAGTCAAATGCTTTTCAGCGTTGGTTACACGTTACCTTATGGTCAATCTGGGGTCATTTACAGCCTCTCACAAGTCCAAAATTTTCTTGGCGATGAGGGGGACTCCGCCCCCCTTCAAACCCCCCAAACAGAAGGGTGCACATCCCCTTTCTGGCAACCCCCTGATGTATCTTTTGGTTGGGGGGCCGCGCCGAAAAAGAGGTCACTTTTTTTAACAACATTTCTCAAACAAAAACAAGTGTTTGGGGCCTAAATAAGGCATTTTTTCATCATTTGAGACAACAAAAAAGGGGGGGGGGTGAAAAAGGCGTTAAAAGGCGTGTATATGAAGTAATGGGTTAATAAACAAAAAGCAATCACATCACATACTGAATAATGAATAAAAAGTCTATATCATCAACTTAGTGCAATAACTTGTTAACTCCTATTAAATTTAGAAGGACTTAACCCTTTACTGCACTAAAGTGATGATATATTCCCACAAATTTTAAAAAAAAATTTACTCACTAGAATGTAATTTGAATAAAATTTTGACGATATAGTCATACAGTTGACACGAGTCTTGAATACATAAAATAAGAGGTGCGAGCCTGCACTGGCCAGAATTTGTCATCGAGTTAGCTCTCGCTCTGTCAAGTGAACCAAACACTGAAAAAGAAAAGATACATATATAAAGTAGAACTTCACTCATAATTATATAGATATTCATTTTCATTTTAGTTTTATTTAGGGTTTCATTGGGTCTAATTATATCAATTTATGAATATTTCACTGATTTTCATAGGAATCTTAGATATTTAGTTGTTTGATACTAGATATGATCATTATACATTTGTTTTAGGTGAAACAACTATTAACCAAGTTGCTATTCTATGTTCTCTGAAGAGAAACAACAAGATGTTATAGTCGCATTTAATAATACTTCCAGATACCTTGATGATATTTTTAATTTAGATAATCCTTATTTTGATCAAATGGTGTCTGACATTTATCCACATGAACTACAACTTAATAAAACGAACTCTTGAAATTTTAGTACATCATTTTTGGATCTTACATATTACTAATCAACAACAATTCTATTTCACACACGAAACGAAATTTATGATAAAGAGATGACTTTGACCTTTTGTATTAGTTAATTATCCACATTTGGATGGAGACGTACCCCATGCAACATCCTACGGGGGTTTGATGTTTCTCAGTTAATTAGATTCGCTAGAGCTTGTAACAACGTAAAGGATTTCAACGAGCGAACATAATTTTTATATTACCCAGCAAGCCTTCTAAAACAGGGCTACCGCTATCATAAATTACGGAAATATTTTACTAAATTTTTACAATCGTAACTTTGATTTAATTTCTAAATTCAATAGTGATTTAAAAACTCTTCTGCGACAAGGGATTAGCCAGCCTGGTTTTTATGGCAATGTGGTTTACAAACTTCGTAAGATTTTGGGTCATGGTAATTTTTTCTGCTGTTTTTACTAAAATCATTAAACGTTTATTAAAAGAGGTTATGACCCCTACTATTTTAAGACATACTGCATGTTTAGTGTTCAACCCTTTTACAGTTGGACACTACACTTTCCTCCTTTTGATTGCATCTGACGACCAAGTGGGAGACTCTATGATGGATAGTTCGTAAAGCCCTTTGGGACTGAATTGTCTTAATGTTCGTCTTCTGCCTTGCTTCGTCGGGCCCTTGTAGGTGATTTTTCTTGTTGCTCTGTCTTCCTTTAGGACATTGAGTACTTTTGTTATGGTCATTGGGTTTACTTTTATATGTTTCTACATGATCATTTAGTGTTTTACTTATTTTACCTTTTGTAACCATGACAACTGTTAGAATTTCACTTGGCGGGGATTCATTTTATTTACACTGTCTCGTTTATAGGAACATGGTGGGGCTAAGAGCGAGGTTAGGTGCACCATTAACCGGTTTAAACTCCCCAGCAGTCATTATTATGCTGCTGACCGTTCCAAGGCGGCGCCCCACTGTGTTCCTCAGATGTATGTCTATGTTGTTTCATACTGTTTTGGTGACACTTTTGCTTGTGTCCCTTGTTGTTTTCTCGTCTACGGTAAGTATCTTCCCCATTGCCTCTACTTTTTATTTCTTTGATTAACCCCCCCCCCATCCGCCGGTCTCCTGTCCCCTTCCCCTTTGTGGGCTTATTATTATTTTCTTTGAATTCCTAATCAGTTACAAATTATTTATCATTTAATGATAAACGTGTCTTTGCCCTGTCCTTTTTATGTTTGGGGTCCGCCTGGGCTCCTTGCCATTGGGTTCTTGTTGCTTGGTCATATGGGGGTTGCGTTCATTGAACGCCGCCTTTCCTTGTTGATCTTGTTTATCATATTTTAGGTTATCAATTGATATTTAATGCAAAAGTAGAAAAAGTTATCTGGTACGAAAGTGGGTCTATCAATTGTGGCATTACAAGTGCTACAGTTTTAAACATGGTGAGAGAGTGTCCTTCAAAGAAACTTTTATTACATTACTTAGTATGGATAAAATGAAACATGCATCATTTTAATTTTAATATCTGAACAAATGAATTTATTTTTTTAACTGTTTAAAATAACAATCCAGAGATAAGGCCATGGATGTTTCAGGCACAAATGGGCAGCTGAGAAGAATCACTGGCATTACATAAGCAAGCTGGATGGCTTTCTCACATAAAAGAATCCAAAGACGCTTGCCCAACTCAAACCTACAGAGAGGCAAGTAGTTTAAAGTCAACAACCTTAACCACTCGGCCATGTACACCATTTTATTGATATAATTAATTGCTTTATTCTGAAAATCTCATAAACATGGACCTTTCCAGTTTTTCGTAGCGGAACATTTAGCCACACCTTTTCTAATCATTGCTAGGTCAACTGCTCACAAACAGTATCACAAACATAAGCACGTGTTCTTTTGTGCAAACCAGGTCAACCAGTGACTATGTATTATCTCAGTGTAGCAATTGGATAACAAGTTAGCCTGTAAACACAGGAAAGGTCCATTGTCTTTATGTCATGATCTCTGACCTTCAGTATGTTAACCTGCTAGCCTGAAAAAATTCCTGATGAAAAAATAACCTACAGTTGTGAAGGTAATCAATTCAATGCCAGAAACCTTAACCGCTACAGGACTGACAGGTGCAAGAAACATGTAAATACATACCTTGTTTCTGAAGATTCAATACTTCATCCATATAGTCCAGCATATCTACACTGATCTCAAAACTGTAATAATGCATTGTATATATCATTTTAAACAGATTTATTTTTCATGAGTTCATTGAAGAAGAAAACAAATTAAATAGTGATCGACTTGTCACCTACTGCTTACTTACAGCTTCCAGCTTAAGATCATTCTAGGGAGTATAAGAGATGTTGCACTTCTCATTTTCTTTCACGAATATAGACTAAATCAAACGAAACAAATGTTGGTAGAGATTAAATATTGGTCAAAGTTATCTCATTCATTATTGTTCCTCAATCTGTGTAATTAGTCAGGTGTTACACTTCACCTGCTGGGACGAAAAGGGATAAGCTTCACCACCAAAAGTGCCAGGCCAGACTGACCTGGGCTTACACTTTTGGGCTAACTTTAATTTTCACCCTGATATCACTAAAATTGATAATGGACAGTTCCAAATATGAAGCCTGGACAAGTCAATTAAAGGAATTTAGTAGGTTAAGAGTTAAGATACTTAAATGATATATAAGCATAATATAAACTTACTAGCCATTGACATCAGACCCACAGATTCTAGCAAATACATCATCAGTCATCAACAAATTTCCTGGTATGTTAGGATACTGAAAATAAAACATTTATCTCAACATTTACACCACATTTTTATAACTATATTTCAATACCATCCTACAGAAGTTATTTTATTTCATTCACGTCTTAATTCAGACAAATCATTTCCCGACTTTTTTGTTTTTGTAGAAAAAATTAAACAAATCAAATTACCGTCAGTAAAAATTCTTTCGTCGAAATTGTTAGATATTATTTTAAACATTGGAAATTTACAATTATTAAAAGCCAATTGTCAAATAATCAAAGGTCATTAAAATATAAAGATATTACAAATTTAAATCAATTATTATAATTCAAAAAGATCTCTTAGGCCAAGTGGTAAATGTTACTCCTAAGTAAATTAACATGCTGTTTCCTGCTGTTGAAATCCCATGCCGGGATTTGAATTTTATCATGCCAGGAAGCAATCCAGCTAGTTAATGGCAAGTTAGTACTACTAAGATTCCTTTTGTTTCCTCAAAAGAGTCCATAAGGGGCATCCAAAGTTGTCCTCTACAAGTGTATCTGGTGAGACACAATTCAATGTTTACAGAGATAATGTATATTATAATAAATTAACTTGTCTAATCCCATTCTTCTGAAAATATCCAAATCACTTCCCCCCCCCCCCCATCATTCCCCCATCCCCAATATCAAAAACAATCAGTCAAAGTTCTTACTTTTTTGTGGAAGACTAACTTTTGGTTCAGCAATACTGTGTAAGCAGCAATCAATCTTCCATATCCGTCCCGCAAGTGTCCCTAAAATAAACATTTTGTTAAATACAATTATATTTTTTCTGCAAAGCACAGTCAATTAATAATCCTTACCACATACAATGTCTTCAGAATTGCCCATCTTTCAATCTAGAAAAAAAAACCACCATTTCTGGGGAAAATACCAAAATATATACTGATTGAAGTGACCAGTCAAAATAATAAAATTTCTGCAGCCTGTAGTATAGACCCTGATATGACAGGATGGATAAGTAGGCCTGACTCTATACTGGTTGAATGGGTCTGTTTGTATTTCAACTAGAAATCAAAAGGTTTGAATCTGATTTTGATTATATTAATTTCATTTTGAAAATATTATGAGTGAATTTAGAAGTTAATAATTGCAAAGCAAGGATTTTGTTTTCACAGATAGGTGAAGGGACCCTTTCTAATTTTGAGGAAAATAATTCACATTTTTGCAAATGAGGAAAAGAAAAACTTGATGTTAATTGAATTTTATAAGAAAATTGCATGATTTTATACAATTTTCATATGTGAAAAGCTGCCCCTACACAGCCCCTGCTACAGAAGTATAAAAGCCCTTTGAAGTGTTATAAAACATTAATTTTGTAAGAAGACAACAAACTGAATGTCATTACATTGTTTTGATTAAAATACAATTTAAAGCAGTTATCCTATAGCAAGAAGCAATGGTATTATGGTTTTAACATTTTGTGTACAAAAGTCACAAGAAATTCTTTGTATTACTGTTTTCTTCCTTGCCATTAAAATATCAGAATGTATTGTTTCAAAAAATGATACATAACAATCTTATAATCTTGTACATTATTTTCCCATGCAATTCAAATATTAAACAATACAAATAGTAACATTGCATGCGATACTTGCTAAGTTTAAAGAACATATAGTAAGGTTGAAAAATTACAAAATTTCATCTATTTGACAACAGGTTAAATTTTCAAACAAAGTTTTTTATAATAAATATTCAAATTTACTCCCACCCTTTGATTTTTGCATAAACCATGCAATCATGTGTCAGATCATGTTTGTATGTTTTTGACTTGTTTGGTTTTACAGCGCACCAACACATCATTAGTCATATGGCACAAAAAACTCAGATGTGACAAACTTCAAAGCAACACCAGAGGTCAAAACCACCTCACCTTCTAAAGCTAAGAGATGCACAGACTTAAGAAATTCCCATAACCCATTAATTTGTCTCTTATGATTATGCAGGGATAAATTGTGGCTGCAAATCTTATACCAAACTAGAATTACCTCCCTTATAAAATACCTAAATGAAAGAAACCAAAACAGAACTTACCCATAATTTGCCTAGCTCTTCCAAGAAAGTTCTGTATTTTTGTGAATCTATAAACACGTTTTCATGGCCCTCTCTCAATAATTTGTGTAGTACATGACAAAACTTCCAACACAGTATTGGGTTGGCCTGTAACTGCATCTGCTTTGTGGTAACATGCCAGAATAACCCTCCTCCATGGTCAGTGAATGTACCTAATATTGTATCTATACATTGGTTAAGGAATTAAAGCAAAGAATTTTGGTTGTGCAGTTAAAACAAGCAACTGTTTTAACCATCAGCTAAAACGCACTTGATCAATACCAAGATAATTGGTCAATATCAATTAAGTTTGCTGGATAGCTTCTTTATCAATATCAAGATAACTAGTCAATACCCACTGAGTTAGCTGGATTATAAGCTTCTTGATCAATACCAAGATAATTGGTTAATACCAGTTGAGTTTGCAGGATAGCTTCTAGGTCATTACCAAGATAATTGGTCAATACCAGCCGAGTTGGCTGGTTAGCTTCTTTATCAATACCAAAATAATTGGTCAATACCAATTGCGTGAGGTGGATAGCTTCTTAATATAAAGATAATTGGTCAATACCAATTCAGCTAGCTGGATAGCAGCTTAGCTTCTTCATAATTATTAAAGAAAGGGATTTGAACCCTTAATTTGAAAGGGAAGGTGGTATAAAGTCAAAGACCTTACCCACTTGGCCACAGATTCTCTCTTTGATCTGACCAGCATGTTATTTTGATCAGTATGATAAACTTTTTGATATTTTCATACATAACAATTTGCCTTAATCTTCAAAACTTAATGATTTTTGAATTATAATACATTTAACATCAAAGACAAAACTCATTTTGCCACAAATCTTTTGCTAACCTTTTTTGCATTATATATAAAACAGTTCAAAAACATCTTCACTATATGCTTTTTTAAATGTCTGCATTTTAGAAAGGTCAGTAACTTAACTTACTATGTTTTTCTTTAATATACCAGTACATGTATGTTTTACTGTTTATAAAAAGATTCATATTGTGGGTTGACCCCAAAACTGCAGTAACTTATATAAAATAAAGAAGGACTAACATCAGTTTTGGGATCAACCCTCAGTATACTTTATACAAATCAGTATGTAAAATCCCATTCTGTCTAGATATAAGTACTTTGTAAGTTTGTATACTATAATTAACAGCATACGAGACTATAATTGGTACCACAACAACCAATTACTGTAAGTGTTACAGTTTCTATTTACAACACACTTATAACCCATTAAACCTATTCCAAATATAGAAAAAGAACACATAACAATATATCTGTATCAGTGTGAAAAAATATACACAACTCTTCAAAATATAGAAAAGAAAAAACATGGACATGAATGAATGAAAAAATTGTTTACAAATATAGATAAGGAAAAAAGACATGGATATGAATGTATATATGTATGAAAAAAAGAAAAGAAAATCACACACACACACACACACACTAAAATCAGCAATACATCTCTTATCTTCTTATGGTGTTAAGAAATGAAAGGAGAGGCCCTTCTTCACAAATAGGCTTTTAAGATAAGACTTAAATCAGAGCAAATAGGTATAACAACACTAAAATTGTTCGAAAAGGAACAATCCAATGGAGATCTTTTATGTGAAATGTTTTCTTGCTGAGGAAGTCTTTTACACAGGTCTTACTGTACAACAGGATAATTAACAAACAACATGACAAACAAACAAGACAGTCAATAAACAAAAATCTCAATATTGAACAATATTTCTTAAGACAAAACAACAGGATACACAAACAAACAACAGGATACAATAATAAATATTATAAAATATCAAATACAATAATTGTAACAGGATAAATTAATTTATGATAGGACAGCCACAAACAATAACAGGACAGTCAAAAACAACAATAGGACTGTCTATAACAAACAGCAGGACAGTCAATAACAAACAACAGGACAATCAATAACCAACAAAATGACAGTAAATAACAAACAAGAGGCCAGTCAATAACAAACAACAGGGCAGCCAAAAACTAACAACAGGACAGTCAAAATGCCAAACAACAGGATCAAGTTAGACTGGATGACCTGACAAACAAACATTTCATGATGAGAATATTACTACAGTATCTGACTCACAATCCATCCCACAAAAATATACTGTCACATGTTGTTTAATATAGTCACTATATCATAATGTCCACATCTTTACTTCCCTTTGCCCTAGGCTAGCATGGTAACACATCTGGTTTGTTTATTATTTGCTAGATTACATTCTGAACATTGTCAGTATTTTAGTACTATTTACCAGTAGCCTTCTATGTGAAATACTATAATAAAATCATAGATCATAATTATTTGTTTTATTTCTCTTTTTTTTTGAGGGGGGAAGGAGTGTATAACTAAACAAACATACTATACATTCAATTATTTGATCTATAATCTACCTTTAATATAGCTTACTTTTAATATCATACTTAATAACATCAAAAGATATATATTGATTAATGTAAAGAGAACACCAACATCATTATATCTTGATAACATCAAATCATCAAAATAAAACATAAACAAATATTGACACCCACAGATGTTTCTAATAAAGGTTTTTAACTGGCTTTTGTAAACTTTGATTTTAGCCATAGTACATTACGTATCATCCTAAATATCTTAAACAGGCTGGTTTCATCTTTTTTCCATTCATCACTTTTAGGGAAAATTTCAAAATATGTACTTCCTGAATTATGACCAGTGCAGACCCTGATCAGGCGGCACAGGTGAGCTTGCTGATCCTGGTCTGCACTGGTCGCATGGGTAAAATATGTAAATATGTCAAATTCGGTTTCAGTCGGCAGGCAAAGGGTACAGAATGCTTTATAATTTGTCAAAGGGATTGTCTGCTCGTCAATTTCTTCTAAATTTTGTTGATAACAATCATGAAGTATCCTTGTAGCATACCTATTTTACTATAAGCCAATGTTTGAAAATCATTACCTACACCACATATACCTGCACTAGGTGTTATCTAAGGAATGCCATGTGTTTAATTAGGATGAGCAATTTCAAAGTTATGTGCAGTTCAAAAGTTTAACTGTGTTTATATTTATTTTGGATTTACATTCTGTTTACATCAGTGATACAGATTTACAACACTGAGAATATTTGAGTTTAAAACACTGCCTACTAATACCTTGACCCTTACACCATGTAAATAACTACATAATTATCTAAATGGACTTGTCCATCTTACAATCTGGACTGAACCATTTATCATATTAGGGATACATTTATAAATATATATAGACTGAATAGTGAACAGTAATTTTGATCATACGGCACACATATGCTGGCCGATTTTTGGCCTGCACTGGTCACATGGGTAGAACCAGTTGCCACTTGCAGGCATAGGGTTAAAATAAAGAATCACATGTATAAAACAAAGGTGAGGGAATTTAATTGTTACACTGATGGAAAAAAAACCTGAATTTGACACTACAACTTCAAAAGGATACTTCTCAGATGTTTCTCTTTTACTGGAGTCTCTTGTGTATTTATGGCTTTATTAATGGCAACAGTCTGTAAAAAAAAACAATGATAAATAATACAAAATATGAGCCGCACCATGACAAAGCCAACATAATGAGTTTGCGACCAGCATAGATCAAGACCAGCCTGCGCATCCGCGCAGTCTGATCAGGATCCATGCTGTTCGCTTACAAACCCTATAACAAGTAGAGAAACTGATAGCGAACAACATGGATCCTTATCAGACTGTGTGGATGCGCAGGCTGGTCTGGATCCATGTTGGTCACAAACCAATTATGTTGATTTTGTCAGGCGCGACTCTTATATAAAAATACAAATATTTAATTTATTCATTAAATCTACAAACAAATGCATCCACTGCAGTAAGGCCAAGTTCAAACAGACTTACAAATTTACATGATTTTACCTTACCTTTATACATGTATATTATCATGGTAAAATCAATACAATGTTTTTCTAGACATTCAGTAAAAAACTTTTAATCTTTTAATTTGAAGTAAGCCATTCATCATTTGTATAAGGGAAAATTTCACAAAAAAATACTGACTTAAATTTAAACAGTGCAGACAATGATTAGATGACTCAGCAGTGCCGGTTCATCTTGATTTGCACTGGTTGCTTGGGTAATTTAAGATTAATGGTAATTATAGCCTGTGTACAGTATATACATGTATATTTCAAAAGAAACAGCAACAGGAAGTATATATAAAGAATGTAAAACAAAAACATGTTACAAAAAACAGGTACATGTAAGTACTTGTACAAAAGGATCAAAGAGGTCTTTTGATCAAAGGCATCTTTGCTATCAGTAAATTGGGACATAATGTAAAATTACACTTGATCATAAGAAATAAAACAATTAAACAACTGCAAATGCTGTCAAATGATTTTTTTTGTAAGCAATCAAGATGTTGTCATGGTGTTTAATTAGCTTAAATAAGCATGACTATTTCAAGAGGCAATCAAATAAAAAGCTAAATCGGGACACATTTTACATTTGAAATATTGTACATTATATCAAATGGCATTTACATTTTACATTTTATTTTGTTTGTTAGGTCACACATGCATTGGAAATGCCAAAGCGCAAATTTCAGTCAATCTTTGAAGTATTGCAACATGTTTTATATTATCCTTGATATTGTTTTAAAGTAAGCCTCCATTAATTGTCATATAATAAACATTTACATTGTTTTATTTTACACCTACATTATAAAATATTAACCCTTTATATTGTTTTATATTAAACCTTAATATCATTTTATATTAAACCTTAACATCATTTTATATTAAACCTTAATATCATTTTATATTAAACCTTAACATCATTTTAATATAAAAACCTTAATATCATTTTATATCAAACCTTACCATCATTTTATATTTAACCCTACCATCATTTTATATTAAACCTTAATATCATTTTATATTAAACCTTAATATCATTTTATATCAAACCTTACCATCATTTTATATTTAACCTTACCATCATTTTATATTTAACCTTAATATCATTTTATATTAAACCTTAATATCATTTTATATTAAACCTTAATATCATTTTATATTAAACCTAATATCATTTTTATATTAAACCTTAATATCATTTTATATTAAACCTTAATATTATTTTATATTAAACCTTAATATTATTTTATAATACACCTTTTCATTGTTGTATATTTCACTTGTATTATGTTACTATGTAACTTTTATATTAAGCTATTTCATAAACATTTTACTCCTTGAAATACTGAATATGTGTAATGGATTTGCCCACTTCTGCATTTGGAACAGTCCATTCAAAGTTCAAGGGATTTCAAGAACAAAATACAAAGATTGAGCAGCCACCAGTATAACGCCTGGTCAGACATGCAAGCTACCCTGGCTCTATACAATTATACATCAAACATGTATAATTATGCAAGCATTTTATGGCAAATCTGTAAAAAAATCGCTCACTAAACTATGTATTGTTAGTGCTTAATAATACAACAAAATGTATAAATTCACAATGGACCAAATTTAGTTCGAAATCCTTAACAGAGTTATGAATCTTGAATAATGATCAATAATATGATCCCGAATACATGTCAGGTTTCAAGCAAATATCTTCAGTGGTGGATACACATTGATGAAATATGAATTTGTATGCAAACATGAACCAAGAGTTGTGCAGACTCTATGCCACATGTTGGCAGGATAGAATCACTTTTCATCATACATGTATATAATGTTGTTTGTTGCCAGTGTAATACTGTAAGTTCATAATCCTATAACATTAATTGATCACTGGTAACAGCTTAATTAGAGACTACAAAAATCTCATTTATCTCAATACAAATATATAAAGCTGCAATTCAGCATTTCATTTATGAATCATTTATATACAGATAAATATCGTTTTTTCTTCTTACCTTTAATCTCATGCAACCTATATACACTTTATATTTTTTTACCAACATGTACTTAACAAGATATTTTAGGCAATCTCTTTCAATTCTTGCCGTGAAGTCAAGATAACATGACAGTATACTAATTAGTAATTTCACAGGTGTCAGAAAACAAATAAGAGAAAGACGAAGTGAAATTATTACATGAAAAAGCTCAAAATATGGTTTGAATTAATGCAAAAAAATAATATAATTTTATCATTTAGATCTTTAGCTGAATGAAAAATTTTGGTTTAATGTTAATATGCTATTTATTTTTCACAAATCCACAGAACAGAAACTCATTAATAAAAAAAAGGTGTCTCAAGATGAAAAGCCTGGGAAAATTACATCAGTTTTCTCCATAAATTTTGATCACATATATCCAGTAATTAAAAAGAGATGCAAAAGTCAATGCATACAGGGTGCCCAAAGCACAAGCCACAAAACAAAAGGGAGTTTGTGCAGTTGAAGCTCCAAGCTAAAAATGAACTTTTGAATCTTTCAAATTATGCTTTCTGTGGGTTAAAGCTCACTCAGACACAGTACTTAGGACTGTTAAGGAATTCAGGCCTTGAAATAGCACTAATACTAATACATTTGTACTGCTTTAAAGCTATATATTAAAAATTGAATTGAAATTAAAAATTTAATGAAATGAGTGGGTAAGTAAATTCCATTCTCAGCTGTTGGAATTTGATTTCAGGTTTTCTTCCCTTTTCTGATTTATCATGCTATATTTTCCTGAAAGCCATCGAAAAAAAAAATCACTGCTGTAATTCATATATTGTGACACAGTGTTAAGAAAGGATTACTGCAATACTTAATATAGGGACATTTAACCTGCAAATCGGATACAGAAAAGTATGTGACATGCAAAAAAAAGCACTTCACAGTAATACAAAACAGCATATATAACAGTGTATTAAATCTACATGTGTCTAATCTTTTTAATTTTGAAAACAGATGCAATTACCACATGACCTTATATTTAGGGCTGTAGCAAACTACCAAACTCTTGAGAATTCATGAACTCTAAAAGAAAATTGCATACAGACATTTGTCTGCCCTTGTATTATCGAATCGAAAAACTTTGACAATTTTATTCTTTGAGTATTTCAGTATCAAAAACTTATTTTAATTAATTTCTAAGTAACAAAACATGCATAATCTATTATAGTATTCATTAGATTTGTTATTTGTACAATGTAGCAAAAATATGTCCAAAGTTTTAAATATTTTTAAGCAGTATTGCAGTTTATGTACATCTAAAAATGCTTATTTTTATTATGAAAATAAAATAAGTACTTAGCACATCATGAATTTTCAAAATATATTTGATATTAAATTTCCCCCTTATAGCAATATAAATAAATAGTTGAGTTGCTGATTAAGAAATGAATGTGCAAAGAAATACAAAAAACACCGGACAATCTACATAAAACATTACATTATACTTCTACATGTTCACTGATCTGCATGCATTGTGGAAAAATCGTACAACAGGAATGGGTTATAATTTAGTCTTCTATATTTGTAAATCTGTATTATATCTACTAGCCTGTGGGTCATGTATTTATATTAATAATAGAGAGACTGATGACCACATATTATTGCAGGATTTTTTTTTCTCTCAGGATTTTGGGAAAATAACTAATACCCATGGATGGAATTTGGAATTTCAGCAATGTGTCACGGTTTTGTTAAATTTGTTAAATTTTGGGGAAAAATGCATGTCTTAAATTTTGCAGTGATAAAACGAATGCAAAGAATCACTATCTAGGATGGCATCTGCAAACATTTAAGCACCATAACAGCAAAAAAGCCCTTATTTTCAAAGATTTTAGAATTTGTTTTTCAATATTTTTATTTTGTAACTTTCAATTGGGAATTTATTCCTGTGGATTGGGAAAATAATAAACTATTTTCAGTTGTGAATATGACCGAATATCTGCTATAAAATTATTAAAAAAAAATCCCTGTTATTATTCCATTATTTCATAATGTAAATCAATTTTAATGTGTTTTGCAAATCTATTTTTGTGACGCTGTTCTGTATCTCGAAACTTATTGTCTCAAATCTTGCCTGGCAATACACTAATAAAAATCTACTGCTCAAATTTGAAAAAAGGTCTGACTTTCATATGCTTTTTTTAAATTTATGCATTGTTCAATGACAAAGTAGAAACTGATTTTACAGAGGAATTTTTTTTATCTAATTGTATCATGTAAAGATTTTTATAACATATCACAATGTCATTTACAAATATTTTATATTTAATTTTGTGCATTTTAAAAACGTGTTATTTGTCACCAAATTTTCTTAACAAGCAATCTATGTTTTTCAACAGATCATGGCTTTAAAATCATATTTATCTTTTTTTCAACAAGCTTATAGATTTTTAAAGAACATCATGTTGTTAGAATTTTCATTTTTGCTCCAGTATTTAATTTTCGCCCTTTTTTTATTGAACACTTACATAATTTGCGTATAGCAAACCATGCCAAATTATACGAGACATGATTAATTTTAGCGATGGGAGTTAACATTATAGCGCTTTTCCAGAAGACCCTGTCTGGACCGTATTTCTAATTTTCATTTTTTTATTCTGAAAATCTTTTTTTAAACATCAAAGTCCTGAAGTATCAAACAAAAAAATAGTCCTCAAATACAATATGTAGCTAATAGCGAGCTCAAAGAGCTGGCCTGAAGGGCCTGATCGCAAAGCGAGCTTTACAGTAATGTGAGTACCTGCTAGATAGTGATGGTTTTGAAAACTTTTGCCGGAAGTACTGCAAAATTATGGGAAATTGGCACATCACAACTTTTCAAATTACATTATTATGTTAAAAGCAGAGAAATTCTGATTGAAAACAGATGTGTAAACTGGTATCCTGCACACTTTTATAGGAAGCATAATAGGACAGGGAACCAGAATAAACGGAAGCAGTGCATAAAACACCGAATGGCACTTTTAAAACAGAAAATGTAAAATAACAAGAGCTGTCTGTAGGACAGCACGCTCGACTATTCTAAGTGCTTGATAGTAAAAGAGCCTTGATAATGTTAAATTTTTTAAGTTTACAAAAGGGCTAATTTTTTTTATAAATTCTTGTTATAGGCCTTAGAGAGAGTCTAATTAAACAGTATTGGCTTGACTATTCGGAAGGTAATGTCACAAGGGTGTTTTATTGAGTATAATAATACTAATTACCTATGAATACATAAATTTGACAGAAAAGGTACAAAGGCTTGTTATTAAGATGTTTTATCAAGTAAATCACTGCTTTATTATTATGAATGCATAAAATTGTCCCAAAAAAGGCACAAACCCTTCAGTAGTTATTGAGATAACAGCTTACAAATGAATTTCTAAGTTGAAAAAGGGGAGAAAAATCAGCCTAAATGCAAGATAGAATTATGGATCTTTGTCAGTGACCTACAATTATGACCCTAAATGCATATGTGAAGTTTTAAATAAATATCTTTAATAGTTATTGAGATATGTAAAACTTGCATGTAAACATTAACCAAGAGACTAAGTAGAAAAGGGGATATGAATCAGCCTTAATGCAAGATAGAGTTATGGAACTTGGTCAGTGACATACAATTATGACCCTCCAATTATGACCCTAAGTGCATGTGTAAAGTTTCAAGTAAATATCTTTGAAGACCATTAACCAAAATTTCTAAGTTTCAAAGGGGCAAATAATTCTGCAAATATTGCAGGCAGAGTTATGCAATTTTGCAAACTGATGTACATTGTTACTATAAAAAAGTGTTTTAATTTTCAATTGAATATCTCAAGCAATAATTGAGATATTTGACTTTACAAAAAAACTTTTACCAAAATTTCTAAGTTCCAAAGGGGCAAAATTCTGTCAATATTGTAGGCAGAGTTATCCAACTTGTCAATCTGATGTACCTTGTTACTATAAATAAGTATTGTAAGTTTCAATTGAATATCTCAAGCAATAATTGAGATATTTGACTTTACAAAAAACTTTAACCAAAATTTCTAAGTTAAAAAGGGGCATAATTCTGTCAATATTGTAGGCAGAGTTATCCAACTTGTCAATCTGATGTACCTTGTTACTATAAATAAGTATTGTAAGTTTCAATTGAATATCTCAAGCAATAATTGAGATATTTGACTTTACAAAAAACTTTAACCAAAATTTCTAAGTTAAAAAGGGGCATAATTCTGTCAATATTGTAGGCAGAGTTATCAAACTTGTCTATCTGATGTACCTTGTTACTATTAATAAGTATTGTAAGTTTCAATTGAATATCTCAAGTAATAATTGAGATATTTGACTTTACAAAAAACTTTAACCAACGCAGACGCCGACGCGGACGCCAACGCCGACGCCACTACAATTATAGCTCTCATATTCTTCGAATAGTCGAGCTAAAAATGGGTGATTATTTTAATTGACTGCTCCGTTCATAGGCTTTCAGTGTTTTTTTCACCAAAATATTCGGCGAAATTCGGCCCCATTCCCCCCTCAAAATAGTATGTTTTTTTTTCCCCTCTAAAAACCGAAATTTCCCCCTCATATGGCAGCCAAAATTTGCCTGCAATGGATACCATTGTTTTTGCCTATAACTGCCGAAAAATGTTTTATATTAAGACTGTAAGACTTACTGTTAAGCAAAGTTGTTTACAAATTGTTCCTGGGTATGTAAGGGGAGCTACTCCTGGCGTCCCAACAAGTTTAACATGCGACTCTTTAAATTCTGCTGTCAATATTTTAGATCCGTATATTAAGAAAAAGCGACGTATTTTAAACTTGTGTTGCAAGAGTTGCTCCCCTTTTCTACTCACTGGAAAAAAAACAATGTCAAACAAAAGTAAATCTTACAGTGGCAAGTGATGTATTAAAATATGCATTGGATTCGTTTTTGTTTCTTCATTTGTGAAGAAATAAAATTCCCCTTCCTTTTGCATTTTTCCCCCTCCAAACGGCACCGACCCCCTTCCCCAAAAAGTGGAAAAAAAACACTGGCTTTGTATATTTTTCATATTACCCGAACTATAATCTGGTTCTCTGTCCTATTATGGTTCCCATCTATGTTCTCTGATGAGTGGATTCAATTTATATGTCATATGAAACATTAAATGGCTGTAGCCCGGGGTTCTATGATATCACGGTACTTAACGTTTATCGGAAAATATTCAAATATACATATCATGAATGAGATTTTTCTTCTATCTAATAAGTGAACCTTTTCCAAACTGTTTGTCAAAAAATTGTTTCAAAAGATCCAATTAAATTTAATATGACATATTTTAAACTATTTCCAATGTCTGCAATTTTTGGTCATTTCAGGAGAGGTAACTTATTATGGTATCGCGGTATCCCAAAAAAATGCAAGACGAAAGGATAAATGGGTCAAAATTTTCAAGTTAAGTTGTGAAAAACTTCCAACAGTTAACTTGCTATAAAATTCAAACTATATGAACAAACGATATGTCAGCATACGTGATTATAACATATTTTAATTGCAAAAAAATTAAGGAAAATAGTAGTCAAATATGATGATTTTTTAAATAGTGTTCTTGTCACGAATATATTTATTATTCACAAAATAGTGTGCCAGTTTTAAAAATATTAGCATCATCGTGTGTTGCTTTTACTGGCAGTTACAGAAAAATATTAATACCATGATATCATAGAACCCGTTATGTCATAATCATTGGAACTGAGTATATATAGTGTGCGGTTGTGTTAACGGTAGCAAGACACTTCACCCCTCAAATTTTGAAGAGTGCTGTCAAAAGTGTGCAGTTCTAAGTCTAATAAAACATAAAATGTGCAGCCGTCGATGGGTTTAAATTTTTAATGTACTGTAATTTCTACCAAAGAGCTCGATTTGAGGTTTTGCCTTATTCATATAATGACATGTCAAAATGTAAACAGCTTTCAGTTTCATACTCGGGGTCGAGTGTCATTTAAACTTTTACCTGATTTTTCTCAAAATGCTCTCTCTCCACTTCGAGGGTTGATTTACCACGCTGTCCACCAATCACCCTTGGAAGATGCCTTGAAGACATATTTAATTTGCTTTATAATCCGAGTAATTACAAAATATGAGAAATTAACATTTCCAAATATTTACAACTCGAACCCGGAAATGAATAATGCAGCGCCGTCTATGTTTGTTTTGCGTGAAAATCACTAAAGGTAAAAATCCGTGGGTAAAACACCACAAAATAATATGGGGCTGTGAGGTAGCAAATTTTTACTGTTCTAAGTTAAATCAAAACGAGAAATATGCTACAATTCATATACATTCTGATGTATTTACTGGTTGGGGACTACCAAAACCGGACAACCACCAAACCCGGACGGCCCCGAAAATGCTTGATTTAGAATTTTCTTTGTTCAGTGGTTGTCAGTCACTTTTTTATCAACAATTAATGCATGTTTCTTCTATAATTAAGTAAATAAATTTATTTCAACCTCCGTAAATGGTAATATTTTAATGTCTTATTTCAAGAATGTTGACGTTGAAATTTGGGGGTCAAGAAAGCAATGCCTGACCTCATATAACAGCAATAATTATTTGCAAAGTAAACAATAGAATATCCAAAACTTCAGCATTTGCTGCTGAAATATTGTGTGTCATGTTAAAAATAAAAAAAAGAACACCAAAGCTTTTATCTGAATTAAATCACCATTATTACATATCTGTCCGGACACATGGTACTGTAGTATGTACAATTTAGGTAATTTTGATACCCTCCTTGACGGGCCTCGGATATAAGTGTCAACATAATCAGAACTAAACAAACTAGTTTGTTAGTTAGGAGAAGGACCTAGCTGTACTGTGTCAAATTTTCGTACCTTTAGCTTTAAAATTATGAAATTTGTATAGAAAAATGTTCAAAAAGTGTCCGGTTGATGGTCCCTGACCAGTATATGTTTTGATTCATAAACATTCTGTTGTACTAATATGATTCATAAACATTCTGATGTATTTATATGCTACAATTCATATACATTCTGTTGTATTGATATGTTTTGATTCATAAACATTCTGTTGTACTTAATATGATTCATAAACATTATGTTGTATTAATATGCTACAATTCATAAACATTCTGTGGTTTTTATATGCTATGATTCATAAACATTTTTTGTATTAACATCCTATAATTCATATACATTCTGTTGTATTGATATGTTTTGATTCATAAACATTCTGTTGTACTTATATGATTCATAAACATTCTGTTGTATCAATATGCTACAATTCATAAACATTCTATGGTATTGGAATGTTTTGATTCAAAGGCATTCAGCTGTTTAATAGGCTACAATTCATAACATGTTGTGGTTTTTATATGCTATGATTCATAAACATTTTTTGTATCAATATCCTATGATTCATAAACATTTCTGCTGTATTGATATGCTACAATTCATAAACATTTCGTTGAATTGATATGCTATGATTCAAAACATATTCTGTTGTATTATAAGATCCATAAACATTCTGTTGTATTAACATGCTAAAATTCATAAACACTGTGTTGTATTGATATGCTACGATTCATCAACATTTTGTTGTATTGATGTGCCACGATTCATAAATACTCTGTTGTATTTATATGATTCATAAACATTCTGTGGTATTGATAAACTACAATTCATATACATTCTGTTGAATTGATATGCTCTGTTTCATAAACATAATTAATATGCAAGGATTCATAAACATTCTGTTGTATTGATGTGCCATGATTCATTAACATTCTTTTGTATTAACATCCTACAATTCATTTACATTATGTTGTATTGATATGCTACAATTCATATACATTCAGTTGTATTGATATGTTACGATTCATAAAGATTCTTTTGTATTGATATCCTACAAGCCCTAAACATTGTTGTATTGATATGCTACGATTCATCAACATTCTGTTGTATTGATATGCTATGATTCATATGCATTAATGTGCTTTAAATACAAGTATTATATTTATGCTACAATCATTAGTGACATTATACTCGTTAATCTGGTATGCTCTGATTAATAAACATCTGTTTCATTGATAAACTATGGTCACCTTGTGCCAAGTTGAGCTGAGAAACAACAAAATCTCAATTCTTTTTTTATCAAATTTTATTTTACAATGCCATCTTTATCTTTAGTTAAATGTAATGTCTCTGCTTTAGAAAATTTGACCTCGTCTCTATATTTGAGATGATAGGGTTCATGCCTTCTTTTGAGGGGTTCATGGGGGTCAGTCTCTTCTGGGTTGTCATAAACTGTTGATATAATTACTTTCCTCTGAGCTCTTCCAACATTTCTGTTCAACTTTTCACCATGGTACCTGAGAATTAGAGAGTATACATGTAAATATACCATTCTAATTACACAACAAGCATAATGGCAACATTGACAGATACTTCCTTCTCGATTCTGTATTGGCACAGATTAAAACATTACTTAACAATGACAAAACAGTATAAAAATTAATTTAATCTATGTCCTTGACCATTGAAAACACTAACAACAAGCCTCTTAAGGAAAGAAGTCAATGAAAGGAAACTTAAAACTGAATACCTTATAATTCAATAAGGAATTTCAGTATAAAAATCAAATTTACAAGTCTGAATTATTACAGAAAAAAATATCTTAATAATATCAATTTTGCAATAAATAAATACTGATTATTGTTGACATTTTTTGCACCAAACTTCTTAAACAGGAGAGCTTTTTACGTATCCTGGTACACACAATTTACTGTTGCTACATAAAATGTTTAACCCTTAATTAATTGCTAATTTAAGCTTAACAATTACATGTATTGAGGTAACAAGATGTTGTTAAACTTACCCAAACCCTCTCCTATCTCTTGGGTTTTGTCCCTCGTTATCTAGGGCATCTGCAATACCCGTTATGGTTGAACCTAGTCCCTGACCTTCGCTCCAGCCTTGCTCTTCTAATATCTTACGACCAACGCCTTTGGTATGTGCCTCAAACTTTCCTATCTTTGTTTCTTCATCCTTAGGATACCTTGGTCTCTCCTTTTTCACTGCTATGCCTAAATGTATTTGAATAAAATATGTAATAATTAGTCAGGTGAAATAATTAGATAATACAATTTTACAACAACTTTGAAATATTCATATATATATCCGTAGAAAACATTGTTAAAACTTACATTTGTTGCAAGCAGGTGCCTGAAAACTTAGTTGTTTCGATGTATGATTTAAATAGGTCAATTTTGACCAATGTAAACACCTGCCACATGAAAATATGCCTTAAAATAAATTAGTGATGACACAAAGTTAGTGATGTTGACTACATCATCTTCATATAACAATCCTAAATTTGCTTGACAAATATGACTGTAATCTTGTAAGAGTTTAATGACTTACCAGCAGTAAATCTGTCTGTAGCTTCAATACCTTCCCGTCTATGTTTTTCCTGCCTCATTTTGAGAAAATCTCGCGCATCCATGTCACCAGCTCCCTCCTCGTAATAAGCACTCATATCAACATCCCAGTCGTCTGCTGTCTGCTCATCAAAATCTACATGTACATAAATGATCATGTTCATTCTGAATTTATTCATTTAACTTTTTTATCGAGATGTTAATATCAGAATGATCCTGTAACAGTAGGTACTTGCATCATACCATGAAACTCTGACTGTATTGCTTGTACGAAATCCACTAGTTCAATTCAATAAGGTCATAGGTCTACATAATACTTAGTAAATCAAACTAAGTTATCTAGATTACTTGTTAAAATCAACCATGTTGCCTGAATCACTGGTAAAAAAGACATATTTTGTCTATATTACATACATATGAGATTAACTGTTGTATGTATTTTCTTTTATTTCTTTTATTTATTCAACTATCATTGATTTACACAAAAGCTGATAAAACCTATGTCAGAATTTTACATAAAGACAAGTATCACACTCTGAGGAAAAGAAAATCAATAATCTATCATATGATCTTTCAATGTGATATACATGTAAATAAATCATCACTCTTACCTCCTTCTTGAGCTTGCCAGTACTGTGCATCCGTGTAAAAAACAAGACCGCTGCCTCCTTTTTCCCATTTCAGTTCGATCTCCTCCTCATATAGCCGTTCTTTGTTCCTCTCCTGGTTAGCGGGGTCATCATACAAGGCCTCGTGTCTCTCCCACTCCTCACATGAGTCATTGTCCTAAATAAACAAAACTGTCTATGAGCAAATATTAATATGATCAACCTATGGGTTCATTTTTCTTTAAACAACATTAAGGTTCTTTTTCTTAATATCATCAACATTTGGGTTCTTTTTTTTGTTTCTCAAAAATTTGCGTAACTAATCATTCATCCTAAATGTATAAATTTCTAAAAATAATTAATCATATTTCCATGCTTAGATAGTAATACTTTGAAATAAAATGTTCTTTGTTTTGTTTTGTCAATAAGGACATGTAAATCACTAAACAGTAACCTTAAAAACTTTTCCTACCTCCTCAGAATCATCATCCTGTCCAATGATTTTCTCTTCAATATTCAACTTCATTCTTTTCTTAGCTTCAGCATCTCTCCAAGACTTCTTTTTAACACCATCCTTTTTATAACTATTTTCTGACACATTAGCACCACTGTTTTCACTGTTACTGCCTTCTAAATGGTTGAGGTTAGTATTGGTCTCGGTATTTTCAACACTATCACATGTATCACATGATATTGTTTCAGGCACTATTTCACGACCTGAAGCTGTCAAAACTGGCTCAAGATCGATGCTGTTACTTTCAAAAGGCTCAGAAATGCCACCTCCATAATCAAACGGAACACTTCCATATTGTTTGGATGTTCTTGTCTTAGGAAAACTGAGTCCAAGCTTTTTAATGATACGAGGAGGTAGTCGGCACTGTTTAATGTAATCCATGAAAATCATGGTTGGGGTACCAACATTACCATTCGGCATTATGTCAGGAGGGCGTAACTCTGGAAGGTTTATAAGGTCTGTTTCTGTAAAATTTTCTCGATCAGGAGGGATCTGTTTTGCTTCGCCTCTTGTCTTTAACACTTTAACTGCATCTTTAAAGAAATACAGTTTAAGAATTATAATTTATATACAATACAAAGTATAATAATCAACATACAGACAAGAACATTATGTTAAAATCATATTAATATACAAAAACTTAAGTTTTAACAAAATGAATTTGACAAAAAATTGTCACTAACCAGTTTTTATGCCAATATTACAATATATGGAAAAAATATGCAAAAACACAAAAGTGTCATATTACAGACATGATTCTGCAGGTAAGTAAGTGTATAAAATCACAGAATCTAAGCAAAATATTGTATGGGCACTTGATGAAAATCATTCTATGAAAGTTTGGTTTAAATCTTTTGAGATGTTAATAGAGATATTGTTAATAGAGATATTCATTCAGAATTTAAAGTTCTTTGATTACTAGTCCAGGGATCACGTTTCTAGGCAACTTAGGTGAAATAGTCACTCTGTCTCTCTCCATTCTGCCCAGTTTGCTTAAAAAAGCGAAAAGTTCAAAACAAAGTCTCTCTTATCTAAATAAACGTGCAATAATTTCCTAAATGTCAAAATAGTCCACGCTCAGCCTGTTTCAAGACAGTCTGTTAAATCTATTTTCCTTGTTCGGTAAAATTGGAAAACCAATGAAACTTGATCTACTAAACTAAACCAAATTAGAAATGTTAAATTGCTATAGATAAATTAAAACTAAGAAAATCAAGTGTGCACATAATTGTTGGAATAATTTCATTATATATTCAATTGAATTAGATAAATTATTTGCTGGATATTAAATGTGATTATCAAAATCCGGTTTTAAGTGTTAAAAAATGGAATTGTTAATAAAACAGACAGAAATGTCTGATCAAACTGAATCATTAATTTATCAAATTGCTGTTAATATTCCAGTTTAACATAGAGGATAGACTTTTTCTGAATGGGGCCGATTTGGTAAAGTACCAAAACGAACGGGCCGAAATATCTTGGGTTATTTGGGCCAAAATGTTTTGAAGCTGAAATGACTCAAAATCATTACAAATATACCCATTCTTCCCCAGGGCCATTTTTCATTGAAACGCCTTGTCCTTAGATGTTGTCACCTTGTCTGGGCTCATGTTCAATATGACTGTAAGCCAGATTGAGCACGTCTCACGGTAGATACAAACCTGCCGTGCTTTATTTTTCTTTAACTTCACAGTCCTTATCTTACTTTTAAACTGTTTGAAAGAATTTAGACTTACCCGTGTCATCTGGACTTTTCACTTTAGATATATAACACACTTGTGACATTACTTCTCCTTTGCTGTCTATCCAATGTTTTCTATTGTACAACTTGATGAAATGTGTAAGATTTTTCTGCTTTATTCTCACTACACAACATAAAGTTGAACGTTTCTCTGCCGTTTCAGAACTTTCATCAATTTGAACCCCTTCTGGGATTAATTTCTGTTCAGGCCTGTGTCTAAAATGAAAACATTCAAAGCCTTTCGACTCAATAAATTGTGAGAAATAGTTCCTTAAATCACAAGAGTGATAATCAGCTGGAATATTGTTTATAACAGCATATGAAACTTTTTCAGTTCCGTTCGACTCCATCTTGTTTGTTTACATGAATTTGGATAAGTCCCGTACCGTCAGGTACTGTGCCGTACAAATCAAGGCAGTACACCACTATATATTTTCCACAATTGAAATGCAGAAAAGTATAAACTGAGTATGGTCCACGATTATTAAAAAATCTAGGTGTATGGCTCACTGATTGAACCTGTGAATATTTATTTAAGAATGGATGCCCATATAAGTCCTAGGCAAGTATAAAGTGGTTTGTCAATTTTGGTCAGAAATCTGGGTAAAAGGGATATTCATGTTGATCTGATTAGCCATTTAGATTTACAGGTACTACAATGTCAATCTAGAACAAGACCCGCCACCTATTGGGGTACTATTCTAAATTCAAACACACCAGAGGAAGAATATTGTAGTAAAGAGTAGATCTACTACTAGAAAATATAATTCTTGTAAAAAAAAAATTAAAATTCTATATTTGACCTTAAACATCAGAACATCAAGGTCATTCAAAGGTCAAGGTCACATTTGAATCAATAATCATGTAAGTTTTATTATAAGTGTTCTTTTGTCCAAGAACATAAAAACACCAAGGTCATTCAAAGGTCAAGGTCACATTTGAATCAATAATCATGTAAGTTTTATTATAAGTGTTCTTTTGTCCAAGAACATAAAAATCCACATGTAAATAACAAAGTTATGATAATTTTGGCAAATTTCAATTATTTGACCTTGATGGTAAAGGTCAATTAAAGGTCAGTCATGTCAGAATAATTCAACATGTTGGTTTTGTCATATGTGTTCTTTTGCCCAAATGTGAATCAAATCTGTAAATAGATAACAATGTTATGACAATTTAAGTGAATAAAAAAAAAATAAACTGGCAGTCAAGGTCAAATGAAGGTTAAGGTCATATCAGAATAGTTTAAACTGTCCGTTTTGTCATATGTGTTGTTTTTTTGTCAAAGTATGAATCAATCTTTACATTAATAACTGACAATTTAAACAAATTAAAAAAATTTGACCTTGATGGCCAATGCCATATAAAGGTTATTAAAAAGGTCCTTCTGTCCAAGTATATTGTTTGTTTGATTAGGTTTTACGTCACACCGACACAGTATAGGTCATATGGCGGCGCTCCAGCTTTAGTTGTGGAGGAAGACCTCAGGTTTCCATCCGTGCATTATTTCAGGCACAAACGGGCACACGAGTAGAACCAAAGACGTTCCGTAAGCTAGCTGGATAGCTTCCTCACATGAAAGAATCCAAAGTCCCTGTGGGGATGCGAACCCACAGCGGTGAGGGGCAAGTGGTTTGAAGTAATGACCTTAACCACTCGGCCACGGACGCCACTGTCTACGTATAAATCAAATCCATAAATAAATAAAAATAAGTTACGACAGTCTAAGCTTTATTAAATATTTGACCTTGACAGTAGATCAAGGTCATATATGAATTAGTTACCATGACAGTTTTGTTATAAGTGCTCTTTTGTCAAAGTACAAAATCAAATTCATAATTTAAAAAATTATGGCAAAACTCATTAATTTGATGTATAGTGTGAGATCATGGTCAAATACAACTGAATTCTCTTAATGTCTTGTTATAATAATTATTGCACACTAGCATGAAGAAAACTCATTCATTAATTAAAAATTTACTGCCAATAATAGCTAAAGAGTTTAATCTTCTTTAAGACATTGTCATTGTATTTGTGCTTAAGTATGAAGACAATCCATTTATAAATATCAAAGTTATAGTCAATTACAGCAAAAATCCAGCAAAATTCAAACATTTAATATTGAAGGTGAATGTCATTTATTATACAAGGCTAAGCTTAGTCTGGTCCACCTGAGGTCTTATCAATTAGATTGTTTGGACCAAGTATTAAGGCAATCCATTTAGAAATTAAAAAAATAATGGTCATTGTTATAGTTTCTGAAAAGCAACAGCGACAATCTGGCTGTAGTAATAGCTCAAAATCTTTCTTTGAAAAAAGTCAAGCTAAACAAAAATTGAATGGGGAAAAAATGTAAAAACACATCATTCTGTTCTTTTATTTTATAAATATTTTGCATCAATCACATCTACATAACAATTTTAAGAAAGCCTAAAATGTAATAAATATAAAAATACAAGCAACATTGTTTTTCAAAAGATAAAATGTCCTACATTTTATCAGAATAAATAAACAAAAAATAACGGGAATAAATAAAATTTATATCTCGGTACATTTTTAGAAATTAAACTATACAATATACATTGCATACCAGTTTTCTATATCAAGTGATAAAATATTGCACACAGAAAAACTACTACAATATTTATCTGAACCTCTTATTTTCAAATAAAACCCCATTTAAATTAGCTTCATTATCAAATAAGCCCAATTTTAAAAGTGGCATCAATTAATAAAACCAAACTTTTTATTAAAACAATCCAAAGTGTACAATAAGCATTCAATTCAAAAACCTCCAATATTCATTTAGTTGCTTGAGGTTTCCATAACAATAATATAGAGTTGCTTGAGGTTTCCATAACAATAATATTGAGTTGCCTGAGGTTTCCATAACAATAATATAGAGTTGCTTGAGGTTTCCATAACAATTATATTGAGTTGCTTGAGGTTTCAATATTATTGAGTTAATTGAGGTTTCCATAACAATAATATTGAGTTGATTGAGGTTTCAATAACAATACTATAGAGTTGCTTGAGGTTTCCATAACAATACTATAGAGTTGCTTGAGGTGTTCATAACAATACTATAGAGTTGCTTGAGGTTTCCATAACAATACTAGAGTTGATTGCGGTTTCCACAACAATAATATTGTGTTGTGCAAGGTTTCTATAGCAATTGTGCAGAAAGTTACCTTAGGTTACTATTAAAATATCACTGCAACGTTTATCATTCATTAAGAAACTGAACAGATCTAATTTGTTTAAAAAATCATCTATCATTTTGCGACAACAAGGAAGAAGATAGCACCATGTCAAGGAACACCATTTTAATAAAGCCAGCATCAAACTTTGTTTCTTTATTGACTTCAAATAGTAATCAACTAAATTCATTATATGATCAAAGCACTTTTATCAAAGGTAGTTTCTTATAATATTTTGAATCACTTACATACACAATCTTGCCAAATTGAACACAACCCTTTTTAAGAGTTAGGGCCAATCACTTTGGTTGATATACATTAAGTCACAGTAAGATTTTCAAAATCTTAAATCATTTGTTTGCACTTCCATGTTAACCAATATGGTTTTTATTTTTTTATAAAGTATAGTTTTTACTTTATGAAGAATTTCAAACCAAAATTTCCTTACTCTATCTCTGTGTTTATAGGAAAGAAAGATGTTTATCTTTTGCTAGTTGTTGCCTAGCAACCGTATCTAAGTTAAAGACCGGATCTTTGGGTATTGGAAAACCGGATGTGAGTTTCTGGTGAATATCTGACTGGAAGTATGTTTCTTCAACTTGATTGGAGTGACCATAGCAACTGTTGAAATGTGACCTGTAACATATAAATAACTATATAATAATTCTGAGTGACACTAAAAAAAGGATTGGAGCACCACACTAAATACCATATTCCGGTACATACTGGACAAGCCGCTTGAATGATAAAATGTTACAATCTTGCCTTTTTACCCAACGGAATGAACTTTAATAGGTCTAATTCATTTTTTCACACCGATTCATGTATGATAATGAATGAAAAATGTAAAAAAACAATATTTGTCTATTTTGTGATCATGATTTCTGCAAGCGTCTAGAGGTACTGCTCCAATCCTATATTGAGTTAAATCCTATAATAATATTACATTACATTAAAAAGAGTCAACATTTACAGACTTCAAAACACAAATTTGATGTAAAGTAATTTTTTTACAAAAATACCAAAGTATGACTCAATATTTGTGTTTTTCTTATTTCAGCACACAAACGAGGCTAAAAATTTTAGCTTTTCTTACTCAGACACAAAGTTTTGGCAAAAAAATGTGATTAATTTACAAATGTATATTGATACCTATGTGTGGCCAAAATTTATCAGTAATCAGTAACACCTTAATGTGATAAAGACGCACACAAGAAGATAACGTAAGAAATATAAAGTAAAAATTCATTAAAACATTAGGTAATATTTTGATTTTTTCATAATACATGTAAATGTTTTTTTTGCTTTACTTGCTTGTCATTACAATTTAAATGTTGTAATATACACAATATGTAGATCCACAAACTCAATTCTATTTACTTATCCATGCAGCTTACAACAAAATGTTGAATAATTCATACCTAGGACTTTTGCTGCTTTTCTATTAATATTATGATAATATATTGTTATAAATGTGTAGAGAAAGAGAAACAAAGTGAAATAAAGTATGTTTAAATCAAATCATACCTAAGAATAACATCAGACAGGCATTCTTCTTGCTGAAATTCTGTGTGAAGTGATGCCAACATGTGATGAAGGTTGTTGTTTTTCCTGTCTGTACCAGGGTCTTCAACTGTGCCTGTTTGAATAACAATTGAATTGACTCTATAATTGTGTAGTCTTAAGCCCTAACCATGATGAACGTATGTAATGAACTTAAGTAAGACTTCATGATAAATTTAACGTCTCTATAGGGACACCTTTCAGCAACAATAAAAAAACTTTGTCTGCATAAGTAAATTGTACTGTAGCTTGATCCATGAAAGAAGGTTTAGTTACCATCTAAGAATGAAAGAAATAGTTCTGACCAAAGAATGAAAGAGATATTATAATACTGCACATTTGTAACATCTCTTTTCATTGGATAATCGTGACGTTTATATAGTTTTATATACACTGCTGTCAATTTTCTAAGAAATCACACTTTTTTCTCAAAAAAAGGAAGTTTGCAGTATTATAAATTCTTTTATAAATATTCCTGTCAGGTTATATGACAATATATAAATGGTTGTCTAGCGACTTGGGTTATATTTTTAAAAAAACAACGTTTATATAGGGCCATATAATATGTGAAAAATCTTATACTAGTAACTAATAATATACATGTATACAAATGAATAAAAGAGGTAGTATATACCAACAAATGAAATATGTAATAGTTACCTATGAATGAAAGAAGTAATAGTTACCAATGAATGAAAGAAGTACTAGTTACATACAGCAGGATTCAAACTCACAGTACTGAGAGGTTTTGTTTTGTTTTGAAGTCAGAAACCTTAATTACATGGCCAGGGAAGCTCAACTTATTATCTGTAAGAGATGTTAGAATAAACCAACCTCTAAGATCTGCAGCAAATGTGTCATACTTGAGATATCGGTACGATTCTTTACTGTCATCACTATCAGGACTCTCCAAACACTCCTTGATATAGAAGTCAAGGTCAGCCAGGTATGCTAGTGAACCCTTCCACTGAAAGAAATACATCAAATTCATCTGCTAAAATTTATGTATATACTAATGTTAAAAGAAATATTTCTAACAGAAATAAAAAAATTAAAGAAGTAGTGAAAAAGTAGTATTGACAAAGAATGAAAGAAGTAGTACTGATCAAAGAATGAAGTACTGACCAAAGATTAAGAATAAAAGAAGTAGTATTGACCAAAAAAATGAAAGAAGTAGTATTGACCAAAGAATGAAAGAAGTCGTTCATACCAAAGAAAGAAGTAATACTAGTATTTACCAATGAATAAAAGAAGTAGAATTTACCAATAAATGAAAAAAGTAATAGTTACCTTAATAGAATAAAAGAAGATATAGTTACCACAGAAGAATGAAAGAAGTAGTTTTGAGCTAATAATTATACCAATGAATGAAAGAAGTAATAGTTACCAATGAATAACAGAGGTAAAAGTTACTAAGGAATGCAAGAAATAAAAGTTACCAATAAATGAAAGAAGAAATAGTTACCAAGGAATGACAGAAGTTGAGATGAACTAGAACTGTGTCCAAAGGACACGGATGCCCCCACTGACAACATAAATATGGTATAACGTGAAAAATCAACAAAGGGCCATAATTCTGTTAAATTTGGTCGCAGCAAAAATTCCTTCCTTTACTACCATCTACACATTAAGGTTGTTCATCCCTGGAAGTTAAAGCAAATTCTGCCATCCGGTTTAAAAGGAGTTGCGTTCACAAAATTTCTATATGGTATATAGTGAAAAAATTAACAAAGGGCCATAATTCTGTTAAATTTGGTCGCAGCAAAATTCCTTCCTTTACTACCATTTACACATTAAGGTTGTTCATCCCTGGAAGTTTAAGCAAAATCTGCCATCCGGTTTAAGAGGAGTTGCATTCACAAAATTTCTACATAGTATATAGTGAAAAAATCAACAAAGGGCCATAATTCTATTAAATTTGGTCGCAGCAAAAATTCCTTCCTTTACTACCATCTACATATTAAGGTTGTTCATCCCGGGAAGTTTAAGCAAAATCTGCCATTCGGTTTGAGAGGAGTTGCGTTCACAAGATTTCGGGATGTACGGACGTACCAACTTTTGATATTTAAGAGGTCAGCTCATAAACTACACCTGGACAAAAGTCCATAAGCAAAATCAGCTCATAAAATCAAAAAAATAGCTCTTAATTTGAATTTTATGAGCTTTTGTTCTTTATTTAACTACGGAATGAAGCTCATAAATATGAAATGTTTGCTCGGACAGACGTACGGACGGACAGACGGACGGACAAGTGCAACGCTATATGCTCCCATTTTGTGGGGGCATAAAAATGAAAGAAGTAAAAGTTACCAAGGAAAAACAGAAGTAGAAATGAATGTAAGAAGTACTAAGTATACCAATGAAGTTATTTTGTTTGTTTGTTTGTTTGTTTCATTTTACGCCTTTTTCCAACAGTATTTCAGTCATATAGGCGGGTAGTTTCCTAACCATCGTTCCTGGAGCCAATGAAGTTAAAGAAAGTTATAATTACCAAAGAATGAAAGAGACTCTCCTCATATTGTTCTGGGTTTTCCATCAGCAACAACAGTGAGATATCAGAATGACACTGAACATATAATGTGACATCATTTAGTCCATCCATCTCGTGTGTCCAGTACCGCGAGATAGTGCTGTCTGTAGACACATCACTGCTAAATGATGACACTATACTTGAAGCTTGACCAATCTCAAACACATCAGCTTGTCCTTCTGTCTCAGTGCCAGATTCATACCTAGTGTAATAAAAAAAAAAAACTAATATTCTTGAAAAGGATATTTTTGACTTGGTTTAAACATGTTTATTTAAGCTCAATTGCAAAACAAGTTCTTGTAACTTATATTTATCACTTGTGAGTCCACTGGAACCAACCAGTACTGGTGTCATTTGAAGAAACATGGTTGTAACCCGGTAAGGGCTCGAACCCATGATCCCTAATCGAGAGGCAAACACTTTAACCACTAAGCTACAGCTCCACTTATTTTCAACTATTCAATACATAGATTTAAATTTGATGAAACACACTTTATTATCATAAAACTTAGGCATTTCATGACAATTATTGGATCTTTTTTAAGTTACAAAAAATGTCTACAATGAAAGCTTGCTGGCTAATGATGATTATGAAGTCTGTTTACAAGTCTGCAGTTGTTTGACGTTTCTTTTAAAGAGCCTAGAGGTCATTTTCAGGCTAGCATATTTTTAAAAGAAAAAACATGTAAACCAAAGGGTCCTGAGGAAGCTAATTGATTATCTAAATTAGACTTTTAATCTTTCCCTTCTTCAAAAAAAAATGTTTAAATTAAATATAAAACATACCTTTCTCTTAACTTTCCTTCAAAGTTTATAACTTCTTGATCATTACCATAATCACCAAACATTTTTTGTTTGTTAAATTTAGCAATACAATGACTGCATCTTACAGTTGTTCTACGGTCAAGCTGGCTACCTGCCAATTCAAGACAGTTTATACAAGGTTCCATGGTTGCTATGGTAATAGATTCATCCTCAGTTTCAATCTCTGACTCATACTTATTTGCATCTAAGAATGTTTTATTTGGATCAATATTTTCTTTTCTGTCATCACAGTTTTCAATCACAACATTTTTATCTTGGCTATTTTTGTTTTCAATAGACAGATCTTTAACAGAATAATCCTCTTTTAGTTCAGTCAAAACATTTGAAGAATCTCTTAATCCATGTGGAACTTCAGGACTTACATTGTCTTCTTTAATAGACTCACCAATATTTTCACTATCTTTTCTTACCCTGTAATCAACATTTTTAGCACCCTCTAATGTTTTACAATCATGCTCATCTGTCCCTGAACTATGTCCCGAGTTGTTTATATGGACATCAACAATATGCTGATGTAAAGCATGTCCAGAACTCTTTTTCAGTGTTTTTGTTTCAACATCAGACAAACCATCATAGAATCTTGAATTAACAACATCAGAGGATGAGTTAGATAACACCAGTCCAGATTTATTTGCTTCACTACTTTCCTCAACAGATGCTTCACTTATTTTAACCGAATTTACTTTGTCATCTGTTACAGGTTGTGTATGTTCTATATTACTATCTTTTAACACTTCTTTTTCTTCTATATTATTCTCCTCTAAATTGTCTTGGTCTTCTATATTATTACTTTTAAAGCCTGAAGAAGATTTTACACTGTTTGAAACTGTAGTCTGATCACCATTTTCTTCTTCACTGTCATCATCGAAGTCACTTATTGCGGGATTTTCATCAGTTTCTGTTACTTTAGTGAGGTTTATTACCTTCTTTTTAGAGTCTCTACCTCTCTTTAAAACAGAGTCAGTTTTCTCTGTAAATGTACTATTATGTGTATTGATATTTTCGTTATTTAACAGATCAGTTTCAGATTCAAAATCTTCAGATTTTTCGCTTACTTCTGCATTAGAATCAGTTGATACACTTGTATCAGTTAAATTACTAAGGCAAGATTCAGAGACTTTGATGTCACTATTGTTTTCATGTGCACTGTCAGTCTTAAGTGTTTCTGACTGATTTTCAGTGTCTGTTGCCATGGGGCTATGATCTCTATTTGACAAGTCTTTCTTTTGGTCTGTTACACTATTATCAGCTTTATCTCCATCATCATCTACTTCAGAATCTGTTTCCGATTGTTCATTTTCAAAACTGGTTGCAGTAGCAACTTCCTTATAGCTCTCACCGAAATGTGACTCTTTAATTCTTGCATACAAAACCTCGCTGTCACTCTCGACAGCAGACTCGCCATATCTACATTCAACTATTGGTACATGAGACAGGGATACCTTTGACTTACTAGACCATGAGTAATTGTCGACCGACACTGAATCTGGTTTTGATCGATTAACTCGTTGCTGACCGTAGGTTAAATAGGAATGTAAAGCCTTTTGTGACACAGAGTTGGTTGCTAGGTTAGGACATGTCAATCTCCTTTTAGGAGAGCTCTTAGATTGTCTGACCGTTCTAGAAGGTGGTACAACACTATTGTCATTTTGACGATACACACTGAAATCGGTGACTTTACAGTGATGTCTGGACTGTGAATCAAGTGGTCTTATCTCAGACAGTTCATCGTCTGTGAG